TCATCGTGCCCGACACGAGTCACCTCGACACTCCTCGTTCCATCCTCCTCCTCGGTCCGACACTCTACCTCCACCCCCGAGCGTCTCTGCACTGCCTTCGCTGCAACTCCACCTTCCTCCCTCTCCTCCAACTCAGCCCTCTTTCTTTCCCTCCCCCTTCCGTCTTCATCTCGGTCACCCGACAACTCCCCAATCTGTCCCTTTCACCCGATAATCTACCTCCCCATTCTTATCACTTCCACTCTCCTCGTCCCGAAAGAACCCGTCCTCCCACCATCCCCTTACCCAATACGCCATGGCATCCAAGCTATCCCCTTTCTCCCCTTTCCAATCCACCTTCCTTTTTCTCCCCTCCTCACAACTCTCATTCGACGCTAATCTTATTTCCTCACTCACCGCGGCTCGGCTCGGTCTTACGCGGCCTTTAACACCCCCCCTCTATCCCATGATCGCATTGAGTATAGCTCCAAGCACTCAATGACTATCTCTCCGATCTATCGATGGTCCATTTATGAATTGATATCGATGCTCATTCGATGAGGGGGGGTGTCACCAGACTCACTCAGGTTCGCATTCAGCCTCGACCCTTCCTTGACCTTCCTTACTCGCCCCTCGTGACACCCTTGTCGATATCGATACGCCATGGTAGGTCCCTTCCTTTCTCTTCCCTCTTCCCGTACATCTACGTGTGTCCATGCGGTGGCGGATAGTAGCAGTATATACGACGAAGTTGCCAGTTTCGTTTTGATGATGGCAGTCGCCTGTCGCAATAGCCCCTGTGGCTTGAAGCTTGGGCGTGTCGCCGGTCAACCACTCGCCTCTGATCCATCCCAAGCGCATCACACTCATTTATTTATTTACCACTTTTGATCGTGAATAAGACCTAAATAGTGATGCGTTTCATGGCCCTCGTTTGAATGAGGTGGAACTTGAAGGATAAGGCGTTTCGAATGGGGGCCAAGCTCATCTTGATCACTCGGTGTGCGGGTGATATTGATCGCATTCATGACACCTCCGTCCGTCCTGTATTATCTATCCATCCATCGTCGTGACCCATCTTATCACGTATCCCCCTCAGGCTCGTGTGGGTATGATCACGAAAACACGATGACATGCAGTAAAGATTAAGCATAGCTGGCACCGTTCGACTATTCGACTACCCAACTAACCAGATATCAATATTCAATATGCATGATGACCGTCTCAAGTGCTCGAAATCTCGTTCATCGTGCATCATTCACGCTTCCCATCACGCGCACTTGTCATTGGACACCCGTCAAAAAGAAAAGAAAGAAAAACCCGAATCGGGGACGTTGCTGTACACGCCTGTGTGGGGAGAATGCCCCCAGCGAGCTATGATAGGTGTGTTGATTGTACGATGGAGGGCTTCTCCACATCCCATGTCCCATGTGATGCTGCCCTGACGCGTACGTGTACGTATATGTGTACCAGTGCGGGGACGGATGCGGGGTTTACGTTCACGTTGAGGTGTCTCCGAGTCTCTCTTGAATGGTACCAGTCGTGGAGTTTGCTGCATCATCGATTGGTGGCTTTCGGTCTTGCCAGTGGTCCAGGGCCACGGTATTCCAAGTTCCCCGTTTTGGCTACGAGATTTCCCGACTTGGAATGGGGGGCGCGGCGTTTCGCATTCAGGTTGTTCTCGTTCTTCAGCTGCCAACGCCAACTCATCGCCAACATCGCCAACGCGCCAACGATCTCACTAGCATTGCCGCAATGATGCGAGGCTATCGCGACTACGTGGGGGGACAGCGATGTCGTTGTCCCTGCCATCCTGCCACGATCACTGGCACAACTTGAATTTTTCTTTCTTTTGTCGAGAGCCGACTATCATGCTGGGAGCATCACTAGTCACGCCTCCATTCCCCAAGGCTACACCTCGCCGGCATGATGGCATACTGGTATGGTGTATGCTGTATGATGCCCTCTGATGACTACGTGAATTGGATTCGTTCAATTTCAATTTCAATTTCACTTTCCATTCTTTTGATTGTTGAAGTGGAAGCCAGGTCGAAACCCACCATAGGCTATGATAGGATATGCATGCGCAGGCTGTGCTTCGGGGCCTTCCATCGTTGTGGTAGAAGAAGGAAACCACGGTTTTGCAATCATCACAACATCATCGTCATCGTCAACATGCATCACGATCGCGATCACGATCAGAACTGGCAGCAGCTATAGTACCCCCCTCACGTGAAGGAAGCCGCGCAGGACAGCTTATACCGCAGGACGCGATGAAAGTGGAGGGCGGATAGCCCAGAAAAAGGAAAAACGCAAAGAAAAAAGAAAAAAGAAAAACGCAAATAAACTAAATTTCCAGAGCCAGCTCGTCCTTGCGCTAGCTTTCGGGTCTTTATCGCGTTACGTTGACGTCGGCAGGGCGCTATGAGACCCGCAAATCGCCAATTCGAACATTGACATTGACAGTCACTATCGACCAAAGGCAACCCGAGGAGGACATCGCTAGGTTGCGGTGCTGGACCGCGGCGATCATGTCTCTATTTTCATTTTCGAACCTCTCTTTATTTTCTTTTATTACTTTAGTTTCATCTCGATCGGACATTGTTCACTAGGACGCTGATATGACGTGCGATGGACGATGGCTGGTAGCACGTCGCGAGGCCCATTCGAGCGCGTTGTTTGATTTCATATTGAATTTTTGAAGACTCTACGGCGTGCTCCGATTCGTTCATACATCCAGTGATGCATATGGGCTCTACTCAGCTTAGTGGTAAGTCATACTAGCCCCATTTCCGTTCGTTTCTCAGCGACAATCCTTGTATTAAATGAATCTCCAGAACGACGGCATTCGACGACGGCGACATACCCCGTTACGACAAACGTCCAACGTTTATACTCACCCACACGCGTCTCCAAGATACCACCATCTTCCAAAAAGCCTCCATAACAACATTATGAAACATAAACATGAAAGCACATGGTTCACTCGATAGAAGCATGTTTTGTGATCCTTTCATCGTGGTAAGAACACCGCTTCTATCGTAAGTTCAGTATATACACTACTCTAGTCCCTCGCTATCAGCAACGAACGACGAGCGCCAAGTCCTCCAGCGCTCAACACCCGGGTTCCTGATCTCCGCCCCCTCTCACCTCCGCCCCTTCCCACTCATTCGCGCTTATAGATATAGTCGTCTGTTCATTCTCTGCTCTATTGAACTCTATGAGGCTACTTCTTGGATTGCCGCAAGGGGGCGGGCTCTGTGCTGCTACATGTGCTCTCTCTCTCTCGATTAGGGGCAGGGAAGCAGGCAATGACAGGCGCCTTTTCGTGTTTCTCGGACTTGAATACCCTCCGGGATCGCAATAAGGGATGGGAAGGGGCGCCACCACGTTCTGGCATACCATCAAGTCACCGACATCCATCTTCCAACATTGTGTGAAGTTTTTGATTCTCTGCCCTTCGCTTTAGCCTGGCGCCATGGCGCTTCGTCGATACACCGCAACTTCGAGAGTGCGATATCCGAGTATTTGCAGCTCACGCTCATGCCCATGGCCACCCCGCCACAAGCGAAAATACAACCGGCGTGCCTACGGTCCGGAGAGCGCCTCTTCTGCTCTCTATCTCTTCCAGGCCCCGATATTCGCTCATGGCAGCACGACCTGGCCGTATCCGGTAACACCCTATGCAGATAAACATACGCACTTATCGATATATCCTCAAGCTTCGAAAATAAAAAGAGGATGGGCGGGCCTCGTTTCCTCCACGATAAAAAGAGCTCGATCTCATGCTCCTATCTCGTGCCTGGACTCGAGGTCGAAAGTTGCCTACGGTATCGAACATGTTCTTTTTTACGCCCCCGTGCCCTCCTCGTCGTAAGATCCGACAACGTCGATAAGTTCTCGGTGGGACGCATGGACGCATGACCCGGGGTATTGTCGTTTTATCTTTTTATCTATTCGTGGTTCATTCGTTTACCCGCCCCCCATTGGCAGGCAGGACGGAGTGGTATGAGGTCTAATTTGGGGGGTGGGGGGGGGGTTGAGCGTCATGTCTTCTTGGTGGTGGCTATAGCTGTGATTGGGTGCGATGCGCTCAGCCTGCCGCTCCACGAACCGACGATGTGGTCAAAGGGGAAGGGGTTGCATTAGGAACGTCGAGGCCGTACTAGGTTCTCTCTATGCAGTGGCGTTCTTTCTCTCTGCTTACTGCGCCTATCCATAAGGTGGTTCGCAGCCTTTTATGGTTGTGACACCACAAGAACGTAGTAGTGTCGTAGTAGATGAGCATGGGTCAAGATGAGGCCGCGATGAGCACGGCTAGTAGGCCTGTGGGGCGCTTTTTCAGGAACAACTTTAAACAGCCTCACGTGCTCATATGTCTATTCTCGTACGATACCACAAGAGCTCGCCTCGAGACGAGTACAATAAGACTGCGACACAAGTGCTTGGGGTATTGGGTTTTCGAACGATAAACAAAGAATTCGGAAGGAATGTATCAATATGGTTTATGAGGTCTCGTTGACGAAGGTGCGTTCATGCATTCAGTGTCCTTTTTATCCGCAGGGGCTCCAAGGTATTTCCGTACGAGGATGTCCGGGAGGTATAGGTACAGGACCCATGTACCAGTGTGCCGTTCCTTTGGATCGGAAGACTTGCCTGAAAGCGCAGGCTGGCTCAGAGGTTTTCCGCTCACGCCGTGAACATGAAAATACGAGGAGGACCGGGAATCCGGGTATGGGTGTCCCTAGGGCAAACACGGAAAGAATATATATTTAAACAGACCCCGCAGTTTAGGATTCGTCAAACGCCCAACTGCGTTCAGTCCCTTCCAGACTATTCTTGGAGTAAACGAACGCGTAGGTTTCGTGACTGGCAAGCTAATCGGGTTGCCGCGTGTGTGGTAGGTCCGGATTGATATTGGCGGAATGGTTATTTATGGCATGGTTTGGATGATGCTGAGCATCGCCACATGATGCATTTTTTTTTGCTTGTTTAGGGGGAAGTGCCGACAACTTTCGTCTCGCTTATGCAAGGAAAGAAGTCCCAGATGGGCATCGCCACCAAGCCAGAGAGTTATCTGGATATATCAGGCCGTGTTTGTTCATGTCCGCCATCCTGTCGCCATCGCATCGATAATCTAAATTTCCGCGGCCATCTCAACATCGCGTCGGACTCGTCGTTATCTTGTCTATATCGGCGCTTGTGGGTCTCCATTTCAGGGAAGAATGGGCAGGAATGGAAGGGAGGCTGGAGGAGGGCTGGTGTTCATGGATTAGATTGGAAATGTCAGATAGAAGATTAAAGATTATCGTGGTGGCCTTGGTCTGTCCTAGGTACACCGTATCGAGATCTGAACATGCCCTGTTGCCAGTGCCAGTGCCCTCGACGGTGAGTCGTTTTTGCGTGGGATAGCCCGAGTGAGCGCTAATTCGTTACTGAAAAGGATTGAGTGGACAGGCTGGTCGCTGCTTCATACCTGTGAGCAATGCAAGAACACGAGGATACGGTGAACCCCGCTGACACGCCTTAGTGCTCTTTCTTTGTATAGGTCTACAGTTCATGCACCAGACGGATTCACCGAGGTCCTGTGCTGCGCTGTGCTCCTAGTGGGGTAGGTCGCCTCGTGTTATGCCAATGGTCATGAGATAATATCTTGACTGCGCGAGCATGCAACGCGATTATCTCGAGTTCACAGCGGGGAACCTGTGACTCTTCAACTTTCATCGATCCTCATGTTGCGATTATCACTAACTCGAGGCAGAGTTCCATACTCGTTCCACGACTGGTAGGCTGCTATGAAAACCTTTTCTAGCTGACGTTCTGCTCTGACTGATTAATGAGATGGTATACGTACTTCCCCCGTTTGTCTGTATGCTCTCCTTATCGATTCCCCAGCTTCTGGTCACCTACCCTAGTCGGAACTGGTTTGTCATATTGCCCTGCACCCTGTGTGAGTGATGATTCTTTACGTCCAAGAACCACTGGTATGGAATGTTCTGCCTCGATGTGTTGTTCTGACGATTCAACTTGGAGCTGACCACACACCTCCTTGCCTCTCGATCTCCCATTACCAACTTCTATCGAGCTATGGCAAACATGGCCCTCTTTGCAGCCGCGTCAGTGCCTTCCCGTCCAATCATCCAATAGTCTGCGCAATTATGTTTATCGAAATCCCAACATACTTCTTGGACGGATGCACACTCACCGGTGTCTTGAGTTTCTCCGTTGCCCCTATGCAATGCTAATGGGCCGAGCTGTATCTTATCTATAGCACATCCCGTCCCAGTCTCTTCTCGCGATATCATGGACTTCTTTTACGCGCTTGGGCTCCTGATCATCTAGAACAGTCCAACTTGAAGTCTACCAAGCGCCTACGTTCCGGACGTCCCGAAGCTTCCAAATGCACCCGTTCCCTCCGTGTAGCGTAGCGCTGCAACATACTTCTACTTCTTCCTCACTTCCATGCTGGACGTGCTTCTTCAGCGCTCCTTGCACGCCGGCGACTCAGGCATCATTGTCAAACCGGCTACTTACTTACAGCCTAACCGCACCCAGCCATTATCGCACTGCATTGCACTGCATTCAGGTTTAATCTATCACTCGATTATCTATATCGATGTCTCGGGCCTTCCAGTCAACTTTCTGATTTGGGTCGTGCGTTATCGATATGATATGGGTGGTCATGGTCATGAGAACATACGCTTTCGTATAACTCTCTTAGCTCTCGCCTGTCATTCCCAGTCGTTCCTCGGTTCGCGGGATAGCTTGATTCTGTTCTCGCGTGAATATCGAACACTGCATATCGAGGTTGATGATAAAGATGGTAACTTGAAGTTAGCTCTGACTTGTTTGGAGCCCAAGGTTCCCTGGTTCGTGTTTTAGGTAGATGGGTTTCGCCTCCTGCTGACGGGAGACTGCTGACCCTCTGTCTGGACGAGATATATTGTTTAGTATCACCCAAGATCTCATACTTCCGATATCATCGTATATGTCTTTCGCTTATTCGCATCGCTTCATATCTATGGTGCTCAGAAGTCATCCCGCGAGTTTAGGTTTTGTAATCCCGGGCTTCATGGCAAGCTGCCATTCTCGTCCTCGACCAAAATCTCCGTCGGGCATAGAAGTTGGAAGTCTCCATGGTGGGCCACCACCTGTTCTTGGATCGTCATCTGGCGCCACTTTGTCCAACCCGACATCTCAGGCGCTCCGCTCCATATAATCTGTACCCCAAGCGTCTCCATTAGCCAAACTCTACACCGCTCCTGCAAATCCCATGCTTCGCGGGACGCCTGGTCGCAATTAGGATCTTAATTGAAGACGCCTGCGGTTGGCTCGGGTTGGAACAGAGCCTCGTGATATCGCGTCTGCGAGGATGCTGATCCTTCTAATCGCGGTGCTGGGATATCGAGGTGTCGGGGTTATCGTTGAAATTCTCGCGATGGTGGTGCCTCCGATATGTGTTGGGATTTACTTTCATGGTCCCCGATGGTGTCGTAAAACTCCACCCGGATCCACATCACATCACATCAACTATCGCTATCATTTTTGCACGTGGAGTCAGCGGAGGCTGCTACAAACGGTGCGTGTGGTGGATGCTGACTCCGCTGGATACTATTCCGTGACCACTCACAAACTTTATGCATTGCTATGACGGTGCGTGGAGACTGGCACTGTCAGGCCACTGCGCCTCACTTTCTTTGGTTGACCAAGGTCTTCTAGCGTTATGACACCACATTCCAACTTGGGGCTCGCCCTTATGGGTATTGGGAGAGCATTCGAGCGGCACAATGTCATTGTTCAGTGACATCACAGAAGACGTAGCCTTGTTTCTTTGGAATAGTTACGTTCTGCTCGGCCTAGATTTGGAGATGACGGTGACGATGAAGCAGAAAAAACTTTGAATCGGCTGTAGTAGGTTTGGTCCAGAGATCGACACTTTCTAGAAGGTGCAGGATATCCTTCGTAGCTCGTCATATTGGGGGAACATCACTGCTGTCTTCATACCATGACATCGGTGGGTGTCATACTTCGACAGCTCCAGCCCACTGGGTAGTGAAGTAACGGGAAGCAACGCCGTGTAAAAGCACCAACGTCATGACATACGTAGTGTCAAGGCTGCATGGTTCTCGATGCAGGAACTCCTCGCGGCCCATATCTCCCATCATATGTTCATTGTTCATGAAAAAGGTAACATACGGATGCAAGTTGGAGTTCTTCGAACATGGAGCAGAGTAATCTAGGCGATGATGTCACAGGCCTGGTAGGATATGCAGGTAACTCGTGATCACGACTTCGCTGAACAGTGTGCTTCGGGTGAGAGCATGATGTAGGTGGCGTTCAGTCCCACCTGAAGGTAGTAGCATGTGAAACCGGAGACAGTGTGCTGTATCAATATCCCGACGAAATCCAGATAGAGATGACAATTTAACGTTGTTTAGCGCTATGAGCAACCCGCCGGGATGAGAGTAGCATTGCAAATATCTGCCAGGTCCCGATCTGTCGAAGACGACAAGCTCGAGATATCGATCGCGAGGGTACCTGGTAAGTTGCATCGCCGTAGGTGCCTTGGACGCGTTTCATGGGCTGTACGATCCCGAAACTAGATACATCTAGAATAGATAATGCTGGATATCGATGGCGACGTCGATCGACTTGTTGGGAAGGACAGGCGTCATCGTAGATAAATCTAGAGTTTTACTCCACAGCCTTCTTTCAGACAACCCTTGTAGTTGCCAGTATAGGGCTACTGAGAGCACGGATAACATAGTGGGATGATTGGTGTTTTCTGAGATGGGCCATGGGCTGGCAGTGTGGCAGCCGTGTGCTAGGAAACATACCCATTAACTCGCAGCAAAATCCGTTCAGTCAAGAATACACAACGTTCTTTGGTCTGCGCTTACCACGGTGCCATAGCTATCTCGGTGTCAGTCCGTATTCAGATTATTGACATTTCGCAACATCCATGAAGTCCATCAATTTGAAGTTCCCATTCGTTTAAACCTCATATCTCCGAGTGGGTGACATTTCTCTTTTGCTGCTTTACACCCGTAAAAAAGTTCTGACGGGATGATTGGGATCAAATGTTGGACAGACATACATAACTTGAAGCAGCTTGGAATCACCGAAGGCGCAACCACAACAGCAGTAACTTGAATTTAGTGACCGCGCTAAAGGAGAAATACTGTGAATGGTGTTGGAAGGACAGATGGGAATGGCGGACGGGTCCGTGCGCGCGTCACATCGTCTTGTACGTACATTCCTTCTTGACATGCTTCAAGTCGGTACACCACCGAAATATATTTCTTCTCATCGCCTATGCTGGAGAACAGGAGTGCCAATATGCTGTATCGCCATACGGTGGCGAAACCAGATGGGCGGCGTTCAAGGAAATATACAAGATGTGATCTAACAATCAGATATGACTTCCCTGCACACGTCGTTGTATTCAACCTGCCAGCAAACCTTTTTTCTGTCATCTTCGTCTCTGCCATCCCGGCTATCACACAACCGTGAGGTTTATAGTCGACGGGGTTCGATAACAGGATGCACGATGCTGTCACCATCAGCCCGGTATGGCGTGCAGGATATAGAAATTTATTAATAAGAACCAGGGCATTCCGGTGAGTAAAACACCATTCTGGTGTCCAGCTCAGCGGCAATTTTTCAGACGTAAAATGAATGCCTGTATTATTACAGTACGTGTCATTATCTTTACCCGGTCGCATCACTGTCAGGATTCTTCCGTCGTCTTTCAATTGCAATCCGCACCGCGTTCACCGTACAACGCTCTTTTGCAACGATGATCTGAACCCTCAAATCCTGGACCTATCGACAGCATGCATCCGTAGGAATAAAGATGAATAATGGCCAATCGCGAAGCATGTGTGTAAAGTGTCCTCATTGTCGAAGGACGCGCGGGCTCGGACTTTTAGGCTAACTGCGTCTCGGCGTACTTTCAAGTTCGTCATCAGCTTGACAGACGGAATTCGTTAGATCGCCGAATGCTCATCTGGAAGATTTCGCTTTCATAGGTAGCTCCAAGGAATACATTTGCATTGCGGCGTTGCAAGTAATCTCCAAAGATAATTGCAGCATCATCTGTGAAATCTATGAACAGTATAGATTATCCGGATGGGACGCCCCCTCGAACTGGATTCAACACGCTTTGACCGCGTTTTTGAGCAACCTGTCCACTTGAACTCTCAAGCACCGCCTGTACTCTCGAAGGAGCTACAACGAATTCTACTCTGGTTCTACCGAGTAGGCCCCGCACGGTAGCAGTATTCGCACCCGCACGTAACTGCTGCAGCCTTGCTATGTGCATTGCAATATGACCACAGTGATGGAAGGCTTCCAACTTCTATTCACATGTTCCTGTCGAGTTATGAAAACCTCAGTTTGCACTATTATCACAAAATGCAAGTCTTCTGTACATGCGCATCAGGTCCCTGGAGAAAACCAGCAAGGGATTCTTTCAATCCGTTTTTCCCTTACACGGGTCTCCGCTCTCCATTCACACCAGGTGCAAACCGTGAGTTTTCAGCTTCTCGTTCCCTTTGCGTATGGTTGAATTTTGCTGTGCCGCTAGGGTACCATGTTGGTAAGGTGTGGGGAGGTGACACTGCAATCGCAACAGCCTCCCCTTCTTAGCCTGACTCCCCATGTTGAAATTATAGCAAAGCCCTGCTTGCTTCTACTGCTACTGCTATCCAACCGTGAGAGCCTACGCGCTCTGCACACCTGTTCAATACCTTGTGGGGCTGATTCACCGGTTTTCAAGACGCCCAGACACATTTCTTATCAACAGATCGCATCTCGACGTCTATCGGTCGTTATATGAAAGGTCGATCTTCGTTTGTTGTTCTTTCGCACAAACATGCTTTGCCCACAATGGACAGCACGTTGTGTAACTGAAAGGTACTATCATCTCGATTTTAATGATGAATAGATAAGATAAATGACGACTCTGTATCCCCAACAGAATTAATTTTCTGCGATCGCGTTTGCAGCACGTGCCCATGCAAGGTTATCAATTCTGCAGTCACAGTAAGAGATTACCGAGCTGCGTACACTGCCCCATCTCAAAATTGTCACCATTCTGATCTTGAACTCCCATCGTTTAACGATCGATTCGCTCATAACCTGTTCGGATCTGTGCGAGAAGCGTTCATTCACAAAACCTTCAGTGTTATAGTAGGACAAATTGAAATACGAACACGAAATCGCAAACCTTGTCATATTCTGTTTATGTCCACCTCGAGGCATCCTCATGACCGCGCTCACACACTTCTTGCTTTGGGCCTTGTAGGCCTGCCTTTGTCTCAAAACTTTTTCATTTCGCATATGGACGCACAATGCAAGGACCAGAGTGCTGTACGGTGTCTTCATGGTTGTTTTCATATCTATCCACGCAGATCTAGTCGATGACACTTCACATCTGATATCGCACACAAGAATGAATCGATAGGGACTCTTATTAGGTGGCGCCCCGCGTTACATGTTATCACCTCAAGGCGTCCAGCAGCCTGTTATACGAGTCCCAAATCTGAACAATCGTGATGGAATTCTTGGTTGCTTTGTTTTCACTTCACCATATATGTCTACGATACTGTCCCTTTCTGCGCTGTAGGGGTAATGTTACGGATAGTGATATACTGATAGTGGAGTATGGCTACGGTTCATATGCCAATACCAACATTGTGCTCAGAGTGGCACGGAAATAGGGTGCACTGATGGTGAGCCACTGAGCATGTTTTCTTGGGTGCTCCGAGGACGAAGCCAAGCCTGAGGCAGAAAGGCAGAACGAGCAAGAAGGCCTCGAGGATTGGAAAAACTATAGTGCGGCGTTGTTAATACGGTCACAGCGACGAAAATACAGATGATTCCATTCCATGTCTTGTCTTAGACTGAGACAAATCGAATTATGAACTCCTATTCATTATGTCGATGGCGAATATCAAGAAGTAATTTACTAGAATGTTATTAGAATGGAACTTGGAATCAGATAAGATATGGACGGATCTTGACACCATGCTCAAACAGCTTGCGTTAGAAGACTTCAAAGGGTCGACTGAGAGGAAGTCTTAATCAAGAAGTAGGAGTTCAGGGTGGGGACAAAGGAGAAGGTTCAGGATTCAGGGGACCATGAAAGGGCCCGAAGTCACTCCAAGCAGGCAACATGTCTTGATGGACTGGGTTATGGGCCAACGGAGCTCACAAAGAAGAAGAAAATAGATATCCGCAGGGGTGAAATAATAGCTCACGCATGCCCGTGGGGTATATGAACTCACGATCGCCTCCTACCTTTCTGGTGAATTCACGCAAGTTGGACTGTACAAAGACAGGCTCGGACCATGTAGCCAAGATAGGCGGCACTAGAGTGATTGTACTGAAAAGAAAAGGAAAATCCTTTGGACTGTTCAGAAATAGAACGCAGAGATCCTAATCGTAGCTTACTCGTCACATCGGGGCAATTTTGAAATCACATCGTGTCTAGCTTGAGTTTGCATGTCTTCAAGGCCGTTTGTTGTTCAAGTTATACATGCTTTCGTTCGTTATTAAACTTCAAGAGACGCGAAGACGGGTTGGAGCAACATAATCCTGGGTCTTTGTCTCTTGAAGGTCGATACTAAAACCGTGCAATCTCATTGTCAATTTATAATCAATTAAATCACTGATACCTTGCATGATATTGGTTGTGATTGTAGTCGAAGAAACGTTGAGATGGGCCTGAGATAGATGTAGTTGGCGGAAAGCGCAACCGTGACTTGAAAGGCCGCGTGGCCGACTCTTTGTGCTCTCAATGCTTTACATGTAACTTCATCCACCTCTATTACACCTATACCACCCAGAGCATTTATCGCATTGTTAATCATAAGGCTGAAGAAATATGAAGAAAAAGGTTTGAACACTGTATGCGTATTGTAGGGTCGTCTGACTTCCCTTCGAAACAAAGGTTCTGCTCATGGGTGCTTCAGGGAGCGGAAAAACATCCATGCGTTCCATGATATTGTAAGTAAGTCTGCGTGTTGTTGCATGACCTCTGAATCTAAAGGTTTTTAAAGCTCTAATAACCCAGCTTCTCTCACCTCTCGCTTGGGGGCTACCATCGATGTCGAGCAGAACCATGTTCGTTTCCTTGGTGATCTCATCCTCAACTTATGGGATTGTGGCGGTCAAGATGCATTCATGGATTCATATTTGACTACACAACGATCGACCATATTCTCGCATGTCGGTGTGATGATTTACGTGTTTGACGTCGAGATGCGGGAGCCTGAGATGAGCAAAGATCTTGACTACTATCAAGAATGCTTGGGGAGTCTGGCGCAGTTTAGTAAAGACGCGAGTGTATTCTTGTTGGTTCATAAAATGGATCTGGTGAGAGAAGGGGAAAGGGCTGCCATCTTGCTAAAGAAGACAAAGGAATTGGAGAAGGAAAGTCGTGATGTTAGCGTCAAAGTGTTTGGAACAAGCATCTACGATGAAACGTTGTACAAGGTATCAGTCCTTTTTCTCCCAACCACCTTGAATCTGACTTACACATACTGCCTTCGCAACTCGTCATTTCACGTAGGCTTGGTCGAATATAGTAAACACTCTGATCCCCAATGCTCAAAATCTCTCGAAACACCTGCGCAAATTTGCCGACGCATGTAGTGCTACCGAAGTCATCCTTTTTGAACGTACCACTTTCCTCGTCATTGCTACCTCGTCTAATCCTGATTCTTCCGACTCTTTCCCTCCCGACACGGTTGCAACGCACGCGCTAGATCCCAAGCGTTATGAACGTACCTCAGAGTTGATCAAGGCTTTCAAACAATCGTGCTCGCGGCTGCGTGAAGAATTTCACTCGCTTGAGATGGAGCTTTCCGAGTTTACGGCTGTCCTGGATGAGATGACCAAAAATACCTATGTGTTGGTCGTGGTGCATAACCCTATTGTTGGTGCGTATACATACTCAATCCACTTGGACCTCGTTGTTTCGGCTTTGAACTAACAGGATAAATTGCATAGAAACGGCTGCCATAAAGATGAACATTCGAATGGCGCGCCGGAAGTTTGAGGAACTACAAGGAGACAGTCTCGTTTCGTGAATAGCGAACCAACTATGCTTTGTCGTACGACGCCCCTTCTTTGCCTTCCTATGATCCTATTTTATTCACATTCACACAAACCTTTCACTGATCATTCTCATTGTAAAACAATATCCTACATCATTAGTGAGTCATTAGCATTGTTTCGACTTCGCTTTCTTCACTCTTTGTTCAGTGATGTTTTCACCTCGCACACCCGTTCGCATTGTATAACTAATAGAGTGGCTTCACGTTCTTACAGATATATATTTCTGGACATCATTTATAGACCATGTGCTCCTCGACATACTATATACAAAGGCGTGGAATGATAATGTAATTTTTTGCACAAGAACATGAACATGGTGAGCAATGAACGACTCGGAGCGACTGATATCTACTGCGTCTGAATTCCTCCAGGATTTGTGGCCTGGACGGATACTCTCACAGCAACAACGACCTTATTCAAGCCGTATCGACGGACTAAAGCATTCGTTAGATGTAAAGTGAAATGGCATAGTGGTCATAAATACAATTTCATGGACTGAGCTAAGTAAGTGACACTTTGATCAAGCATAGCTCGGAGTCTGTTTTGATTTGAAAGTGAGCAATGGTAATATTGTTGGCCTATATAAATTACTAGCCATACTGACAGTATACCGTCCTGCAGCTGGACCCACCATCGGTAATGTCAAAATCGAGCCTTATGAGGCTGAAGAAACACCAGGCTAGGTGACACCATTCAAGTTCCATAACTAACATCATCATTTCGGTTCCGTTCCGCTGCTATGTCACTTTCTCTTCAAGGTTTTATTTCTACATAGGGTTCTAAAGAACTGAAATTTGGACTGACTGACGAACTTCCAAAGTTAGCTTTACTGACTAGTGAGTTATTCAGCTTCTCCCAGCAACACTGGCAGTTGTGAAGTGACAGGAACATGTCCTTCCCGTGATGCAACTTGTGTTTCCCTTTGACTCAAGCCAATGACTCAGTAGAATTGATATAACAATGGTACTATTGTACGATTTTCGGTCAAGAAACCACAGTTTCGCAATACCCTGGTAAGCAGCTGACACACCAGACCAAGAAATACAGGCCATACATGAGACTAACACCATCTTCGCAGCCAAAAAAGATTCTTCGACATAACAGCAAATATTGTTCGTAACACTCATCAACTCTATCGTACAAGTTATAACACGACCTTGATTTGCAGACGTATCTTGAAGTTTGTTCATTCCAGACGAGAGTCCTCGTGCGTGGCCAGCCACCCATGCTTAAGAACAAAATAAATGAGCCCGTCATTGACAAAGAGCAAAGCTTTAGCTTACGCTGAAAAGATTACCATGGTGCTTGGGGTCTATCATGTAAACTGGATTTCCTGCACGTTCCGCGATCGCAGTAGACAAAAGCGAGATATCGACGGGAGTCACTCTGGCGGATGTTAACCTGCCAACTGGTATATCATCATCGCCACCCCTTGCGACAGCGAGTTTCTGGCCTATAGAGTCGACAAGTACTCCAGTTAAACCTTTCTTTATGATCTCCAAGATGGCTTTGAAGGATCCTGTAGTCGGTACGAGACTAATGATCTTTTCTAACAAGGTATCAGGTATAGGAATGACTCCACGGATAACTGAACGGGAAGCACGTCGAGAAGCGCACCCTGCGCAGGGCGAATGGTCTGCTCACGCAAAGACAGATACCGAACCGATGTACTCTTCACCTCCAGAGAGGGTTTTGTACGCTAGCTGGAAGCTGTATGACCTATTGTAAGCATGTTCTAAGAGTCTGACTTGAATGACGAAAGACCGATATTGTCGTATTATTTCATAACCGTCAGGAATGCCAGCAGGCATCTTTCCGGGAAATGGAAATGATGGGTGCGTTCGCCCGCCTCGTCTTGCGGACTCTGCAGGGTTGAAACCATAGTACTTTGCTATTCTATACCTTCCCGCAGTACGGCTCGCTTCATTGGCGGGTAGGTCGACTTTGATGCCTTCGAACTCCGGATAAGAGTAATCCGTGGCAAATCAGGCTTAGACGACCACAGAAATACAGAGATTAGACAGTACACTTGGGGTGGAAGCCCGGAGTCGTCGGATCCAGAAAGCGTGTTTGCTTAGACGTCCAATACTCTCCATTTTCGGTCCTGAAGGGAGCTAGATTTCCTTCTGGAAGAATTTGCTCGTTGTACACTTGATGATAAGTACCCCCATCCTGTGCCGCCTGAAGTTGAGTTTCTTTCATAAGTTCTGGACAAGCTACTTACCAGGGACCAGGGGTAAATTTCGCCATCGTAAGTATAACCGTCTTGCATCCAGTGCTTAATGTAGCACCATTCCCATAAAGAGACTGGATTCCACCGCAGAATCAGGACCGAGTTACATCAAGTAGACGATAATATTACGCACATAATCTGTCAACGTTACAGTGATGAACTGCGAAGAATGAGTACTAGTAGAAAGGTAGCAGAATACAAGTTGAGTCCAGCTCACGGAAGAAGATAGGATCAAAAGCCGCCTGATGCAAATTTCAGTCATATCTTGATTTTGAACGATGTTAACAAACTTACGTAGTCTGGATCACTCTAGAGCGTGTACCATATGATATCAGAGAGGGAAGGCTTAACAAAAAAGGAAGTTACTGACCATATGCCCGTTTCCGCCCTATACGCAGACGTGCTCAGTATGAATTTTCGAAGTGAAAAGGGAATTATTACGAGATATTGGTGCACGTTATTATGCACACCTTCGAGCGAGCCTCTGAGAGTCATGTCATTTGCTCTCTTGGATTGCATCACCGTGTTAGAGAACTCATCCCAGCTGAAATTTAATATAACAATCACAACCGCATGAAAGTCCACAATAGATTGGCTTACGCTTTGGCAGAGTCATCACCTTCGGGAAAGGTGAACAGAAGCGCAATTTTGCGCCTCCAGTCAGGCAAGTTCTTTTTAAGTTCTCTGCCGTACAGTCAAAATCAGTCCGATGCTTTTGGGATATAGAAGCTAAATCACATTTCAAGAGCCTTTACGTTACTATGTTTTGCATCTGGCGAACTTTCTGCATATCGCAAGCTACGACGCCATGTCGAGAAATATGCAACTCCATTCTAGCAGAACATTAACAGCTCGCAATACTAATAAGATAGAGAACGCACCTCTCGCACCACGTCTTGAAAGTCAGGTGGTATTTCACCAACAAACGGGTAGTAAGAGAGGGGATTCGGAACCTCGATTTCAGAAAAAGATCTTCGCGAAATCTTTGTTTTGTTTTCCTTGGTGACGAGTACGTGTCCCGTAAAAATTTTCACTGTATCTTCCTTGAGGATCTGGGGAAGGCCGTTTATAGCAACATCTTCTGCCGCCCAATCCCAGTATCTGATAAGGGCGTCCTACGTTATATACGCGGCCTGAGTTGTATCAGAAAGAAAAGCGTACGGGAAGCGTAGCTGCCTCGCAGCCGGGACCCATAAATTCCTTTCGCCAGCGCTGCTTTGCTCGAGCGCTTGAGCCAGTTTTTCAGCTATGGTGCCAATAATTTGCTGTGCGTTTTCACCACCATCAGTGAGGTGTACGAAAACGATCAAGAGAATATCGTACCTCAAGCAGTAACAAGTATGAACGGTGCCAAGGCGGGAACGACACAGCACCGTGGCTATAAGCAGAATGATGAATTTTTGTAGATTAAAAGGCATTATTTAGCTCACCTGCAATATCCTATAATATTGACTATATGTTAGAAAGAATGGTCACATAACGACGCGCGAACACACCTCCAAATCTAGAAGGAACTGGACCTGTGTCCTTCCTGTCGTTACTATTGAAATCGGCTATTTTCTCAAGTTCTTTTCTTTTGTCACCGATCCATTCTTGGTAAGGCTTTCCATGGATGCTGGCTATTGCACCAAAAGAACCCGCTGGATTTTCCAGGAACACAGCGGACAGAGGACTCTGAGGGTCCGTCAAAGGGCGCTCTTGAATAACAAGAAAGGCGAGGATGAACAATGTGAATTGATAAGGATGGTTTGACTGCAACTCTTGGATAGAAAGCCGGTCATAATTTGCTCCCGTATCTTTGCGTCCCACAACAGGATAATAATCTGGGTTGCTCATGTTAAATGTCTAGAGAATATTTGCTGGATAAGGTGAGGTGAGGTGGGGGATGAGGGTCCTAACGTTTGTCCAGACTTAAATATAAGTTTTGAAGAGTCTAAGTTCCGGTAGCCTTAGTTATCACCGAGTCCATAATATTCCTCCGGTCCTAGAAGAGTGACAAGGTACATTAATCGTCCATGATTGAAGATTGATCGAAGATCTTTTGAAAATAATTGTTTGCAAGGCTTCCCTCAAAATATACACAAGCGTCACGACGATCTTTGATGGAATTACCCAGCCTCCGACTGGCGTTCAAACAGACTTACAAGGCTTGAACGAAAATCGGTGGAGGGTGGACGAACTGATGGTTAAATACAAACTGTATTAACATTTACTGTGGGGCGAGACCAAGATATAAGCCCCTTTATGAACTTTGAGAGGTACCTACGAGACGATAAAGAAACCAAGAAACCCTGCTTCCAGGTCGTTAGGGCAAGAGATTGTGATTGAGCGAAAACTTCTGTGATGGAAATGAAGAACCAGACCTGTAAAGTAGCTGAGATAATTTCCTAAGGTAGTTGACTCGAGACTTCTCAGCATGGTCACCCGCCCAGAAATGCACGGTGCAACGACTTCTCTGTCAGTGGTCGTTGATCATTGATAGAACCACATATGAATTTGAAGTGCACGTATCACTAGCGGCCTCCTAATATTTCGCCCGTTCTTCTCCAATGGCATCGATATACGGCCTTTTTTATTGAGATTGATAATTTGCATCTTCATACTGCGGACATTCCATCATTCTACTTCTTGCAGACTTCTCTCGGTGGCAATCGCGACTGCATTTTGCGCAAATTATTAATGTCTTCAGGTCCTAGAATCTGTTTCGCGTGCTAGATCAAATTCGGATGCGAACCTTCCTATTTTGTCACAGTGGTCGGCGGTCATCTCCATTGAACTTCCAAAGCGTCCATCGCTATAACTTAAATATCCTGAAGCCTTTCATCGCTTTGATTCTCCTCCCAGCCGTGGTGATTCGAATCTTCATCTGTCTTCAACAAGTTGCTAAGTCCTAAGTTAAAAGTTACACACAGTTCGGATTTATCTATGGTGCGATCCACTCACCTTGACCTGACATGCTCCTGGACCCGTAGCAGGTTTTCATTTCGACAGCTTTCACGTGATACTCCCCTCCCATGTGCCACTTGAACAAGCCAGTCACCCCCCTACTGTACGGTTTTTCTTTGCCTATTACTTACCATTCTTTACATGCGCCTTTCGAACTGCTTTGATCAGCGGCGAAGCTTCATTATCCGCTTTTCCATTCCTTGAATATATGTCATGAATTCGGTTGAGAACATCGAGGAAATAAATTCTTGACGTCGAAGGTTTCTGGATGGTTAAATTCAAAACACGCTTATCACGGAAGCCTTCAATTTGTTGTTGAGATCAGTCTCGAACGGTTGCCTGTACGACAAGGGCAGATTTTTATGGAATGGTGCTCCTCCTCAAATGCTACATACAGTGAGCATGAAAGAACAATGAAAGAATATACAAGAGAAACGCAAACAACATATATGACTGACTATATGTTAGACAAAAAATGACTGTGCTCTACAACTTATGCATTCCTCCAGGACTATGGAGCTTCCCTTAAAATAGTCCCTTCTTGCCTCGAGCAATGCGTGTCACCAATAATTTGAATAGATAAATACGGTATATTGAAGTTGAGTGGATCCTGTCACTGGCATTAATCGGGGTGATCGCAGGTTTGTCTACTGAACCCAAACTGCGTAGGCATAAGCAGTCAATATGATGAAAACAGGCTAGAAGAAGCTAGTTCAACACTCACACGCGATAGCGATGACAAGATACAACACAATGAGCATTAGTCCTTCCATATAGTTCGACTTGCCATCCCTGAAATAAAGTGATATAGCGCCTCGATGGGCAATAGAGCAAAAGGGAGATGACATACATGATCAGCAAAGTGACTAAGAGAACTGACGCAGAGAGAACGATTGTCTATCCGAAGTGAGCTCGAAAATGTATCAAGTAGTACTGAACGCTCGTACCTCGAAATTTGCGAACTGTAGCGTAAGGGGATGCCCCGTGCTATAAGTTATATTCCAATTAGCCACAGAAACTTTGGGGAGTAATATAGAGGAACACTGACATCCAACCAATCACGACGAGCAAAGGGATTACAAAAGTGGCGATTTGCTATTGTATCGACCGACCGAAATGAGTCCCAGATACATAACACAAGAACGTCAACGGAAGAAACGTACGATAGAGCTGCCCACGCAAATTCCAATAGTAAGTTCCATCTTGCCTTTCATGGCCATCCAGACGGATGTAACATGTTCTGCAGCGTTCGCCTATGGCACAAAAAGTGGAATCACTTGTTAGAGCTGCATTGACTCGACGAGATAGAGAAAGGCTTTAATCACCACAATGGGGAGGAGAATCAAACCTATGAAGGGCTTTGGGATGTTATAGCGATCGGCGGTTTCTTCGATGGAGGCAACCACTATTAAAAAAATATCGAACGTGGTTTATCTCGTGCGAATAAATGTTAGAAATTTCCCTTACGGTAATCCGCACAGAATGAAGTGATGACTGTTACCAGGAGAAGTCTGCGGGGAACGTATTAATGAAATATCCACAAGATGCGACTACCAAAGCTTACGAAGATCCTGCAGCAACGGTACTCATTTCAGCCACTGGCTCTTCATCACCGTCTTCAATGGTTATGAAGTACTCTTTGTGAGTTTTCAGCTAATATCAAACGTCAGGAAAAGAAAACCACTGGATATGACATTAACTATATCACATACTTGGAAGATAAGATATGCAACATATGTCAGGAACAACAGGATTGCTGTGCCCCTGGATATGAAGAGCAGACCTGTGGTCGGACATCTTCCATCTCCTACGAGACATTCAGCCTGCTCCTTGATGCCTGCGGCCGTCGTACTTGCGTATGCTGCAGGGATCACCAGAGCTAGAAATTAACGAGATGATTAACTGTTCATCTTGGTATCAAAGCTACATAAAACACAGTATGCTTACTAATGCATGCTAAAGTCATCAACTGATAGTATGTCAGGACAATAAACAGGATATATGATAAAATCACCTTACAGAAGCAGACCTAAAACAACTGTCAGTAGTGTCACACCGATTATTTGACAGAACTTACGCCTGGGCTCCTTGTACTTGGAAATTTCCCTCAGGAAACTTGAGGCCCCCTAAGTCAGACGTCATATAAGATCCCGTGGCGACATAAGGCGTCGGTCTTACCTGCCAGGAACGAACAACCCAACACTAATAGTATGTTTGACAAAATAGAGCCTAACATCTATTTTTATCCTCGTTAGTCGTAAACGATGCACTATCTAAATGTGTTCTTACAGACGTCTGAACAATGACGAGTTGATCTGCCACGTCGATTAGAAGGAGTCGATAGGCGAATCGGCATGACTGACCTTGCAAAAGAGCGGCGATGCCCACAATTATTTCTACGGCATTTCCGAATGAAGCATTGAGTAGACCCGACAAGGTTTGTCCGAGTTTGACTGAAAGTTGGTCAGTCGCTTCACCGAGCAGCTATATACAAGGTAAGAATAGAACAGAAGCTGTAGCTTGAAATCGCCCACCTTTGCCAAAGGTACGATAGCCAAAAAGCTGAAGGAGAATCGGAGAACGGCATCCCATTCCAGATTATGGGAGATGATGCTCAGGGGTACGAATACGAGCAGAACATTGAACCAGGATCCAAAGAAGAAATATTTATAAGAATCCAGCCAAGAAGGCTCTCCTTCTGCTTTTGAAACCTTCACGACACGCTGAAGAAATGATAGAGGTAGCTCGTCGTTTCCGTTGCCATTCTCTAGCAAAGGAGATGTTTCTGTGGGGGGCATTATGGTAAGGATGAAATAGATAGTTCGCCAAGAGCGTTTTGACATGAGGAAATATATCATATCACGTGACTCTTCTTTACCCCTCGCGTGAGTATTTCCATAAGCGGTAAGTAGTATTTAGCGAGCGCAAAAGTCTTTGCAAGTCTTGGAACGGGTTTTGAGCTTGTCGTCTTGTACTACTGTGGCCGTACATAGGATTGTTTCGCGCACTTTGGAAAGACGTGTCTTGCCTATTTGCCCAGGTGGCTTTGGTTATCATAGTCGCACTGCGGACCTGAACCTATCTGTGCCAACTTTCCATAGAATGTTCTACGGCACTCGGCAGTGCCGGCGAATGCAGCTGCAGGCAGTGTCCGGATCTGAAACCGATGTTCGCTATGACTTCCAAAGGAATCTTCGACGATACTACCAGGCAGAGCGCCGACCTCGAAACAGGTACCTGATCAGGGTCTTAGGATATTGGTCCAGTGTACGCTTCATCTTATGTAGCACAGGTTACTAATTGAACAATGTCTGTGTCGACGTTGAACAACATCGAGCGATGATGGCACAGCACTGTAGTCTCGTACCAGACGTTTTGGGAAGGCGCCGCTTGTTCTGCGTCTTCCAAAACGACTATTCTTTGACACTCCAAGCCACTCCCCCGCAACGAATAATCCAAGCAGAAGGATATATTATTATTTACAGCGCTGAAATGGCGCAAGCTCCGCATTAGTTATCGATGACCTCACAGTGCACCGATCTCCAAGTTGCCTTGACGAAAACACCACCCCTTGGCTGCAGTTGTTCTCCTCAGCTGATCGTTATTCTTACCAATAATTACTGTTCAAGGAGTCAGACATTGTTGACGACGTAATCGGGGTTTTATGTACGCATAAATGGTTCCTCTTTCTGCAGGAAGCCTTTGAAAGCGGTGACCACAGCATCGTGCAATCAAAATAAATTGGCCAGTAACTTACAATTGGACTGATCAACTCCTCTTTCACCATCATGCAGCTCACACTCTCGAGCGAGAACGTCCGTGATACAGTCATGACAAACTTACAAGGTCAAGTCATTTATAAAATAGATACTCCTTGGAGTTTGACTGCGCGCACTACCACTATACGGAAAATCAGGCCCAGCTCCTCCCCGCTTAGCATGCGCGATGACTTCGAAGTCGTAGCAGAAATTGACTGGCACTCCTGGACGTCGTCTAAATTCCGCTTCAATGGCAACCAAGTACGATCGGAAGATTATATCCCAAGTACTGGGTTTACCAGACGGTGTGTGCACTTTCCAACAGAAGATAGGGTGTATTAAACAAGGATACAGCAAACGCACATTTATAGGCCCAGATGGACGGAAGTACAAATGGACACTCGGTCGCCGGACGCCTTCTGTGAGCAGTGATTTGCTATTCATCTCTAATGTTTCACTTACGCAGATACGACAGCTTGAGCTGGGGGATATTCCTGTAGCTCGCTTCCACAAAAGGAGTTTGGGCGTCATTGGACAGAGTCATCCGCCTTACCTCGAGATATACCCAGCCGGTGAACATATCGTAGACGCGATTGTTTTGACTTTTATATATGTGGAAAAGCTGCGGAAGGATGGGCAAAGGGCAGCAGCCGCCAGTGCAGCTGCTTAAACTTAACTCTGCAGAAGCCCGTCCCTGCAGTTCTACTGGCGGCGTCATGCATGACTCCAACACTTACGCCTGGTATCCCATGACCGAGAGGCAACGCACTCCAACGTTCTCGATCAGGGGGAACTATGGCATCCTGATTCCCACTACTCGTCTGCCTACTTCAGTATACTTCTCAAATGGAGAATATCTTTTATATTGCGTGTCACATGTAATTCCTGGACCCGTAGGTTCCAGGTTTCCAAAGCACAAATGTCCGCTGCGTTTTCCAAGGACCTTTTAGTCATTACTCATTTACGTTTACGCTTCCTTTCCTTTCTCGCACTTTCGGCTCATTCCCTTCATTGTCACGTGGCTACCTTGGTGCTACTCACTCTTGCATCCATTGTACGTTGTTGCTCTGTGATCGCTGTAAAGGCCGCACAAAATGTTAACTGTAATGGCCTGCTGTGTGATCTGGACACAGCCGGGGCCAGGTCTGCCCCAGAGGGCAATGGTTATATGACCAATGTGAGGAATGATTATACCAGGATATGACCCAAAAGCCCCCACAAAACCTATTTAAATAGCTAAATTATATGTAATGATATCGTCCTCATGAGCTGTTGACTTTCTTGTTGACATTCCTACGCCGCTTTACACTATCAGGACGTCTCAAGTGGAAGCTACTGTTAGCTCACAGCAGTGGTCAGTGTTGGCGTGTTTAATATTATTTCTCATACAGGAAATAGCATATGTACTGCCATACATTGGCAAAACATGGGGGGTCCGAATCGAGGTCTTCAGTTTGGCCCAGTCGCGGTGTACTGGTACATGTCCTCTCAGTCATCGCGCACTTGGAAAATCCATATCAGCCGGTTTCCGCAAAAACGTTAAACTGATCGCGCATGTCAAGACGAGAAGTATTCGGTCTGATTTTCGTCATCATAATTCCGTTTTGGTGAGTGTAACTTGAAGGTCAAGAGCATAGATTTCATCCTAGGCATTGGCTTTACCAGTTGGCAAGTCCACTGGCTCGTGACTTCAAATAAAGCAATATATCTTTACTCCAATGCAAAGCACGTACCTTTTTGGGTCAAGATGGACGATCATACAAATGGACGCTCGGTCATAGTGTTCCTTCTGTGAGCGTTGGCACCAATGTCTTTACAAGAGTTTCACTTATAAGGTTCTCAACTTGAGCTAAACGATGACTAGAGTACTCCTGTAGCTCACTTTTACAAAAGGAGCTTGGGCATTATCGGCGGGCGGCATCCACCATATCTCGGGATATTTCATGCTGGAGAACACATAGTAAACATGGTTATTTAACCCTCGTATACGTCGAGAAACTATAAAAGGATAGGGAAAGAGCTGCTTACATTGCTGCTGCCGCGAGTCAACCAGTGGATGCGTTCATCTCCTTTCTTTAAATTTATACCCAGCGTTTATATAATCAATAATACTATTGCTTTGTTGCATTAGATTCCTGGGTTGGATCAAGAATGATTTGAGGCCGCATGTGACTTGGAGCTTCTACGCACGAAACTGTTCAGACATCGGAAAGATCTGTGTACGGCTCGTGGATACATCCTGCGTGAAACGTCAGGAACAACAAGCATCCAACTGGAAAAGTTACACCTTTCAAGCTACACATATATCAGTTATAAGCGTCACGAATAATTAATGAATATATTGTTTCTCATTATGAGCGAATGGTAATCCACAGAAACGTCGGTAAACAAAATGCACACATGATAGAACGTAAGATTATGATGTTTGATCCAAGATCATTGATTCGGCCCTCATATTTCTGGCGCACCACTGTATTGACCAGGACGAGGGAATTGTGTTTGACTGGGGTAACCATGGGAGGGCGAGAAAGCATTAGGATTACTGCCAGTAGTCTGGATAGTAGGTGTCGGAGGCGAAGTGGGGAAAGTGCTCGGATCTGAAGGGTCCTGTAATACGTCTAATCAGTGACACTTTCCAATCCCAAGTTCGTAAACTTACATAAAGCCTGGGTGGAGTCATCGGCGATTGTCCTGGGAACGGATTGACTTGGTACATGCTGTTCGTGTAATCAGATCGGGGCTTATTCGCACTCCCTGCCACGGACTCGTTGTATGCAGCCGAAGGAGCGAGCTTGGGGCGGCGGCTGCGAACCACGAAGAACCCAATAGCAGCTGCGATAAGTCCTACACCAACTACGCCTCCCACAACTCCACCAGCGATGGCACCCGCATTGGTGTGAGATGAAGATGGTGATCCAGAGGTTGAACCAGGGGAGGAACCTGAGGAAGAGGTGGGAGCGGGAGAGGACGTTGGAGATGAACTGGCCACGCTGCCAGTTGACTGAACCCGGGTGGCTGTTGATTCCGGAGTATCTGGGTAGGTACTTCGACATGTTATTCGATGTCCAAGCAGCGATTCACCTACCTCCATCAGCTTTTGCCGCAGTTACATTGAAGTCATCGCTTGCCTGCATCGCAAAAGAAATAGCTAAGCATTTCACAACATCGGATGAAAGAGCGACGTACCATAACATTCAAATAAGCCCAGTTCGGTACAGCTGTGCCACTGGGGATATCAGTGGGAAATCTGTTGACAATCTCGTCAACATGGCGATCACAGTCGTGATTGGAGAAACTAACGACTGAGGAAAGATAGTGGTGCAATTGGTACTCCAAGAACTCCAGCTGATCGAATATTTGTGGTTATCACTAGTGATAAAGGATACAACATAGAAAGAAATACCTGATCCATGTGGAGTTCTGACATGCACCGCAGGCACTGAGCATAGAATATGTGACGGTGCTGCATTGACATTGATTCACATCCGTTGGATCTGGGCCAATGTAATGCGTGCCGTTGGGCAATGCATTCACAGTAAATTCTGAGGAGATACGTTAATGTTCAATCAGCCTTTTTGGGTATTTGAGTGGCAGAGTTAGGTCACTCACGTCCATCATTACAAGCAGCCTGAAGATAAGCTGCTACCAAACAAGGATTCTGGCCACGACTATTGGATGCCTAAAATTGAAGTCGAAAAAAAAACATTAGCACATAGTCATTGATACATAGTCTTATACCGCCACCGCTACTAGTATGGAACGCAGACCTCACCCAGTCAAATGATGGGATGCACACGACATTCGAGGACTGCGCTGATGTCTTTCTGACCACTGAAAATATTTGGAGTGCAACGACTGCAACTGGCCAGAGGTCGAAAAGCATGTTGTGACGGAAAGAGGGACAAGAGGAGGGAAGCAATATTTTACCTGTCCATCCCTACCGCACGCGTCCCTAGCATTATTTACATACTGCAAACAGCGAAGTAGGGTTAGCTTCTAGTGCATGTTTTGGGCGCTTGTTCCTGACATGCTGTGCTCAAGACGGGCCACATCAAATGTAATATAGTCGCGTATAGCTACCGTGACGGAGCCACTTCACAATACCAATAATCTTTGAGTAAGTTTTACCCCTTTTTGTCAGACTCAAATGTATTTGTTGGAAAAAACGCGAGGTTTCCGCAAAGGCTGTGGTGGATAGTGGGTTACCACCAACACCCACGCTCGATGAAGAAATGATAATACTTAGTAGATATCGGCGCTTCTTCTTGCTCGGGCACATCGATATAGATTCTCAGTTCATCAGGATAAGGAAGAACTCAGTCTCAGCCAAGCATCTACAGATGAGTCGAATGGTTGACCAACACCGAGGATATTAAAAGAGCGCAGAGCTTCACGGGCGGGTCCCATCAGGACCTTGATGAGCCCTTTTGTGTAAGGCGAGGTTGGACATACAAAGCCATGTGATTAATCGACAGATTCCATCCGCTGATTAGTAGAAGTCACATATGTGCCGATAACAGCCAATAATTCATGCAGATAGTGAATCCAATTGACACGAGGTATACGTCAGGTGTGCTGCCTATCGGAAGATCAATGGACTATTTCGGAGTGGTTAGGACCTGGCCAGTGAATCTTGATTTGGTAGATAGATCGCAGTAAGTTCATCGAGTGCTCGACGTACATGACGCTGTATGAAAATCTGTGGTAGACTAACAAAAGGATCTTGATGAGTGGACGATCGTTTGATCTTTTACGGAGAACCAATACCACCATCAACGGATCTAGTAGCCAATGAAATGCGTAAAACACAACGAGGAATCTAAATCTAGGGCCTACATTATGACATATCAGTGTATCATCACTCCTTTGCCTCCCAAAGACAATCCCTAAGCAGAGTCGCCGACGCTAAGGCCGTATGAAGCGTAAAAGATGAAAGTGTCCGTGTGTCTGTTAGGAGCACAGTCGAAACACCTATGTGCTGCAGCGCCACTGTTGGTGCGAGACATATGAAATGTGATTAAGAAAGACAGTGAAAGTTGAGCCCATCACAACCACCCGACCTGATGAACAAGTCGCAACAACCCATAAGGAAAACAAGTCCATACCTGAGACGTGCACGATCGGTGCTTATTCCATTTACATCCATACCGGGATACGTGGGTGAACGTATAAACACTGGGGAGATGCGAGCGAGAATGGGCGCTGACAGCGTGATATTACACGCCTACAACTACGTAAAGGCACCACGGAGTCGCAGAGTGGCTAACTACCCAAACAACTTAGAACCAACACGCTGAATGGAGAGAGAAGATGTATTGCTTACATGCAGAACCCGACTTGCAATAGAAGACATTTGACTTCATATTTACGTGAAAATTTCCTGCCATCAGATCAAGGACTGGATCTATTGAGGACCCTGGGCGCGTCCAATGAGAATGACTGATTGGAGGTACGGGTGACTGAGCCAAGAACGATAGTTGTTGAAGAAGAAAGTTAACAAAGCAACGAGAAATTCGCATTGCTCACGCGAGTTCATCGACAAGAGGCAGTACAGCAGGCGTAATATGCGTTTCAGGCTATCAATTGGCAGTAGCAGATTTTGCGTAAATGTAAGACGTGCTTCGTCAAGCTGTAGACGCCTGAAATTTGAATTATGTAGTACCAGTACATCCAGTCGCCATCACAGCGACAGGCAACTGGCTATACACCACAGAATGACCAATTCGATGCTCACCAAATACTTGTGCAGGGGCCTCCTAGGCAAAGCATGGAATCTTAGTAGAATAACACATCGTACACGTAGCGTTCATGTAGGATAGCATATGAGACTATCCCTGGACAGCATGCGCAGAGTCGCAGGCGATCCATGTGTACTGAATCCTGCCAAAAGCGGACGTTTGGAAAACGCTTGATTGCTCATAGTTTGAAAGAGAATGGATGGGTGGAGATACATAGATGCCTTTCGCCTCAAGGCCTCAATGGCATGCGGAAGATCATGATGACTTCGAGTTCGTTTGTAGCAATGTTTGGCTGAGCGAGTTTTAGATGTTCTTAAGGGAAAAAATATAGCGCCGGGATAGCTCAGCTGGGAGAGCAACAGACTGAAGTGACACTTTGTATTCTGGAGGTCCCGTGTTCAATCCACGGTCCTGGCATATTTTTTGGTTGGTCGTATTCTTTTTCGTCTCTCTTTTTCTCGCAAGTCCTTTTGGAGTTCCAAGTTTTGTACACTGGTCAAACGTTTCAGATTTTCAGTGAGATATTTTTCCACTTTCGTTCTCCAAATGCGTATCTATCCGGCGCGTTAACATGTTGCTGGAAGTTTGGGTCCGTGACTGTAGGATGAATCTGCTGGAATGTTCTGGATGGTTGTACACCTACTTTGATTACACTTCGTATAAACAAATTGCTTAGAAAAGACGAGCTACTTTTGCTTTTTTCCCTGTCTAGAGCATTTGTGTATCATTGATCTTGTCTAATCGGTTTTTCTTTCTTTTTTTTTTTTTTCAGAACTTGTAACTTTTTGGGTCTCCCGCTTCCTGTCTTCTTCCACCATGTCGATGCCTGCTAGCACTGCCAACTGGCATTGGAAAAACAAGAACGTGACGCCCTGGGCGAAAACTTGGTTTGAGCGCGAGCTCACAAGCGTCACGATCCAAGGTGATGGTTCAGAGGAGAAAGTGTCTATCACGAGCGTAATCGAAGTGGATGGCGATGTCGAGCTTGGCCAGCGCAAGTCAAAGTACGTCACGCGTTCGTTCTTGCACAGACTAAAGAAACTTCTCCCTGACTCTCCACGCAGGTTGATCACGATATACGATTGCAGGATTGACCTTGACTGGTCAGGCACAGCGAGTGATGGGACTGAAGTCAATGGGAAAGTATCGATCCCGGAAGTGTCTCATGAAAACACACTGGATGGGCACTCGGATTACATCGTGCGTAGCTCATTTACTCTCTTCGATGATCCCCATTAGTAAATCAGCACAATTTGCATGCAGTATGATTGGTCTCTGAAAACACAATCCAGTCCAGCTGTCGATGCCCTTTACAAGCTCGCAAGAGCTCGTTTGCCTGCCGCGCTCGAGGCCAAGTTCGCTCAGTTTCCAGTTGCTCTCATTGATACACACGGAAAGGATCTTACTGTGAGCACAGAGGCAAGTCGAACGGGCACGCCCGCACCGTCAACTGTTCCAGCGGCAACCTCCACGTCTACAGCTGCTGCTCCGGTTCCGGCACCAAAGAGTGTTCCAGAAAAGAAAGTTGCTTTGAACACCTCTCGTGTCAAAGCAGAAGCGAGGTTCATGGCAGCGGCAGACGATCTGTTCAGTCTCCTCACGGACGAGAAGCGTATTCCGATGTGGACTCGCGCACCAGCACAGGTGGGAGCTGTTCATTTTTGTTTTCGTCTACCTTATAGATTTATAGAATCATTAACTGGTTTAATCCGCTGTTGTCTTCCACGCCTATTGTCTGCTGTATTCTACGGGTCATTCCATTAGTCGAGTGCGCAAGCTGGCTCTGACTTCTCGCTGTTTGGTGGAGGTGTCAAGGGTAAATATATTTCCCTGACGCCACCAAAGGAGATCGTCCAGTCTTGGGCTTTGCAAAGTCCAACTTGGCCCTCAGGTCAGTTTACCATCATATCGATGAAAATGTACGCGTCCTCACGCATCTCTTTCATCAATGGTTTTATATTATCTTCGATGAAATGGTGGCTGTCATACCAGGTCACTCCGCAACTTTGACTACGACGCTCGATCAATCATCCGACTCTACGAAGATAACGTTTGCCCTCGACGGAGTGCCGTCTGGTCTGGAAGATGAAATCACCCGGAATTTGGAGGGTTACTAGTAAGTCTACAAACGTTATGTATTCACAGGTTCTTGGCTGATGGTAAACCGAACAGCGTTCATGGCCTCAAGTCTATCGGGTATGTACAACTCATCCCGTCTCCTTCTCTTTCTACCTCTTCTTCCTCTTCTCGCAAGCGCCCCACCGCTCGCTCGAGACCCACTTCCAGCTCTGGCTCTGTAAGACCATACGCAGCCACCGGGGCCATAGCTATAGCCGTCATCGCTCTTGTCGCAGCAGTCACCATACCTTACTTTTCCTTCCCCGTTCCATCCCGCTCTTCTGTCAAGTAAATTTGTTGTTTGTGTGCACATTACTAATAATCCCATGGTTTCTTGGGTCGTTGATTTAGGTTGGGCACCGTTCTCTGACGGCTCGACTTCAAGCCTAACCGCACAAGGGACCGAAATAATTACAGAAGCAAGAAGGCAAGATAAGAAGTTTCTCAGTGCTAGATCGACTGTAGGGTTTATTGATGAGTTTGTACATTGCGTGCCATGTAGTGTACTAGAAAAGGGATAGAAATGAAATAGTTACATGTACTTTTTGCCTCCTTTGAATTTTTGCAGAACGGTTTTGGTGTAATAGCGAAGTGGTCCAACCCTAACCCGAAATACATAGGCCAAACACAAATTTACATTCCCGCCACCTGTGCACTTGTTCTGTTCGAGTTCCAAGTCCATTACATTTTCCTTCGTTCCTTCACAACCATTTTACTTGTCTGATACCATGGCTGCTGTTGAGGAAATCCGTGCGACTTCATATGTTGGTTTCGACTCCATCACTCAGCAGATTGAGCACAAGCTTTTGAAGCGTGGTTTCCAATTCAATGTCATCGTCGCTGGTATGTGTGATACGTCAAAAAAAATTCCCATTAGGAACGTTTGCTGAGGCGCGTACTTATTATTTTGTAGGACAAACTGGTCTTGGCAAGTCGACATTGATCAACACCATTTTTGCTTCCCACTTGATCGACTCGAAGGGTCGCTTGGAGTCTGATGAGCCTGTCAGACAGACGACGGAAATTCAAGCAGCTTCGCATGGTACATTTATACATGCTCAGTTATGGGTTTATCTCACTTGGTTAACCAACTATTTTTTGTTCAGTCATTGTTGAAAATGGTGTTAAGTTGCGACTGAACATTGTCGATACCCCTGGTTATGGCGACCAAGTGAACAATGAGAACTGGTGCATTTTGTATTAACACCAGGTGGTCTTGACTCTAATGATGTCTTTATTACAGCTGGGATCCCATTGTGAAGTATATCAAGGATCAACATAGCGCATACCTGCGCAAGGAGCTCACTGCCATGCGTGATCGTTACATTCAGGACACGCGTATTCACTGCTGCCTGTACTTTATCAACCCTACCGGTCACTCGCTCCGTCCCATAGATGTAATTGTGATGAAGAAGCTTAGTGAAGTTGTCAACGTTGTGCCTGTTATTGCGAAGGCGGACAGTTTGACGCTCGAGGAAAGGGAGGCATTCAAGCAGAAGATTCGGGCTGAACTTGTTTACAACAACATTCGCCTGTATCCCTTTGACACTGACGAAAACGACGAGGAGGAGATTCAGCTGAATGAATCTATTCGGGTGCGATTCGTTTTGTTCTCGCTTAATGCGTGGTGTTCATGTCTATAACAGAGCATGATTCCTTTCGCCGTCGTCGGTTCGGAACGTAGCGTTATCATTGATGGCAAATCTGTCCGTGGTCGCAAGAACCGTTGGGGTGTTGTCAACGTTGAAGACGAGAGCCACTGCGAGTTCATGCACTTGCGAAACTTCCTCACGAGGTTTGTTAATTTGTGTATTTATTTCATATGGCTTTGCTTATCGAAAATGTCCTAGGACTCACCTGCAAGACCTGATAGAGACGACCGCCCAAATCCACTACGAGGCATTCCGTTCGAAACAGTTGATTGCTCTCAAAGAGGGAGTTGCGCAGCGTCCTCCTGTCAACTAATAGATGCTGTGCTTCTCATTCAGATTCTATGTGAGGTTATGAGCTATCTATCAAAAAGTGGCTGATGCTGACTTATGGGCTTGGCAGTAAAATTACCGTTGCCATACCCTCTCGCTCCCGTCTACTCTTGTACTGTGTCTTCGCCTTGGATAATGAGATATTCCCTTCAGCGTACCTTCTTTGACTGTCTCTCACACTCGTTTACTCTATAAACAATGCTTTTCACATTCTTTGCTTCCCGGCTGCGATGTATTGCGTGCACGTGAGATGGATATCCCGGTCGGCAAATGAGCGCTTTCCATATTTCGTAAGTCGAACACTGTCTTGTCCGATACTTGTCCGATTCATCAGCATCACGAATGCGATGTTGGGAATATGCGGCATAGAGCTTGCGAATGCACAAAATTGCGAGTTTTTGTGCGTTTGCGATGTACGAGTTTGCAGACGTGGTTGGGTTGAGCCTAGGGTAGCAGCATGTATTGCTGTTTAGATTTTGTAGTGTATTTCGAGAGGCTTTTAGGCTTTTGGAGAGTCTCGAGTTCGGTCCTGTTTGGGATGCCGAAGTGAGACCGGACCGCGTGTGTATTCGGGGATATCCAGTCATCATTGCTTTGCACTGGGCATTCGGAGGAGCCGTGCGCCTGTGCTTGATCATCATCCATCCCATTCTCATTGCCTTACCACCACCTTCCCCTCCTTCCCCTATTCCCCGCCCGTATGGCCAAACCGCGTTCAGGCGTCGCTGCCTGGTACGACAGGTTAGCAGCATTCAATGTAGAATCCCTCTTTGCCAGGGCTAGAGTCCCAGGACCTCCTCGCACCGTCTACGTCAACCAGAATCTGCCAGAGAGCTATTTTGACAACAAGGGCAGGCCCAAGAAGGAGCATATATATGCTACAAACCAGGTCATCAGCTCAAAGTACACCATCATCACCTTTCTTCCCCGAAATTTGCTTGAGCAATTCCGGCGAATAGCCAATGTGTACGTATCGTTTTCTGACGGTTTTTCTGCTTAGCGCTCGACTTTGGTGACTCATTTTTGGTTCTAGCTTTTTTGCTTTCATCGCTATCCTTCAGTTCTTCCATGAATTCTCAACAATATCGCCCGGTTTGGTTATCCTGCCTCTTCTTATCGTTCTAGCGATTACTGCAGTAAAAGATGGATACGAGGACATAAAACGTCATCAGTCAGACCGTAAAGTAAATCACAGTCAGGTCCGTGTCTTATCGGGAGGAGCTTGGGTCAATCCAAACGTCAGTAGTGGAAAGAGTCGCACATTCGTCAGAGGAATCCTTCCGAATGGGCGGACGAAGCGCAAGATCGTGGAAGGGGCTGATGTCGGTGATCTGGCTGCTGCTGAATTGGGCACTCAAAATGGAGGGCGAGTTAGAGACCCCGACATGGAGTACGACGACGATTCTATGGTAGAAAGTCAACATCACCTATTTGGGCCCGATGAAAAGGGGAACAAGCCGCATTGGAAACAAACATTGTGGGAAGACGTGCATGTCGGCGATTTTGTCAAGATCATGGATAACGAGCCCATCCCTGCCGATATCCTGATATGTGCAACATCAGAAGAAGAGAACGTAGCATTTGTAGAGACAAAAAATCTCGATGGCGAAACGAATCTCAAATCTCGCAATGCTTCACAAGCTCTCACATATTTGCGCACTGCTGCTCAGTGCTCTAGCAAGCTGAACCCTTTTACGGTGGAGTGTGATCGCCCAGATACGAACATGTATAAAGTCAACGCTGCCATTGTGCAAAATGGCGAGAAGACCCGTGTCGATTCTCAGCACCTGCTCCTTCGTGGTACAATACTCAGGAATACCGGCTGGGCTATCGGAATCGTGCTATATACCGGGGTGGACACCAAAATTGTCTTGAATTCCGGGGGTACCCCAAGTAAGCGGAGTAAGGTTGAGCGGCAGATGAATCCTCAAGTGTAAGTTGTGTTCCATTCATATCGACAACATATATCTGATTGCTTTTTCTTCTTCAGTTTCGCCAACTTGGTCCTTCTTGCTGTCATGGGTGTGGTTTGTGGTATTGCTGACTCCGAGATCGAACAAGTCCAGTATCCTGAAGGAGCCCTTTGGCTGTATGATGACAATCAATCAGATAATAATCCACGCGTTAACGGAGCTATAACATTCGCTTTCGCCTTAATCACGTTTGTCTCCTTGTCTTTACCTCTATCGTACCCCTTCTGATGGGTAACTTTTTACACAGGTTCCAGGACATAGTGCCAATATCGCTGTACATTTCCATAGAAGTCGTGAAGACGTGTCAGTCATTATTCATCTATTTCGATAGAAATATATACTATGAGAAGACCGGCCAGGCTACACTCGCTAGGAGTTACAATCTGTCAGATGACCTGGGCCAGATTCAGTACATTTTTTCTGACAAAACAGGGACTTTGACTCAGGTAAGAGCTTGCTTTGCTTATTTCGTACTAATATGGTCGTCATACTAAATTTATATTTTCTTTTCCAGAATTCTATGGTCTTCAGGCAATGTTCCGTGGGAGGTAGCGTTTATCTAGGCGACCCGGAAGAAGACGAGAACGAGGATGCAAGCGTTAAAGTTGTCAAGACTGTTCGCACCTCAAGTGCTGACTCTTCTTTCGCTTCCACATCTGCTGCCCCTGCTCCCGATGACAACCCCGAAGCTGTCCCCCATCCTCTAGAAGCATCGGGCGTAAAACTTTCCGCTGGTGTATTACGCCACTTCCGTGACCAAGAGCTTGTGGAAGATCTTGCTCGCGCCATCGATGCAGAGCCTGGCTCGGAGAATGAGACCCTTGCTCGATCTTTAAATGGTTTCTTTTCGGTCCTCGCACTCTGCCATACGGTATTGACTGCAGTAGATCCGGCAACAGGAGCGATCGAATACAAGGCGCAATCACCAGATGAGGCAGCCCTCGTACAAGCTGCTGCGGACGTTGGTTTTATTTTCCGTGGGAGGGTGAAAGAAACTTTGTTTTTGCAGACTCCATTCTCGAAGGAGTTTGAGGAGTACGAGTTGTTAAATATTCTAGAATTTACGAGCGCCAGAAAGCGGATGAGCATCGTTGTCAGGAAAATGAGCGACGACGACGGTAGGCTGTTCCTTTTGACGAAGGGGGCCGATAATGTGATTTTCGAGCGCTTGAAAGAGGGCGGAGAGGAATTGAAGAAGACTACGGAACAACATCTTGATGACTTTGCACGAGAGGGCCTGAGGACATTAACTCTTGCGTACAAAGTTATACCGGGTGAGTTATAAGCGGTTTATTTAAAGCTTGTGTGCTTACCCAATACAGAGGACGAGTATGAGATATGGAGCGAAAGATATCACGAGGCTTCAACTGCCTTAGAAGAACGCGAGGAGAAGATTGAGGTTATTTGTGAGGAAATGGAGAAGGATCTTCGTCTATTGGGTGCTACTGCTATCGAGGATCGGTTGCAAGATGGCGTCCCAGAAACCATTGCAGACCTTAAGCTCGCTGGAATCAAAATTTGGGTGGCTACTGGTGATAAGCTTGAAACGGCTATCGGTGAGTAACCCGACGTTTTGTTGTGTTAGCTCATTTTCATCATGGTATTATTATAGCCATTGGGCACAGTACCAATCTCATTGCGCCGGATGCCAACGTTATCGTCATCCGTGGCACTGGCGAGGATGGTGGTCGACCGGTTTATCAGCAACTAATTTCTGCTGTTGAAGATTTCTTCCCTAGCAGCGGTATACTTGACGAAGCCGGCATCGTTACACCTACGACTTCCAAGAAGTCACCGTCGCTCGACTACACTGGGCCCTATCCGTTGCAGCGCATGGACACTGGTGTGACTTCGATTGTGGGGGCCAACAATGGTGAGAAGTCAGGAGGTTTCGTCCTAGTTATAGATGGAGCGGCCCTGGGAGTCGTAAGTAACGTTTTCGTCTGTAATTGCCGCATCAGCTCGGCTCACGTTTATATCCTACGTCAGGCACTAGGGGACGATGAACATAAATTACTTTTGCTTCGACTGGCTATGCACTGTGAGGGCGTTATCTGTTGTCGAGTTTCTCCTTTGCAGAAAGCCCTTGTCGTTAAGCTTGTGAAGGAGGGACTTGGCGTCATGACCCTTGCGATTGGGGATGGTGCGAATGATGTTAGCATGATTCAGGTTTGTCTCATTCTACTCGTTATGCGTTCGGCCAAAGGACTCATTGATATCAGGCGGCCGACGTTGGTATTGGTATCGCTGGCGAAGAGGGTCTCCAAGCTGCGAACTCGTCCGATTACGCCATTGCACAGGTACTCGAATTTTTTCGATCTCCCTCATTAGTTCTCATTCGAGTTTTTAATACAGTTCCGTTTCCTCAAGAGGCTCCTTCTCGTACACGGTCACTGGTGCTATGCCCGTAATGGAAATATGTAAGTTCCCATGCTCGTCAAATGAAGTCGATCTTCACACGGAAATCAGGATTCTCAATTTCTTCTACAAAAACATTGTATGTACTGTGGCGCTGTGGTGGTTCCAGATCTATTGCGGATGGACTTCAACTTAGTGGGTCCATTGTATTAACCAGTTATACATTTCAATCTAACCTTCTGCAGCGTCTTTCAATACACTTACCTCTTGCTTTGGAATTCCATTTGGACCCTTGCTCCTGTTATCGGCATTGGTCTCTTTGATCGTATGGTTGGTAAGTTGCCCTGGGTCTCATTCAAATCTTCCGCAAGAGATTGATAACCTGAACAGATGCTGATGTTCTCATGGCCTTCCCGGAGCTGTATCGATTTGGCCGTGAAGGGACGTGGTTCACCAACAAGAAGTTCCTGATTTATGTACTTGATGGCGTGGTCCAGGTTTGTCACTTTCGCCTTGACTTACGTTTTCCCTAACATGTTTTCATTCAGTCTGCCGTCATATTCTTCATCATTCAATATACGTACGACAGTAACTCTGCGCGTAATGATGGTTATTCTATAGCCATGTCTGAGTATTCCACGGTAAGAGTTCATTCGTGGACTGTGTGTTGTCATCTAACTTTGCCACTGTACAGACAATAGTGTTTGCTCTTGCCTTGACTGCGAATTTATACAATGGTCTCAATACCACTGTTTGGACTGGATGGATCTTCTTCGCTGTCTTCCTTGGTATTATCATTCTGCTGTTGTTCACTGTAAGTACATCGCCGCCGCTTCCTAGACCGCTGAGTAGCTTATGGTTGATCCCACAGCTCATTTATTCGGCAATCAGCCCGGGATGGTTCGTCACACAAGTCTACGGCAACAACTACTACTTGTTCAGATCATCTTATTTCTGGCTATGTCTCCCTATCACTATCTTCATCGCCCTACTTCCGATGTACTTGTTTAAGGCTTGGAAGGCCGGCTTTTCCCCCGATGATATCGACCTTCTTCGTTATATTCGAAAGACTCAGCCACACAGAGATCTAATCCATACGCTCAGGAGGGAAGATCGGTCTGACGCACTGACTCCTTCGACTTCGAGGACACGGCCCTTATCGGGAATGTCAAGACGTTACTCTCGAGCGTCGCGACCTACGTCTTACATACACAAACCTTCCGATAGTGCTGACAACATCACGCTAGATGGTCTTTCTAGACAATTGGATCCCCGTTCTGCCAGTCGTACTGACATGTCCACCGGCGTTCGTTCGATACATAGAGGCTTCGACTTTGCGACTGAGGAGCGTGGTGTTGCAATGCGTAGGATGCAAAGTAATTTGTCTGAGAGGAGGCAGAGTAGCCGGCACCTTCCTTTACTTGAATCCAACACTTCACAAAAGAGGAAGGGTTCAATGCGGATATTCTCATCCTTGCGTCGCAAGAAACCACCAACTCCTAGGAAGGACGTTTGATCATGTTTTATGAACTAGTATACTCACGATCTATTTATCTATCAGCATCCACCTCACTGTTTTTCTTACACGCCTTCTGTAAGGTTTACTCACTGTATCCGTCTCCCACTATTTATCTACATCGCTACGAAAACAATTTTGATTACAACATTGGTGAAAAGATCTGCGAGCTGTTATACAGTGTACGCTACAAATAAAATAAGTGTGAGAGGTTTGTGGTCTTGAACTCGTAACGTGTAATTGGGGTTTCTTCCTTGGAGTATCAACTGAGGCTCTGAGAAGGACGTCAATCCTAACCTAGGACAACATTCGCATGAGAGTCTGTCGATGGAGGGACAATACAAACGACATACCTTCTGGTTTTCCTGAAGTGAATCACCCGGACCTTTCACTTCAACAAACTTGCACAATGTTTTCTGGGCATCCCAGATGAACAAGCCTGGCCCTCCAGATCCTCTTCCGGCATAATCCTCACAGAGAAGTCGACAAATCACGGACAAGGCAGTCCCGCCTAGGCAGTAATAGGGCGGGGGTGTCAATTTTAATCAGACAGCAATACTTCAACTCTTAAGATCTTAAGGACCCTCACTGTGACAATCTCGATGAGGTCCTGTTTCGTGAATAGATCCCATCTCACACCAACACAGTAAGTTCCGTTGGGTCTATATTCGTCATCCGTTCTCCCGATGATATCCTGTGCCTTCCCCGATTCGAGCTCTTCGAGGCGCTGCTCGATGATTTCTTTGCGAGAATGATAGAAGGAATCTTCTGCGATATCCAAAGGCGCAGATTGAAAAGGCGTTTCAAATGCACCTGGAACTGGGGCGAAGATGATATCCCAAAATAGAAGACCAAACAGCATGTGGATCACTCGGGTTTCGCAGTGTACTCTGTGTGGAAAGTTAGGAATCAATTGTTTCAGAAACTGGTCATCAACAGCAAAAAGGATATACCCTTTAAACCCCATATCTTCGTCATACTGAAGAGCAAATGTTTCAACATTGACAGCTTCCCCATTTCGCCCACTCCAGATACTTTTACCCTTCGGCCATTTCTCGTTCTAATGAAAATTAAGTCATGAGCTGTTGTCAATTTGACTGACTTACGTCTTCTTTCTCTTTGAGTGAGACCTTGCAAGGACTTTGGTCTGGACGTGCAGGCGAAGATAGGAAGCGCGTTATGTTTTGTTTTGGTCATTCGAGGACGCAGCTGGTATCTTCTTCACACTCCTTCCCATCCGATCGAGAATAAGGCCGGCCGCCCTACTATGGATTCTGATACCTTGGATGACGACATGGATAGCTTCCGTAAGTTTGCTTTCAAATGTACTAGTATGCCGCTCTCCTGCAGAGTGCCCTAGTCTCCCCAGTCAGACCAAATTCTGATATGACAGTCGATATCAGTAAGAGTGCCCAAGATGCTTCTCAAGACAACATATTATAGCGGCGCTCGTGACAGAAACGTTTGAACATTGAACATTGTGACAAGTCACTCAGCATCAGGGGATTAGGGACTCTTGTTATTACATTTTACATAATGTGGTCCATTGTAAGGTCTTATGACTGCATTATAAGATAAAACACCAAAAATAAAATACACCAAAAATCTTTCCGGTATATGACCATATAAGACATTACCACGAAATCCTTGATTCCCTGAGTGTGACAGCTGCTGTGATGATCGGCAGCTGTCACACTCTCGACCTTCGACTTGATGCGGTTTTAAATCTGTGCGGACAAGATATCCACAGCGACACAGTTCGAATTTGCAAACTGCACTTCTCCGTAGTCCCATCTATCAAACCTTCCTTTGTACATGTAGAGTTCCAAGTCGCATTTGCCGCATGTTGAAAACTAGATCATATCAGATTACTGAATAGGCCAGTTACCAGTGAGCCTGAGCGCTGAGCCACTGAACCAGTCCACTTACTGTAAGTCATTCACACATACTGAATCTAAGTTTCCCAGCTTTAGACCATACGCTTCCTGGATCCGATTTCAAGTGCATGGTTCACCTGGTATCAGTCTGATGGATTTAAGGAAGCTGGCTGTGTGATTGAAGACTTTATAAACGTTCAAGTTGCTAATACCTTTACATACCTCAAGTTACTGTCCATGTCTGCTGCAGTCACTTCGATTACTGTACCCTCGGTTACGGCCACCTTTGGTAACTTCACCCTATTGTATATCGATACAATGCCCATTCTTGATTTCAGGGGCAGGCCTCATCGGATCATATATATCTGCAAGTTTATATGGGCTTACTACCTCACAGGTAAACTTGCGGCTGCGATTTTTGCATTTGTGCACCTACATGATGCTATAGGCCTACTCATACTTCATCAACTGCCCAAAGGATGCCACTGGAACGAAATTTTTGGTGCGTTTGCTGACATACCGATATAGTACACTAGTTTACTGATATAAGGTTATAGGTTCAGTTTCTCTTGTATGTCGTGTTTGCTATATCCAGCCAGTGCATTTATATTTATGGACGATTCGTCTTGACCACCAGGGTACTCAATACAGCACATGCCATTTTTGGGGGGTATCTTATATATACAGGCACATGCCATTATATCATCGATCTAACACGTTTCTTTCAGTTTGTCATGTTGCATATATGCACCTAGTGCGTCTCTGTTTATTTCGAGACATCTTTAATACTTCTATACCTTGTGTAATTGATAGGTGATAGCGGGAATAGATAGTCCTTCACTTTGGAGCAATATATGGTATGCATCATTCCATTCACAAAATGTCACCGCTTTTGACTCCGTATGCTTCTCTCAGGTCTTTGAGCGTATGTACTTACTATATAATCATCACATCATTATCTGATAAAATGGGACACAGGCTTCAATTCTTGTACATGTCAGTCATCCCTGCTCGTTTCCGCAATAATTTGCTAATAAGTCCAGCCATACAAGGTTATCGTGGCTTTTGCTGTCATGCTGTACGTGCTACATGAAATCCCTTCTAATGAAGTCTTAACTTTTTGTTAGTTACTACATGAAGATCATTTTCCGTTGTATGTTTTATTCAAAAAGACTTTTATCAGCGTAATAACAATATCGTAGTAAGTGGGAACCGGTTGAGATGGTGGTTGACGGGTTTCATTGTTTGTAATTTTGGTTCCGATATGAATACAGGCTGATAAAACTGTTTATTTAGGCGATTCCTGTGACCTTGCATCTTGGTGAGGCTGTCAAAATCTCTGAATATCGCTTATTAAATCATTTCTCCGTTAAAACAGCTTTTGGATTGGGTTCGTGCCAATATCCAATATTTTCTTCGCTGATTATTGATACGTAAAAAATGGACAGAATTCTCCGTTCGCATGCGTGTAGTTTTCCCTGTATACCAATGTGGTAGAAGTTAACAATTACTTAGGTTCTTGTCCCCAAAGTTGGCGGGATCTCAAGCGTTTATTGTAAGGGTATTTCTGTCCCACTTTATACTGAAAACATCATGACCTTCAACAGAGTAGCTCCATTCTACCTTTCTATATTCTTCAAATAATTGCAGATGGGCTTATTGCAGTCGCACTCTGTGTACTTTTGCACATTAAACGGACTGGTTTCAAGAGGTAAACATATTTCTTGTTTGAACACTGCTTATGCTAATCAATGAATAGGACGGGTCACATGCTCAATGCATTGATGATATATGCTGCCAGTAGGGGCTTAGTAACCTGGTGTGTTGCGCCTTGTTTTCGTGGTCAGAAAGTTGAATGAACTGAAAAGTACCGTTTGTTATTAGTCTGGTCGCTTTTGTCATGGTCCTTGCGGTATGTACAAATTGTTTAATTAATCGCGTGCTTTTCTGATTCAATAAATAGCTCGTCATAAGTCCTGATCAGTTGTGGTATTGTGGGGCCGAATTTACCATAGTCGGCCTTTATACAAACTCTCTCATGACAATGATAAATACAAGACACTCTTCAATACAGGCTGGGGAAAGGCCTCCTGCAGACAATGTCGACCAAGAATCCCCCTTTGACTTACTACCTGGTGGGAGAGATCGAGGTAGCATTTACATAGGAGGCAGGAGTGCAAATATTGAGGTCATTGCACTTGATAAAAAAGTGACGAATCACGGTGAAAATAATAAGGTGAGTTACTTTAATGCGTCTGGGAATGATACTTGTTGAGATCTAGTAGTTGCACATAGGCAAAGTCAAACAAGTAGTAGTATAAATTTGGTGGTTTCGCCAATTTTCTGTTCCACCCCTTATGCACTATGTTTTCTCTTAGGCTTAACCTTAACTTATTTTTGTGAAGTGCCTACAATGTATACAGTAGGACCGGCATTTGAGCCAGTCAAAATACTTGCGAATTCCAGAGGAAGGGTTCAATGCGGATATCCGCACCCCTGCGTCGCAAGAAACCACCAATTCCTAGGAAGAATGTTTGATCATGTTTTATGAACTAGTATACTCACGATCTATTTATCTATCAGCATCCACCTCACTGTTTTTCTTACACGCCTTCTGTAAGGTTTACTCGCTGTATTCGTCTCCCACTATTTATCTACATAGCTACGAAAACAATTTTACAACATTGATGAAAAGATCTGCGAGCTGTTATACAGTGTACGCTACAAATAAAAATGAGATCAAGATAAATTAAGTGTGAGAGGGTTGTGGTCTTGAACTGGTAACTTGCAATCGGGGTTTCTTGCTTGGAGTATCAACTATATCGACCGTGAGTGTTCGACGCTTCTTTCCACGCCCTTGAGATGGTGTCCAGTCCATTTGATCGTCAGTGCTTACGGTCCTTGCAAATTCGGGCGATATCGCTGAGGCCATCGAAGGTGTATTATCTATGCTGCTCCCTTTGGCCCGAGATGCGGTAGGGCATACGACTACGGTTTGTGAGGGACAGGCCACAGACGGCAACGCAGATGGTAGCTCGTCCGGTTCGTCTTCCGATTCCACAAATCTCTCTTCAGGCTCCGAGACCCTGTGTCCCTCTTTTTTAGTTTTGGTTTTTGATTTTCTTTTCTTCCCCTTGCCAAAACTCGTCTCTGGAACCTCTCCTTCTTCTTTGACACGACAGACTTCAACTGCTACTGAGGCTCTGAGAAGGACGTCAATCCAAACCTGCGACAGCAATCGCATGAAACTCTGCCGATGGAGGGACAACATAATTCAACATACCTTCTGGTTTTCTTGAAGTGAATCACCCGGACCTTTCACTTCAACAAACTTGCACAATGTTTTCTGGGCATCCCAGATGAACAAGTCTGGCCCTCCAGATCCTCTTCCGGCATAATCCTCACAGAGAAGTCGACAAATCACGGACAAGGCAGTCCCACCTAAGCACTAATAGGGCGGGGGTGTCAATTTTAATCAGACAGCAATACTTCAACTCTTAAGAAGGACCCTCACTGTGACAATCTCGATGAGGTCCTGTTTCGTGAATAGATCCCATCTCACACCAACACAGTAAGTTCCGTTGGGTCTATATTCGTCATCCGTTCTCCCGATGATATCCTGTGCCTTCCCCGATTCGAGCTCTTCGAGGCGCTGCTCGATGATTTCTTTGCGAGAATGATAGAAGGAATCTTCTGCGATATCCAAAGGCGCAGATTGAAAAGGCGTTTCAAATGCACCTGGAACTGGGGCGAAGATGATATCCCAAAATAGAAGACCAAATAGCATGTGGATCACTCGGGTTTCGCAGTGTACTCTGTGTGGAAAGTTAGGAATCAATTGTTTCAGAAATTGGTCATCAACAGCAAAAAGGATATACCCTTTAAACCCCATATCTTCGTAATACTGAAGAGCAAATGTTTCAACATTGACAGCTTCCCCATTTCGCCCACTCCAGATACTTTTACCCTTCGGCCATTTCTCGTTCTAATGAAAATTAAGTCATGAGCTGTTGTCAATTTGACTGACTTACGTCTTCTTTCTCTTTGAGTGAGACCTTGCAAGGACTTTGGTCTGGACGTGCAGGCGAAGATAGGAAGCGCGTTATGTTTTGGCCATTCGAGGACGCAGCTGGTATCTTCTTCACACTCCTTCCCATCCGATCGAGAATAAGGCCGGCCGCCCTACTATGGATTCTGATACCTTGGATGACGACATGGATAGCTTCCATAAGTTTGCCTTCCGATGTATGTCGCTCTTCTGAAGAGTGCCCAAGACGCTTCTCAAGACGACATAAGCGGCGCTCGAGCATCGGCCGACAGACTGTTGTTCCGTTAGAAGGGGTCAAAGTGATTGGAGAATATTGCGTACTTATATGGGTATCAGTATCCTCTAATGCTTCTACTACAGCATCTAGGGCTCGTAATGCAGTAGCTTCATCCTTGGGAAAGTGGGTCATTAGTATTAAGGCCCTTCGATCGTGCCATTTGCCCCGTCTGCCTCGCCGCCATCTCTTCTGACCTAGTAGCTCCTCCAAAATTTGTAGTTCGTACCGATGGTCTTTTAGAATCCCCAGGGCATAGGCGCCCTTGCATACGATGCGCGTAAGCACATGACCTATAACCCATTGCCGGGAAGCACATTAAGACAGCTCAAAAGTCTTTCGAAAGAAGAAAAGGCTCACCACAATCGAAACGCTCCAGTCCGAAACGTCGTCCATCTTCTTCCCCTTTTGTTATAACCTGCGCTTGCCACCTGGGATATATTTCCTCGAAGATGGCTTTCACTGCACGTGCTTCCTGTACGCGAGGGCTGTCATCTTTAGTTTCGGCCTTCACACCTTCATCTGCGTCCTCAACGAAACGTGCCTTGCCTTTGCCCTTCTGATCTGGGGACTCTGAAGAATCAGATATAGACGGGCGAAGTACACTTCCTGGTGTAGATGGTGTGCGGAATCGGTGTTCTGTGACTCTGGCTGGTGTTTTGCTGGCTGCAGAACGGCCACGTACGAAAGAAGTGGGGACTGAACCATCAAATATCGCATCTACTTGTGCTTCTAATTCCAGGGCTTCTTCATATGCCATCAGAGCCTCGCGACTAGGCCAAATGTCGGGAGTGCGACTCCATGCGTAGGCGGGGTAGCAGCGTTTCTTGGCTTGACACAATATTGACGATGTAAGAAGAGTTTGAGCATGTTGAGTCCTACACCCCACAGCGTTAGATTATACGCGTGATTAGGAGTGAAACGAAAGTATTACAGGCGGAAACAGACGAGGTGAGCACGTCTAACAAGCTTCTGAAATGCGCTGCTGACTTTAATGCATTTACCTGGTATTTGATTTATTTGAATAGCGCGAAGGGGATGAAGCGATCAGACATACCGAGTTTAGCTATCACCATCTCTCTCAGCCTCTCATGCTGTGTTTTACATTTTTGTCCAGGAATGAATGATAAAGTGGTTTGTCGAAAGGATTTCATCATGGCGCCACCTGCACCGGTTTTCAGAGAGGAGACGCGACGCTTCATGAAGTCGAAAGTGGTCTGAGCGGGCGCCACGTTGAGGAGAGCAGAAATGATATGGGCTCGCTGAGAACAATCGAACAGCTCGTAAATGACGAAAAAAAAATGTAATGGGAATTACTACCAACTTTTTGTACAGTTTTGACCTTCATGTCTTTGGCAAAGGATTTGAGCTCGTCTACAGTTAAACATTCGAGCAGGCAACGCAAGTCCATTTTACTCTCGTCTTCAGCTAAAACGGTGAGATCAGGTTCAGGCGGTTCATCTTTGACTTCAGCACATGTCGAGGGACCAGCTTGGGCTTGAACTTGAGGGAGTGATGGTGGGCTGTATGTATCATAATCGTCCAGAGTCAAGTCTATGACTTCCTGTTCTTCTGCCTTGATCTCAACTTCTTCGTCAAACTTGCATAGTTCCTTAATCGCATCAATAATATTAGCACGGGTCCCTAATTCTGCCTGATATTTGAGTGAGTCCAGTCGATGCCATTTGTCAGGTCTGCGAAGTAGTAGTCTGATAATGAGATATCTTGCATTGTCTACACGATTGTCAGAAATGAGAAGACCGGTTTCGACAGTTACACCGACTTACATGATAGGCGCGAGAAGTAATAAAAGTAGTCGATTTCTTTCTCCAAAAATAAAGCCTCTTCTGCACCTCCCAACACTGTTTTCAACATGTCTGCAAGAGATGAGACGTTTCCCGCAAATAAAACACGTCACTTGGCCCCTCCCAACTTCACAACAGTACGCGAGTTACTTACCCTCGAAAAGCGTGACATACATAGACTCTCTTCTTTTTACACCTTCAAGTTTGACGTTACCTTGATTTTCTGCGGGTCCTTCCTCTAACTCCTGTATATCCTCTTCATCCTCTTCACCGTCGTCATTTAAGCGAGGCCCTTGATAGTCTACATCGCCTCCTGAGTAGACTAGCCTGCTCATTATGGCTGCAGACGGTGAACCAAGAGATCCTTTGTACATGCCCTTGACTAATATTTACAGAAGATTAGTAGTGAAAAGAGAATGTGTGTTGTTGGATAGAGATTAGGTAGAAGTTACTGTAGAACACGACGCGATCGCGATGCAACTCAGTCACGAGGCTATCACGGCATCGTATAATTCAAAAGGCAAGCCTGAGGCCTGAGGCCGCTGACTTTTGCATGATTCATTCACATGTTTTTTTTTCAAAAATGCACAAAATTTGGCCACCCTCACAAAAACACGGAAAATTTTATTCTCGACAGTTTCTGACGTTTTCCAGTTCCCTGAATCCGAATCTGAAGTCCTTTTCAATGCCACAACCTCTTCCGCAACGTAATCCTTTTGATATCGATACTCAGGCTCGGTATCATAATGCGTATGCCTGTCTAACATTCGAAGCTGCGGCTGCTGCTTATCTAGGTGGAATCGACTCCCTGGTCCTTGCTCGAGTTCCTGGTTACATAGCCTTGACCCACCTGAGCGAGGAAATAGTGGATGATTATGCCATGGGTCTGGAGGCGTTGACCAATCTGGGGTTGTATTATATCAACGCGTTCATCCGGTGCTGTGAGTGCAAGGTTTATTTGTGTACACAGAGTGGTACATCGAGCCTTCAATGTTGTTTCTTTCACAGTCAAGGGGCAAATGATCTTACGCCAGAGCCTTCCGAACATCCCTCTCGGCCGTCATTCGATACTTTATGACGCACATTTCACAAGAGGCACCCAAAGACCATCAAACAGCCAAACCATTAGTGCGTTCATCTTCACCTAAATCTCACCACGTTACTGAATGTCCGAGACAGGCTTTGATACGCGATAATTATCAGTGTGCCATCTCTGGTGCCTACGACTGGAGCATGGCAGATCCTGCTCACGAGGCGCATGCTAGTTTTCTTGCTGGCCAACCCACCACGCGGCACCGAATGCGTTCATATCATTCCCGACTACGTGAACCACAGTATCAGTGGACCGAATGTAGGTGGCTCCAAAGTGGGTTGTTTCATTTTTTTGGGATTCACTTCCAATAACATACATTTTCCAGCATCACCGTGAAAGTACTGTGTGGACTTACTGTGTGGACTGTTTTGAGCCGTCTTGGCCTAACATTTGGCTGGGATGAGCTCCTAGGCAACGGAATCCATCGCATCGAGAACGTCATGACTCTTTGTTTTGACGTCCATCTCTCGTTCGATAATGTGCTTTGGTTGGATCCCACAGCGAGTAAGCATGACTGGGTATACTTATATGACGGCTCACGGTCTCTTAATGATCAGGCAATACCACACCAGTACCTCAACCGACCACGCCACCCTCACCTCTCAATATTACACGTCCAGACCCTCGATACCTCAAGCTTCACGCTATGTGTTGTAAAGTTGCTCATCTGTCTGGAGCAGGAGAGTCCATCAACAAGATTCATCGAGATATGGAAGATATGAGTGTGCTAGCCAAAGATGGTTCATCTATGGATCTGTTGAACTACAAGCTGGCTACACCCCAAACACTCCACTAAATCTGTCAGGTTTTTAGCTTGTTCTATGGAGAACACTTCAGATAAATTTATGGAACTTAACGGTCAATGTGGTAGTCCATGATCTTTGGTTTGTGTCCAGTTTGATCAAGCTACCTCCGGGATTTGCGCACCCAGTACAGGCAAATGTCCCATGTCACCAAGTCAGACGACTTCTGGTTGAACCTGACAAAGAAAGAGCTTATCTGATGCTCGATGTCTTGCTCAATGGTAAGGAGTTCACGAGAAATTCAGGAAGATGAACAACAGGAAAGAAAGTTGGGCATGATCTATTGTGTCGTTGTATATTAAAGTGAGGTCATCAGAAAATTTTGCTGCTCTTGGGGCAGAACTCGGTTCTAGCAAATAACGGGCTGCTAAGCCTTGCAGAAACCTCAATCAAGAACGGGCGTTAAATTGATGGCAAGTGTGCGAAAGATAGTCACTCACTAGTGCACAGATACAATGGTCCTTGGGATAATGGACTTCGGAGTGTAACGTTCAATCTATTTCGATTCTGCGGACTAAATGGGGTCATCTGATATCGGGGATTCGCTTCTCTCCAGTTCTCTATTCTGCTGCAAGCATTCATCAACAAGTGTCTCAGCATCTTCTCAAGCATCTTCTCATCATTTCAATTTGTGGGCTCTAAATATCCATCAGGGCGCCCTGTCAGATGTCGAACACATATATGTCTGCCTACAGAGTTCAATGCCGAATAACTTGATCTCTCGTAAGGGACTCGTGGGCTCCCACTATCCCCATCCATGTCCCATGCCCTTGATTTGAGGGCGTATTTAGGTCCTATCATCCTTACGACTCGGATGAAACCTATCATGATGACCTGCCAGTGATCACACACGGAACTGATGTTTATTGGCGTTTACGTCCTGAATTGCCCTATGCACAGGTATGTGAATTTGCATATTTGTACTTTTGCACTTCTGTGGTGGTAGTACTAAGTTCCCTCCCTGTTAATATCACTTGGATATGACCATGAATCCATCCGTGACATTCGTTCCTGCGGATGAAATGCCGACAATACATCAAGCCATTTTGGATGCTAACATCACGAGATATCTTGCTGGTAAGACATATATTATATCTCTAGTCAGTAGATTTGCTGATAGATAGACCCCGATGGTTGGCGATTATGTAGCTGCGGGTATGGTTATAGTTATCTATGACCAATTGTTATCACTACCAGAAGAGGTGGACATGTTCTGGAAGGGTCGTCGTTCGCTCTCGACGTCTCTTTACCTTACCAACCGATATTTGGTGCCCGCCATACTCATCACCACGGCTTATCGTAAGCCGGTGGAATTTTTCTAATACAATTTCTTATAACTCACTTTGTAATACTAGAAATGTGTGGTTTTAATTCTCCTTTATCGCACATGGTAGGTCTCGTGTCTTATGTGATATGCATATATTTGACCTCAATATGCAGGGGCGAGTTCAGATAAATCCATGTTTCGCACTCTGGTATATTTACCAAAATTTAGATGTCGGTTGCTTATATCCATCCCTGCTGTATTGGGTACAATTCTTTTAGGAGTGGCCTTTCTGTTGGTGTTCATGACTGTAGTTCAAATATGGGAGAACTGTAGAGTATGTCCCAGCTCATTTGGTCATGTTTCGATTAATATAATCCTTCCTGCAGCTCGTGGTCTGGGTGTTGTCAGGTTGTCTTATCCTGAGCTTTTGCACGATGTCCGCCATGTTAGGTATCGCAATTGTTCAAATGTGGGGTGAGTTCGGCTAGCTTTTGTAGATGTGAACTGTTTACTAGACATAATTCTAGATGGAATAACTTATTCCTCTGAAGCTGATATGTGTATAATGCAGACAGTATCTAAATCACTGGTTGGTGTATTTGCAGCACCGGTAAGTGGCCAGTACATTGATGTCTGGTCCCATGATTACATATTGTCCACACACAGATGGTATTCGATCTGATGGCTCTCGGATGTATCGTCATGAACACACTTAGTCGTCCTAGGAGAGCCGATTTGCTACTTTACAAGGCTCTTTGCTCTGATGGTATCATCTTCTTTGCGGTTGGTATAAATTATATTCGAAGCAGCGAACTGTCACTGACCACTAGATCTCTAGACTTTTGCATTTCTACACGTTTCAGAAGTGGCTCTTTCTGCAACTCTGCAGCCCAATTATATTTTCATGTCTGTTTAGTGAGTGCTTTTCACCTGTTTAATGTGCATGTTTGCATTCACTTCCTCTGACCGGGTAACTCATTATCTACAGTTTTGTTTGTCCCTTGACAAATGCTAGCCTAAGCCATTTACTCTTCAATATCAGGCGCTTCGATTTAGACTCTTGGAAGTAATCGTAATTCGCCACGATCAAATCGGTATTGTGGCATAATGTTGTTGGAAGACCATCTCATACCAACCAACATTCAGCTTAGTGGTCAACTCTTGGTTGGTTAATACGCTCTCACCTTTCTTTTTCTACCGTCTCTTGAACTGTCTCTTCTTGAACCTGCTTGCACTAGGGCTTGCCATCAATTATCTTATGATATATATACTGTACGAAAACCCAAAATACTGTGTTAAATCGCCCTATCCGAAAGACAAAGCATATTGCAAATGATATTTAACAAGGTTTTGCAGCGTAGTGAGTTCGAAGAACGAGTGAGAGGTAGCCACCATAAAGCTCAATAGTATGTAGCCAAATCCAGAAATGTAAGCCTGCAAAAAGCGTCCACAAGGTGAAAGCAAAAGAAGATATAACAACAGCAAAAACGGGAGTAACTAAAGATATGGACAGGCCAGAGTTAAACCTGATGCGCCACTGATGGGTATCACAACAGACTGCGCTCATTGATATCCTCCGGAGGGCTGTCCAAACACAGATTTCCCAGGGCCTGACCTGCTAGATTTCTCTAAGAAGCCGTCAGGTCGCCGATATCGCCACTCTGCACAAGCATAGAAAGCTTTGCAAGCATTTCTAAGTAGAGCTGGAAACATGCCGCATGCATCTAGTACCCTCGCCTCAACCTTTCGTTCTCTTCTCTAAGCCTCTTGTTTTCTTCTCGTAGTTGTTGCAGTTCTCCACCCCATTCATCCATCGATCCCCTCAGCTCGCTCCTCCAACCCCTGCCCATGCGAACCAAATCCAGATGAAGGCCCATCATCTCGGCTTTTGTCTCCTGTTGGAAATCACACATCACGTCTCGCATTATAGTACGCAGCAGATCATGTGCCGAGTTCGCCGCCGGCGTTGAATCGCGAAGGGGAGAGGGTATCATAACTGGAGGAGAGGGTCGCCGAGGAGATATTTGCATGGACAACTCGCGCTCGCGGGCTTTCTCTCTGTCCTCTTCGTAAGACTCGACGTCAGAGCTTCCGGATTCCTCTTCATCGCTCGGGCCTGTATCATCACATTGTTTCATGAAGCCCACCCGTTTACCTTCGTTCTGTTTACCCTTGCCTTCATAGTCGCCCGCTTTAATCCACTTCGCGACTTCGGGCGTGCCAAGCCCTAGCACTCCCAACCCTGCCGTCTTCTTCGCGATCGGAATAGGTGTTACCGGATCGTTAAAAGGCATGGGTAGCTCGGGTGATGGCGTACGGCGCCTATCATCTTCATAATCGTGGTTACTAACCCGTTCTTGCTCTTTACGAGTAGACACGCCTGTTGCTGAAATCGCAGAGCCAGTCCTAGAGATGACTGAAGCCGCACGAGACCCAGGCCTTGATCGAGCTTCTTCTTTTCGAACCCCCAAGCTCGAAGTAGATCTGGCATCAGAACCCAAGGTCGACGGTCCCTGTTTTGAAGCATTGGATAAGACTGACCCCGCACGAGATCGGCCACTCCCTCTGGAGCTTGTAGTAGCTTGAGAAACCGCTCGATTTTTCATTGCTCCTAAGTGGGCCGATATGGAATCGAACTTTTCTTGCACGACGTCCAAGTATTCACCGTCTCTCTCTCGACTGACTCCACCAGACGAAGGAAAGTCGGACATCGCTCCTCCGCTGGTTACTCTCGCGGATGTACGTGAACTCGGGCGGGTTGACTTTGCCTGGCTTACACCAGTACTGAATGGTTGCGAATCAAACGGCACCGCTAGTTTGTTTTCGAAATCAGCTCTTTCATCATCTGTGTCCAGTACGAGGTTCTCCTTCTTCGAGATAGTAGATCCACCTATTGCTTTCTTCCTCATAGCTGCCAGGCTTTCGATATGCACTGATATAAATGTATAAGCAAGCCACCTCTACATACTAAGGGTGAATGAGTACATACCAGAAAAATCATCGTTTTCACCGCCATCTATATTTCCACTGTTGATTAAAGGGTCGCGGACGGGAGAGAACAATTTTTTTGCAGCGGTTCCTGTTGGCTTTCTAACTGGTCCTTTCCTGGGTGATCCATGACCCGTATCGGCCTTGAGTTTGGCCGCTACAGCTACCCGAGCAGGAGACTTGACACCAGCACTGATGGAACCCATTTTCGAGCGGACACGAACAGGGGAAGAGTGTGCAGCCTTGGTCTTTATGTTAGCTAGAGGACGATGCACAGCAGTATCACCATTGCTAGGATTTCTCTGAGTGCTGGGGGCTTTGGCTGTTGAGTTTATGGCAGCCGGATTCTTCCCAGGAACAGCAGCCTTGGTTTTAGCATCAGCAGCCGAGCCTTTCAGCTTTTTCTAGACATGTCAACATCAATTAAAATAACCTTCAGGTAGCCAAAGAGAAAGACATACCTGTACACTCATGGTCTCGATTCTGGATCCATTCTGGCCAACTGCGATGGACTTTGGAGGCTTATCCAGCGCTCTTAAGTCTAAAACCAAAAGCTTCCCGTTCTCCGTTCCCAAGTATAATGCTGCTCCCTCAGCAGTAAAAGCTAAAGACGTTAAAGGAATCTTCAGGTTAACAATCTTGATTAAGCTAGGTAAATCTTAATTCAGCATTCGCATCAGCATAAGAAAACCTGAGAGGAACTTTACCCTTTCTCCTTGTCAAGATCCATCAAACCGACGTCTCCACCTGAAGTTGCTGCTGCAACAAGCGTTTTGCTAAATGGACTGCAGGCAATAGCGACAATTTCTCCGGAGGTAGCGTCGCCAAGCGATATAGATTTGATTGGGCCTGAAGGTCTCGTTGTATCATAGACTAGTAATTGCTTTCCAGTCCCCAGCAAAAGGCGAGTGCGAGTATGAGGGTGAAATGCACACGCTTTGATAGGTGCACTCGTGGGTACACCTCTGAGAACAGTATGAGAGGATAGAGTCAGATTATGGATGTGCACAGCAGACAAGGATGTGGAGGCAAGGAGCGTTGAGTCGTTAGAGAGTGACAACGTCGTTACCGTCGATTTATGGGAATCGAACGTCTGGATTACCTTTCCCGTCCCAGAGCCATACTCTATTGTATGCACCTTGCTCCCGACACCCACAACCAACGCGTTTCCCTTATCCTTCGCAGCCAGGCAATGAATAGAATCTCCTGGTGGGGCGGTATAGAGCTTCTGGAGCTGGCTCTCGGAAAGCGTGTACCTGTGAACGTGTTTCGAGTCTGAGAGAAATATATGGTCATTGTCTTGAGACCAAGCGCTGGTCGTGCAACGAGAAGAAAGTGTCTCGCATTCCTGTAACGAAGGGGGTGTGTGTTTGAGTGTGGCAGGGTCTGCAAGCACGAGTGAATCCGTAGTAATGAGAGCAAGCATCGATATCAAAGGTGAATTTCGCAGTCGTAAGCGTTGTTTGATGAGATTTTATATTCTTTCGTCGCCGGTTTGGCAAAATATCGTTACTTGAGCAATATGGTTCAAAAATGCTTGGAGGAAACGAAGTTCAGAACGGACGCGCCGGTCACGTGATGAGTCTTTTAGACACAAAAGTTACGATGAGGGATAAAGCCAAGATAAAGCGGTTAATAAAGATTGGATTCAAGTAACCCTTGTTATAAACGTCTTTCAAACTATAATATAATTTAACAATACATTCTACTGCATGTATGTATAGAGGTGTAGTACTCGATACAGGGTCACGACACAATACATACATAAGTTATTAGATATACCAAGAATTGTGGAATGAGGTGAGGATGAATGATTAGATTAGCTAGAAACACATATGAGAAACACAAGTCCATGTCATAAATATATCATAAGCCGTAGTAAGAAAAGACGAAAATGGGGAAAATAGCAAGGATTAACTTGCTATTGAATCTTCCTGTTTAAAATCGACAAATACCCAGTCTTGTGGGAGTGCTAGGTATGGATGACCTCGCAGTTGAGCGGCACTAGGACGACAAGAAGGATCCCTGCGATGTGCATTAGCTTCCGGGGCATATTCATACAATAAGTATACCTACACTTTGAAACATAAATCTTTGAAACTATTTGCCAGATGTGACAGCGCTATGTCTTCGGGAATGTGAGGTGACGTTTTCATATTGCACAGCTGCCAGAGAAGAAATTGTCAGTGCACACGATACTGACAATGTTTCAGAAAACTTACGTTGATCAGCACTGCGTTGCTGTCTTCATCTCCCCAAGGTCTCTGACCAGTCCACATCTCAACCGCCACGCAACCAGCGCTCCAGATGTCACATTTTGAGTCATAATCCCTCTTCGCGACAACTTCTGGGGCCATCCAGAAAACAGTAGCGGCAGCGATACCATCGGTGAAGTCGTCAAGATATCTCGAAATGCCAATATCTGAAATCTTGCAGACTCCATTTGTCTCCACTAACACGTTGTCCGCCTTTAAACCCTATGTAGTATAGGATGTCAGAAGCAATAACCGGTTTTGTTAAAGTTTGGACACGAACTCGGTGAATAATGTTTACAGAGTGGAGGTGTTCCAATCCTTCAAGGATTTGAGCGGTGAAAGATTTAGATAAATCTTCTTTGAGGGCGCCATGTTGCCTCAAGCAAGACCCGATGGAACCTCCAGGAATATATTCTTGAATGCTAAGATACTGTCATGATATGTGAATTGCTTCTATTTCAACATACTCACATGTGTAACACAGAAGGAGATTCCTCGAAAGCAATATCAAAATAATTGACAATATGAGGGTGGTGAAGGCATAAGATAGTCTCGCACTCCAACCTCATTGCCTGTGTAAGGTGATTCTGGTGAACCTTCGATGGTATGTCGACTCGCTTGCTAACAATCATTTCACCGGTTTTTGCATTGAGTACGAGATGCACACTTCCATGAGGGCCTTTGCCAATGAGCTCGCCGCGAATCCATTTTGGCACAGCTAATAAAGTAAGTCAGCAAGAGAATTATGAATAATTAGATATTACCAATTCCCACATTTGATACTCAAGTCTGATGGTAAATTCTGGGGGGCCCCGCTTATTTCGTCAGGTTCTTGCAATGCCATAGCCTGTTCAGTGGTATTGCCCCAGAGCTTAACGGTTCTTGTGCGTGACGTGGTACTGGAAGGTGGACCAGCCCTCGAAACGTAAGGATTGCGTTTCCTATGCTCATCTGAAACCACCCGGATCGGCTTTTTCACTCCAGGTGAGCTTTTCGTGCGTTGAATATTTGAAAGCGACATCGAGGAGCGTCCAACAGGATTTAAGGGAGTCCTAAAGTGAGCTGGTGTAAAGTGGGCTTCCCTTCTTGTGTCCGCCACGCTTTCTGGTAATAAACCACCATTTTTTATAGTTTGATAAATATCCCCCCAGCTATGAGATGTGGAAGAACAATTTGTAGTAAACCGTGACGATCTTGTGTGGAGTTCATCATAGTCACGATCAAGTGGAACGGGCAGCGGTGTTTGGGGTCCCCAGCTCTGGAATAAAGAGCCGCGTGGCTGAACGAAACTGGTATTGATGGTAAGCCGAGGTCGCTGACTTCGCCTCAAGGTTGGACTGGTACATTCACTTGCATACGCTGCTGTTTCTACGCTCATGATGCTTTTGTCACAGAGATGCTAGACGAAAGACTATGGAGGTGATGATGGGCAATAGCTGAGGTGCGTGTATAGATCAGGAAAGGAGCCTCTTTATAGTAGTAGCCTTCGTCAAGCGCCCCAACAGTGGTGGAATCATGGGCGATGCACCTGCGCTATCAGCATTGGTTTATTGTTGTGTCGGGTGCCGTGGCACCTCTAGATAAGGCTGGCACGTATTGCTTACCGTACATCATGTTGATACTATACCTGTAGGTGAACAGTCTTCAACCGACTAGTACTGCCTAGATTGAGGCTAGGCGCGCTATACACCTTCATCATACAAACATAGCCTCGAAAGCTCCGTTCTAAAGTCATCGCTTCCCAAAGATGATACTACCAGTGATGTCGGCTTCTCCGTGAAGCCCTTTCTTGCGTTGAATGGCTCTGCCTGTATCATATCCGGCTGCCCGCATCAATACGCGTTGGATGATTTCGGCCTGGCTCAGGTATTTTGACCTTCCATGGTACCCAATTGATTTTGCAGAGCACGCATCTAAGATGGGGACACTGGCTATGTTGGAAACCCCTTAAGCATGTTTGGTCTTTACATGGTATGTTTCTAGTTGATTACACAGGCATATGACATGGCTATGCTTGATACATATTTTCCTGGTCACACTTAGTCTGCTATAAGACCTTACAGAAATTGCACTATCCAGCCTGTGTGACTAACTAGAGTTCCGATTTCCTATTTGTTTCGTTGGTTTGGGAGAACAGCAGGCTCTGGGGTAGCGAAAGCCTGCTACTAGCAAGCACGCTAACTTGATCATCCAATAAGCGATATATTATCAACTAAAACTATTGAAGTAAAGTGCATTGTGAATAACGTCCCATATCGTGTAATGTCAGGTAATCCTATCAGAATGTCCAGTATAATCAAGAAAATCCCATGCTAAATTGTCCATATCCTCATTTTTAGTCGTTGCTTCAAGTTGCCAGTATCCCTAATTTAAGTGATCGTGATCGTCTGGTTCAGAGTCTGGAGGTTGGGCATCGGACCAGCCTGAATAGAAAAGAAAGTCAATGTCAGAATGTTACGACAAGCAAAGCACTACAACAACATAACAAGGGGCAGAAATACGTACGCCGATCAGATTCACGTGAACAATGCCGATCTGGGCAGTTCCATTAGGGAATGAAGCTGGGATCGTCACGGAGATGTTTTGGTAAGGAGGCAACTGGGGCTCGTGATACACGGGGTTGTAAGCTCCGTTGTACAAGATTTCACCCAAGATATCGGCAGGAGCGGAGCAGGCAGATTTAGAGCAAGACTGAATGCCGATGACAACAGCAACTTCTTCAGAGGAAGACAGAGAGTTCTACAAACAGGGGTTTAACTGTTAACAATGAACGTAAGCATGGAGATGATTTTGACATACTGGCTTGTTAAGCTGAACAGTCATATTGCTGCCTGGAGCCACCGAGGCGCCTTGAGGCGGTTGGGCAATAGCAATATTCTGGGCCAGAGCAGCACCAGCGAAGAGAGCGAGGGAGATGATAGACTTGAACATGACTTGGAGCTATGGAGTGTATTTAGAATAAGCTAGAGCGCGAAGGCGTAGAGGAGAGCTGGTGTTGAAAATACTAGAAACCCAAACCTTTTATACAGGGGACCAAATATACGCTGTGCGTTTCAAAAAGCAACAATGACGGCCTTACGTCGGTTTTATTTGCAACCGCAAACACGGTGATGGGTGAGTCGGAGTGAGGTCGATCAGTGGTACCTGCTTGTAAGGAGATGCCGGCGATAACCTTGGATTTCTGGTGGAACTTTCGTGAAGTTTTGAGGATGATTAGGGTTGTTCCATGGGCATTACATCCCGTCAATCACAACCACAAGGTGAAAGATGGTTTCAAAGGCGCCTTTGTTGTTCGTAACACGGGAATAGAGCTTGAACACGTGTCGATGCAATGACTTACTAGGGCATGTTTGGAACGCTTGATGCATGAGGCAGAGCCCAAAGCTCGCCAACTTTCGAAGACTGTTGGAACAGAACAAAAGCGTCCAAACTAGACAATGACGTAATCTCATGGCTGTGTGGCTGTGTTGTTCCCACGGACTTTAACTGTCTGGACACTGGTCGAAGCTTGGTGGTACACCCGGTTGCAACATACCCTACCAGTTATCTGCACCGCCCTCACATTTTCCTGATGGCTCCATTCAACAGGAAGGTAAAGAAAATGTCGGAAAAACAAGAGATTGACGCTTTAGACAAGGCAGTAATGCAATATGTGAGTTGGGCTGCTGCATTATCAAAACATGTGTGCTCAACGGCCTAGTATTGTAATACAGGAATATGCAGGGCCATCGAAAGCCTTTTTTGACTTACCTATTTCTAACCCTACAAAACGAGGTATCGTCAGCTGTGCCTCGGTATGCTCACAAGCTCAGACTTCCTTCCATAGGCCTTAAAAAGTCATTTTTTGTTGAAATGACAGATATTCAAGCACAGAGCATTCCTGTTGCGTTGAAGGGAAGAGATGTCTTAGGTGCTGCTCGCACAGGCAGCGGCAAAACTCTCGCTTTCTTGATCCCCACGCTGGAAATATTATATCGCAAAAAATGGGGCCCTCAAGATGGGCTGGGAGCCCTTATCATATCTCCTACCCGTGAACTAGTGAGCTTTATCAAATACGTGTTTTGCTGTAAGATTTTTCAATAACAGTGTTTGTTCCTAGGCTGTTCAGATCTTTGAGGTCCTTCGTTCTATCGGCGGCAATCATAGTTTTTCTGCTGGATTAGTGATCGGTGGAAAAAACTTGAAGGATGAGAGAGATCGCTTGTCTCGTATGAACATCCTGGTCGCAACTCCAGGCCGACTTCTTCAGCACATGGACCAAACATTCGGGTTCGAGTCAGATAATCTGCAAGTTCTCGGTACGTTGACCGCGACATCATGTGTTTTCACCCTTTTTGATTACAGGTTTGTATAGTTTTAGACGAAGCGGATCGCATACTCGATATGGGATTCTCTCGTACCCTGTCCGCTCTCCTCTCTCACCTCCCAAAGTCACGGCAAACTCTACTTTTCTCAGCCACTCAGACAGATTCAGTCAAGGACCTGGCTCGCCTCAGTCTCAAAGATCCTGCCTCTATCGGTGTACAAGAAACCAACAACGAAAGCGCCACCCCCAAAAGTCTAGAACAACACTACATCGTGTGCGAGCTAGACAAAAAACTAGATATACTATGGAGCTTCATCAAAAGCCACCTGAAAGCCAAGATTCTCGTGTTTATTTCAAGCGGAAAGCAAGTGCGGTTTGTATTTGAAACATTTTGCAAGATGCATCCTGGTGTCCCGCTACTGCATCTGCATGGAAAGCAGAAGCAAACCACTCGGCTCGCGACCTACACGCGTTTCACGTCATCATCCCATGCCATCTTGTTTGCGACGGACATAGCAGCGCGTGGACTGGATTTTCCTTCTGTAGATTGGGTCTTGCAAGTTGATGCCCCTGAAGATGCTGATACGTATATCCACCGGGTCGGTAGAACGGCTCGATACGAAAGCGCTGGAAAAGGATTGCTGTTTTTATTACCGAGTGAGGAAGAAGGCATGAAGTCTGCGCTCGAGAAAAAGAAGATCAAAATTGAGAGCATCAAAATCAGGTCAAGTAAAACGCAAAGTATTCAGAATCAGCTGCAGAGGCTTGCATTCCAGTCCCCAGAGATCAAGTACCTTGGACAAAGGGTTTGTACCTATCCTCTTTCCCCACACCGATCTCTTTTTACAAATTTTGTTCTCTAGGCCTTTATCTCGTATGTTCGGTCCATTCATCTTCAAAAGGATAAGTCCATATTCAAGATCGAGGAACTTCCTGTTGATCGTTTTGCGGAATCACTCGGCTTACCTGGAGCACCCAAAATCAAATTCTTGAGCAGGGAGCTAGCGAAGAAGCAGAAAAACGCGTCTCGCACTGTGGCCAAGCTTCAAGCCGAGATCAAGGCTGAGCAATCAGAATCTGAGCAAGATTCGGATGAAGACGGCGAAGATGGCAACAGCGCGAGCGAGGTGTCATCTGAGGTGGAAAGTGAATCCGCTGACGTACCAGAGGGCAGTGAAGAGCCCGAACCAGAAAAAGAAGTTAAAGTAAGTGCCGTTAGTACTAAACTTGCCGTCAAGAATTCACCCAATATTGTTTATTAGGCTGTTGTTCGTACCAAGTACGACAGAATGTTTCAACGAAAGAATCAAAATATACTGTCGGAGCACTATACGAAAATCGTTGATCACTCTTCACATGCGAACGATGACGACGACGATTTCATCACCCTCAAGCGTGCCAACCACGACTTGCCCGATTCTGAACTCCCAGAGATGGAAAACATGTCTAAACGAAAGCTGAGGATGAGCAAATCAAAGCGTGCTATCATGCAGCGAAGCGAACTTGGTCACAAACTTATATTCGACGACGAAGGCAATCCGCATGAGCTATATGAAATGGTGGATCCAGCAGAATTTTACAAGGGAGGGTTGGAAGGTGCTAAGGAAGCCGGCGCCCAGTTTGCTGAGAGTCAGCGCGGAAAGCTGAAAGAAGCCGACGTCACGGATAAGATGGAGGCGAAAGAGAAGAAGAAAGAAAAGAAACGAAAGAGAAAAGAGCGAGAAAGAGGCGTAAGTGATAGTCAATTTGTGCTCTTATATCTATTTACCTGTTTATCAGGTGGATACGGAAGGTCATGGCAGCTCGAACCCTGTTCTCGAGGCTTTCTCTGACGATGATGGTTATGTTTCTCCTGATTTTGATTTACCGAGCGGGTCCGAAGATGAGGTACCTCCTGCAAAGCGGAGAAAGGATACCAAGTCACCAAGACGGAGTGACAAACCGCACACTATCGAAGAGGACGAAGAGACGGTACTGGCGCTGTTACGCAAGTCATAGATATTGTCAATGCCACTGGGATGTGTTTGACGACTGTAACTATTGCGTGATGGTTGTGCTGGTGAGCACATGGCAGTAAATGGTCTGTGCGGCCATCTCTATGGTCGAGCTTCGAAATTGGAGGAGTAAAACCATGAACATTCAATAATTATAAGTGATTTCAATCGGTTCAGTGTCTTGTTGATACGATCAGCGTTTGGGGGGTCGTTCTCACCACCACTCCTTTCTGTCTCGTAACGCTACTTGGGTTCGATGTTGGGAAGCTTGTCGTTCTGGTTAATATTCAGCACTGGATTGCAGTTTCAATCATCTAAACTACTAACGTCCTTAATAACGATATTTTATCATCAAAACTATGGTCGATATCGATATCGAGTTCTCCCGGTCTTGCGGTATCACCGTACCAATTCTTCGAAAGTGCATTTTGTAATAGTAATTGAATGAGACTTCAAAAAACTCTCTTGAGAGAAATACATTGGTACAGATACAGATCCCGCACATCGGGACGACGTCAACATACATTGAGTAGTAAGCCTCGAGTGTGTCTGATTATCCATGATCAAGAGGGTAGATCAAAAAATTGAACCCTCTTCTTCTTCCGCGGTGCCTCGTCAATGCCATTCGTGCCTTTAGTTTCAGTTACATCATTATTCGGGGGATCCACTGCCATTATGCTAATAGCTGGATCTTCATTATTATCCCCACCCGACTTTGCTGATGAGGGTAACTTCAGCAGAGGAAACTCGACCGAACCAGGCGTTGCGGCTTGGTACAAGAAACGGGGTTGCTATTTCCTTGCGTTAATGATTGTGTCGATTTGCGCATGTGAAGGTGACATACCGCGATAAAGTCCCTCATGCCCTTGTCAGTCGTCACTCCAGGAATCTTCTCCGTGGAGCCTCTGAAAGCTTGACGCCGACCGATCATAGCTTCTTCAGCCGTGGATCGTATCACAAGGGTTTTGACTAAACGGAAAACCTGTTTAAGAATATGATAGCCTTACAACCAGAACAGTACACACCAGAGATCGGCCTGGTTTGCCCTATACGATGCGCCCGCTGGATAGCTACTTAGCAGAGTATAAACGAGACACTGACCACTCACCTTGATAGCTTGACTTTCAACATCAGGCATCCAAACAGGCTCGCAAAAGATAACGCGCGAAGCAGATACCAAGTTCCTATTTCTGGAGTTAGCAGGTTCAATTTAAGATATGTTTTATGCCACACACAATCCACGCGCTGCATGCTTCAAATCCATCAAAAATACGCGAAAAGTATCTGAAGTTTCGAAGGTCATAACAAGCTGTTCCCTTAGGCTTGGTAGTACGTCAGTGGTATAACGCAAGTATTTGACTTCAACTAAAGAAAGTCCTTCGGCAACGTGCGCGAGGGTTAGTGGGGAAGCTGAGAATATAAGGAACTTCTCGTTAGGTGAATGCAGAAGGACCTTCGCGAGAATAAGCATAAGTTTATCTATTCCGGGTTTCACTCACCTCGTCCAGAATATAATTCAGTTTAGTAGACGTGGACCGCCCCACACGTACACCAGCAAGTACCGATGAAGCCATCATTCGACATTTCGCCGCTTCCTGCATCTGTAGGACTTGAGCAAACGTGTTTTCACTATGATCATCGGCGCTTTCATCGTCCGTTTCTTCTTCTGCTTTGCGCTTTAGATGTTCTATCTCTATCTTTACCTCTCGTACCATCCTTTTCATTTGAGTAGAGCTCGTCGTGTCCTTATCAGTATTGGGCTTATTTGGCTGGCAAGAGTTTGTCGCCTCTTCATTAAGTAAAACTCCCTCCTCCAGTAGACGAGATTTCTTGATTAAAGGTCGTTTTCTTATTACGTCTCGCAAGTCTATAAGTCTGATTGCATGCATTAGGTCGCATTCGCGAGGTCTTAAATTGAGATTGCTCCGGGTCCATGCTTCAAAAATTTCTGAATCCATGCCTAGGGTTCGAAAGGGAACGTCTTCGTGAACTTGCATCGCTCGCCAAAGTGGGTCCTCAGCCGCGAGCCGCCTATAAGTGGATGTGATGTAAATACACAGGATGAACATAAACACAGACTACACCGACATGTGCGTGAGTGCCTCCGATAACAACCGCATGTCAGACTCGCTAACATTCCGTTTGACAGCAGTCGCCACATACTGGCCTGACTCGTTGCAATTTTCGTCCACGTTGTACAAGATGTCGGAAGCTGACCAAAACATACACCTGAAGAGGTCCGTCTCTGTGCGTTGCATAACACAATGAATAATAACACTTACTGCGACATGTTGTCAAGCGCATTTTGCAAATGTTTCGCATTCTGAGAAAAGTTTCAGTCATGAATGGACAGGTGAATAAGTAGTGTTTTTGCGCTTACCCCAGCGTGAAATAGATAGTCCTGTAAATCACTAATGTAAGCGCGCTTTCACAAAGTTCAGAAGGTGCCTACCTGATCCGTACGCTGGGAATCGATCGCATTAATGGCAATCGAGGCTTGCAATGCGTTGTATGATTTTACAGCATAGGGGTCAAGATCCATATATATAATTTCATGCTTCATTGGAGGTAGCACGACATCTTTCTCAACATCTTCGACCCTAGGAACATATTGTGGTGATAATTTAAATATGATTATAAAAACACTTACTGGTGGCGCACCATGACTGACTGCATTACCTGGCTTAGTACAGTAATTGCACCAGGAAGAGGGCCGTGTGCGCCAAGCAGCGGCGCAATAACAGTATCATCGAATAAGGATGAAACGGAGTAGAACTGAGGGACTGCAAGGAACGTCCTGATCATGGAGTGGAGCTTGCGCAAATTATCCCGTTCGTAGGCGCCCCATATTCTGTGCTTCGAGGTATGATGTGTTACTCCTAAATCCGATACATCTGAAGATGTGGAACTGGAACTGCTTGTCTCTCCGGTAAGCGCCTCGTTGACGTTATGATGGTCTTCGCCTTCTGAATCCGTACGTCCAAGACTAAGGCCCAAGATATTTGTCGTTGGCGTACCCGTCACGATCCACCTTCGCTGTACACTTATTTTACCTATAAAATGCATGAAGGCACTAAAGCTGTTACCAGCAATATGCCCCTCATCCACGACCAGTCTCTTCCAACGGACCCGCAAAAGTGGACTGACGGAATCATGACCCTTACAACGACAGTCCGGTATTCTCGTACCTGGCAATTCAGAGCATAAACATGACCCTAAAGAGTGTAAGTTTTCGAGATTATTTTCTTTGGACGACTCCCGCTTTAATCCTGAGATATGATCAGTACTGTCTGCGCTACTTAGAAAGGTGTAAACACGAACGAGTAGTCGTCATTATTACAAGCTTGGGGCGTTATCAGTTACTATTGTTTAAGTATACTCAGTAAACCACCTACATCATAGTTTGACGCAAGGTCTTTTGCGTCCGGTAATTTAGAAGACCGTCGTACAACAAGACACCTTAATTCAATATTACAGTGTTTCAAGATCTCTCGTTCCCATTGTCCTAATAAGCTCGGTGGAACGATGAGGAGTGTGGCGGTAGTTAGGTACATTAGGCGAGGTCGTGCCTTTGGCATTCGACGTCGAGATCGCAGAAGAAAGGGTGACTCAATGTCATAGTGATGGTAGAATGGGAAATTAGCCCACATTGGATCCCAGAGGCACCGCACCTCCAGATCCTCTTGATACTCACGCAACTTGAGCGATTCTGAAGAAGTTCGTATATGATGAAGTAAAATTTCGACGAGAGATGGGACTCCACGTTGAGTAGAGGTAGCATACGTGTGTCCAATACCCATTCTTTTCCTTGAAGTGCTGAACTCTTGGAAAGGGAAACTGCGGAATGCTAGTGGTGTCATAATTGGACGAGAATCCAGGAGTGATTCTTCAGGTTTCGGGAGTTGCTCCAATGTGGCTAGGATCAAGGCAAGGATCATAACCGTTTTGCCAGTGCCTATATATCACAAGTGAGTTATACTAGGGCATGGTGCGAAACATCAAACAAACCCAATTCTTCGCACAAAATTCCTCCGGAGCAAGGAGATACCATAGGACACTCTCTCAAGATCTCTAGGGTAGCTGGTTGGAGGAAGAACTTCTCGCCATGCATACCCACTACAGTAATAAAGGTGGGATCTGGGATGGCAGCAGAATAAGTTTCCTTATCGATCATCATTGCAACAGAGCGTCTCTGGTAGTTGTAAAGCCTGCTCGTCAAACCCCATATTTCTTTTCCGTTTAAAATGCGCCGCGAGAGTTCGGAGATATTCTGCGTCGGAAGATGAGGGGACTGGAGGTCACTGTAGATCTCTGCCATATTGCGGTTATCCTGATTTCAAAAACAATCAGCTCTCTATATTGTAGTAGTCTGTATGGCAGATACACGCACCACATTTTGTGGCAAAAAGTGTCTTACGGTACTGCATGATGGTACACACTCGTCGCCATCCCAGTTGCCTTGATCTTGCACTATGCGATCCAACAGGGTCTGTAAGCACTTTTTACCCTCTCGCTTTATAATGTCACTGCGATTTCGAAGCTTTCCTTGGACATTGGGAAGATCGTGAGGAATAAGGTAGATGCGGACGAATAGGAATTGTCCACCAGTGCCCAGTCGACCTGTTGCACGTATAAATCTGTGCTCGATAAGAAATTCGATGCTATTGAGTATTGTTTTCTCTGGATGAAGTACAGGAAGGGTGGTAAAGCCCTGAAGCGAATGCCTCCGAGTCGCATACTCGTGAAGGCGACCTAAGGAAGCGTCGAGGGATACGGTGCCAGCTGCGAGTAAATTGGGAAGTGCATATGGGTCCAGCGTGTCTGAATTATCTCCTGCTGAGCGTTTGGATCCTAGGTGAGTCCAGCTGGGCATATTCATCTCAGCAACGCAGGTCGGACAGGAAGATGGACACGAAAAGTTGGTCGGTAGAATACAGGTCAGATGATACAGAAAGAAAGAGAACTGGTGCTATAACCTGATATAGTACATATGCCGTCGTGGAGGAGCAATAACTTAGACCAGGGTATGAGGGTGAACCAAGGTGCAGACTCGGAATTGGCGAACATTTACAGATCGGCATTCCCAGTGAGTCACGTGTCCAGAAAACTTGCTTTTTCGTCAACGTGCTGAAGTCAGTCTGCTTCTCAGGCTAATTCTTAACATAACGTTCAGTTGTCTCTCACCATGAGTGTCCTCAGACCATTCAAGGCTACAGATTTGTTTAAATTCAACAACATGTGAGCACTCCTTGTACTCGGTTTATCTTGTACTTATGACCGACTCGTCAGCAATCTCGACGTGTGGACAGAAACGGTGAGTTATTACTATCTGACCACCATTCTGCCTTACCAAACCCCACTGTTCAGTATGGCCTTAGCTTCTATCTCAGCTATCTGTCGAGATGGCCCGACTTGTGCTGTGTCCAAGAAGCACCGAGCGGTCGTATGATGGGCTATGGTGCGTACCTTCTTCTCACCTTTTCAGATATTATACCTGTTGTAAACATGTGCCTCAACGACACATTTCCAGTTCTCGGAAAAGCTGAGGGTGTATCGAACGAATGGCACGGTCACGTCACTGCCCTCACCGTCGCACCAGAATATCGCCGACTTTCTCTTGCTCGTAACATGATGTCTCGTCTTGAGCTCGTATCAGACGACCTTTACAAAGGATTCTTCGTGGATCTATATGTTCGCTGTGCCAACTATGTAGCCATCAACATGTACGAGAGCTTTGGGTATAGTGTTTATAGGCGGGTAAGAGAATACTATGGTAATCTGGGGGTAGGCAAGGGTGGGCGAGATGAGGAGGATGCTTTTGGTGAGTTTATCTTTCAAATTGTTGGCTTCCGATGAAAAGAGATGGAATAACTGATATTTTTATCTGCTAGACATGCGAAAACCACTGTCGCGAGATCCACAGCGACGATCAGTGCGGTTGAACGGGCGTGATATGATTGTCAGTGCCCATGATGTATCGTAGCTCTTATAGACGAGGATACCCGCATACATAGAGTTTAGATCATCCCCACTCACGTCACTTCTCACAATGCATGATATTCCATCTTCTAAATTTGGGCACCTTGAGCACCACCACATCACGGTATCCTCATTCACTATGATTTACACATTCAATTACATTATATAGTCCTCCATCAACCTCTAACCCAGCTGTTGTTCCTATATGCTCAGTGGTGGAGGTTCCTCAGGTGCATGCGCGAGTTTATCGAGTTCTTCGTCGTAGAATTTCATCAAGGCGATTCGATCTTGGCAAAACTGCTGCAGTCTGGTCCTAACATCATCAGCAGCCGCAGCGGGCCTGTAATCTTTGCTCTTCGTTCCCATCCTTCCAGGCCCCATCAGCCGATTCGTCAAGAACAGAAAACCTTGAGAGCCGCCTAAAACCTGCACAAACGCCACACCAGACCGATGGACAAACTGAGAATATTTGAATGGGGCGCGGCGGTAAGAGTACACGACATCCACTTGTTCAGGATACAAATCAGACGCCTCGATGTCTATGATGAATCCGTGGTGTTTTAAAATGGCATATTCAAAATAGTGTTTGACTTGTGCGCCTTCCGGGATTCGCTTTTCTAAATCCGGTACGACGGGAGGTGGGATGATCGGACGCATGGGGAAACATGACTGAAAAGCATTGCGGTCACGAATGTCACTGATTTCGGTTACATACGCCTCTACTAGCTTGAGCCCATATCTTTCAATGGTTCGACTCCATTGCCGAAGCATGTCTTCAATGCATCGGGCAGTGGTTCCAATCCACTGAAGTTCGAAATGGAAGACTGTTTCTGGATTCTGAATAACGTCATGATGTAATATCACTGGCTCGGCTTGATCACTTTTCTGCAATGTACAGTGGTGAGGTTAGACAAAGGATCCGGAAGAAAGTAGACAAACCAGACGCACTTTACCAGGATCGATGTCTATGACCATACTTTGGCTCAGTATAAGCCTTTTCTTATTCCTTTTGGGGCTAGCGCCATGCAACCTGGCTGTGCTTGCTGGATAGTAACTTCGGGGATGACTGTACTCATCTCCGTTATATCTCAGTGATCTACCAGTAAACCATCCTCTTGGAGTGCTGGCTACAGCATATTCGCCTTTGAGGTAATAAAAATAATGCCTGAAGACAGTTACTGGGCCAGTAGAATGAACATACGTCAAGATACTCACCCATCCAAGAAGCCATGGAGCCCACGGCAGTGAGTGAATAGACCTTGCTCCCAAAGCTTCGTACCCCATTCAGCACCCTGCTCTCTCGAAGATACATCGCGAAACTCGCGAACCAACCAAGACACAAAATCGAAGCCTGTGAAAGAGTCGGGGTATTTCGAGCCATGCCATATATGGAGTTTGATAGGACAACTATCGTCTTCACGCATGGCTTTGGCGATAGCTGCTAGTGGCATGTCTGCAATATCCCTTTCACTTTTCATCTTTTTCTTCAGGGGACCCGTAGCATGTATCTCGTCTAATTGAGACATAAGGGAATCGTCCAAAACAGAAATCGCGGGACCGAAAGTGGTAGGCAAGAAGCGCACTGGAGGCATCTGCATGCCACGCTCCTCGGGAGGTTGCCAACGTAGCTTGGAAAATATCTCGGCTAGCTTGTCGATACCCATCAGACGAATTTCTTCCTCGTTCAGCTTTTCATTTGAAGGACCGGTGTTGGATAAGGGAGGCTCAGCGGTCGGTATCACCACGAATCGCGTCCGCCAGTACCGAAGGGAATCGCTGAATTGATGTTCATAACCAGCTACCAGCATATCCAATCTTCAAAATTTTCTGTCGGATGAATTCATTTTGATGCGATGAGAGTTACTTACCTGTTCCACCCATAGTTTTCTAGGCCATGAGAAGTAAATTTCGTGGCCAACTCGGTATACCCAATGCCAAGTTTAGGCCATATGAGGCACTGATACTCATATGGTTGGCTTGATGGCATGACACGAACGTACCGTCGAACCTGTATCGCTTCACCTGCGTAGGATATCCGATGAATCTCGTTACTCATGCTGACATAGACAGGCTCATGGGTGGAGCGCAAAATTTCTGCTGCCCCACTGGGTTTCGGCGTTTCGTCGTCTTCACCCATAAATGATTTTGTACGTCGAATAGCTGTTTTCTCTTCTATTTCTGCTATTTTTTGAGGCCTTAGAACGAATTGGAACCCTTGAGCCAGCCGAACTGCAACCATTCCTCGCATGACTACTAGAGCCCACGCACGGCGGATGTCATCCGATGTCCCCTCTGTATGGGGTGACTGGACCAGAAATGAGCGCATCTCAGGTGGATCGACTACGAAGTCATACGAAAACACGTCATACGAAAACTCGAGTTCGGACACGCTTGGGAAATGTTCGACAGTAAGCGGAAGACACCCAGGGGTGACCATTGACTTCCATTTCACTTGATGTTTGTACAGAGGAGTAGGAAACACGTGTTGCCATCGACGTGCCAGAGAAGACTGAGTGTACGAGACAGTAGATTCCGGTCGGGATGGGTCCGTTCGTGAGCTGGATATGGGTGAAGAAGAGGAGAAAGGTAGTGTCATGGAGTTCAAAATCATGCTTCGACGCCTACCAAAAGTGGCGTCATCGCGCGGAGGGGAATTCAGCGGTGAGTGCCTTGGGAAAGAGCCCCGATGGGGAAGAGTGCTATCGTCTTCATATGTCCTACTAAGCGTCGATCGACCCGAGGAATGGATGATCGCCATGGGTTGTGGAGAACGGGATATGGACGAGGAAGGGGTAGCAGATGGATTTGAAGCAATTGGTACGCGCATAGACGGTGTCTGTGTAGGAGTAGTAGAACCAGTCGCTGAAGAAGGTGCGGAATTCGCCTGAGATTCAGTGGAGCTGCTCCGAAATGGATAAAATAGCCAAGAAGGTGCCAACTTGGATATACGAGATATCCCTACCTCGGAATTGGGGCGTTCGGTAGACGTCGTAGTCGATACCGAAGGTGCGAGCGAGCGGTTTGACCGAACGGATCTCATGGAAGACTGAGACGGGGATGTGCTCATTCCGGTAACAGATGGGATAAGACCGCTGTGATCTCCCTCAGGAGGTAATTCCATGATGATACGCCGAGGACTTTCTTCGATAGGTGCAATGCGCGAAGCAACAGAGTTGCGATGAGAAGCATAACGTTTCTCGCTGATAATGGATGAACGATAAGAGGCTGTCACCATTGTCCCGCTGCCAGAAGATGTGTAAGAAGTACGAGTTATGTTAGAAGGCCTTGATTCCCTTCTCGTAGGCGTAAATGTTTCCAGGTCAGCTTGATCGGCATCATATTTGGAGAGGATAGTGTCGTCCGCATACGTATCTCGTGGTGGAGTAGCATACGGATCAATTTTCTCGGGAAGAAATGGCACTTCGATAGAGGAAAGCACGTCGTGCTCCAGTAGCCCTAACATCTGTATTTCGTGCATCTTTGCTCTCGCCACAAACCTATCTTCACGGAATGGTAAATCCATTTGCCTATCCCAAAACGACACCGTTATCCAAAATGGTTCCCACCAGAACGTCTTCTTCTCTCGCCGGATAGTCTCTTTCGGGTCCTCATCTCCGCCCCAAAGAGGGTCGTTTGCCCGTGCACCGTTCTTTCCATCTCTGTCTGGCTCAAGACCCTGGAAGCTGAATATAGGGCTTTGATGGAGAGGACGTTTAGCCAAAGAAACGAGATCCAGGCCAAACCCTTGATCCAGCATGCGTGTCGTCGTAAGTCTGAGTAACTCCTTAGGTACCCGGTAATAACCTGTACCCGGAGTGATTAGAATCGTGGATGCGCCTGTGAGGGACAGCGAGCGATCGATATAATGTGTCTCGTTGGGGTTTAAACCAAGGTTTAGCGCCTCCAAAATGGGACCGTCATGGGCGTACGACAAGTGCCCAACTAATCGTACCTGCTCTGGTGGGCCAATAGCTGATTCAACTGAGGAGCGGTGGTAGTGATGTGTCAGCAGAATGTCTCTTTGGAAGTCCCAAAAAGAGTCTTTAAGGCCCACAAGGGTTGGTTTCCAGTCATGGATGATCTCCAAGTCTGTAATGACTTTGTAGAAGTCTTTATACCATTTCCCATCTTCATCACGACGCAAAGGCCCCGCTGCGTAATCGATCTCCGTGGCTTCGTAATAAACTCTGGATATTAGGACAATAGTGACTGTATGGTTGGTTCCAGCTTCCCTCCATTTAGCGAAGAGAGAAGGAAGGAAGGAGTGAACGATTTTTTCGTTATAGCGCTCACCATCGCCTGCAAATTCCCAGAGTTCTCTACAAACTTGGATGAAAATGGTTACCTTCGCAGAGAGAGACCGGTAGATGGCTTTAGTATGCGACGTGACATAGCCAGCTGACAACTATCATTTTGGTTAGCCAGGGAATCGACCAAGAGAATATGAAGTCACCTTCTGTCCCTTTGCGTATATGTTTTTGACTTTGGCAGCAATGACTCCGATGAATGATATTTCCTGATCCACAAATACGCATTGCCCAACCAGATGTTCACTGAGCCTCCACATCTCATTACGGCCAAGGTATTGGTCCTGGAATGTGAACTCGACGTAATCAGCGGAATATTTCTCTTTATCGACCTACACTTGCGATGAGCACGAGTGTTCAAAAGGTAAACTACTGGGTAGTTACTTTAGTTATTGTGACCTCACCATTATTTTTCATGCCAAATTTAGCGGCGACATTCTTTGGGAGAGAGATCTGAGAAATAAAAGTTGATGAGCTATACACGTTGAGGAGGCAATTACAACCACCTGCAATGTAGGTTTTGAGCAACCTTCGTCCTTTGGAACACTAAATAAGAATCCTGAAGATTTGTCGCCTGAATTGGTGGTCTTCACATGCAGCATGTCGCCTTCTGCGACACCAGGCCACCATGATTGGTTCAGTATGACTGTAGGCGACTCTTTGATATCATGGACCCATAGATTCAAGACTTTTGAATCCCCCAGTTCCAAAGGGGGTGGTGGCAGTTGCCTCAATATGGACTGAGCGGTGTTTGACCTCCTGCGACCATGAGGTTGACTTTGAGACTCTGCACGGGATGCAGTCATGGTAAGGAACTAGCAGGTTGTTACTAGTGTTAGTAGTAGAGAGCGCCGGTGCCGTGACCGCGACGATCTTGACGCGTGATCGCTGTGGCTGACGAGAAAGGGTTAGGGTTTATGATGTGCCTGACATGCAACTCGGGTGTCTGCAATATTAATATATCACGGCGACTACGGGTTGCTCTGCAAATTACTTTTTACTCAGACGTATCCCTGGAATACGAGCTTTCCTTGCTGGCGTGACCTTTCTGTCGACGAATATATACGACTCTATCTCTGTCTTCAGGGCTTTCTCACATTCTTTTGGTCCACCCACTCTTTTCGGGGGTTTCGCTGTTTAATTTTAATCCATGTCATCCACCTCTTCCCTGAACGAAGCTCATGAAGCCAACGATATCGAGCCAGTCAGCATACACGTATCCTCTCCAGAATCTCAACCATCTTCCATAGAGTCTTCTCTCACCCTCGCACCCACCATCCTCATCACTAATGCCACTTCGCTGAGATCCACATGTTCACTACCCCAACATGCCATGAACGTCAAGTTCGCCGCTCTACCAAAGACCGAACCTAGACGTAAGCGTTCCTTGGCTCCCCTTGGTGTTTCTGCTCGCAGCCGGCGACGCCAACAGCAACAGCAAGATTCATTCATGTGGAACAATGATGCTCTTGCTCAGGAAGAGGAGTACGTCGAGGATCCGTTCATAACACTTGGGAGGCTCGTGAAGAACGCGAGCAAGCATCTGTGGAAGCGGGTGCGGAAAAAGGAGAAGGGGGGGGAAGATGAGAAAGACGCTGGAGAGCTGGGTGATTCAAGTGACACCGCCCCCATCGTCGACGTCCGACGTGTGTCCGTCAAAGATGGTGGTTTACCACGTCTAGATACGGCATCAGTTCTGGAGGAGGAAAGAGAGGATGAGACAGAGGGAAATGGGGACGCAGGAGCGGATATGCCGAGCGACGGGCTAAAAGAGAACGCGTCCGCCCTTGGGGATAACGAGGAGAGCCTTGAGGCTGCGATCCAAGAAGTATTTGCACGACGCTACTCCTGGTCGCCTTCGCTTGAACCAAGGCAAACTGTCCCCACAGACACAAAGCGGAGGAGCACGGGGACTGTAACGCCCCCTAGATTGATAGATCAAGAACCATGAAGGGTTTTATATGGGAAAGGGAGTTTCTTGATCTCTGGTATCAATAGCCATAGACGCCATGATTCCAGTCTGTTTGGCAGGCAGCATTACAACATATCCTTATACTATTATATTCTTAGAACCCAATCTTATCCCACCGCCTACCCTATGATATTATTTCGAGATCTGTAACTTCTGCTGTATATCCTCTATTGCTCCTTTGTCGACACAATTGCTCCAATGTGCATTTTAAATTCAACCACCGCGGGTGGGTGTGGCATTGCTGTTCAACCGCCTATGCGCGCTGTATCACGTTCGCGGATTCCGAAATGGTACAGCCCAAGTCTGAAAAGGGCTTACGCTCTGCACGTTGCCAGAATTGCGCCTCGTTTGGACTTTGTCGGGTTTTGATTCCTTACTGCATTTCTTGAACTCCATCTTTTACTTTTCCACTATTCTTTCACTTTTGTAGCCTCTGGGTCTTCTTGTCGGTTTTCTCGATTTCTTGGTTTTCATCCTCTGGACCCAAACTTGTCCTTCTTTTCTTTCTCTTTCAAAAACCCACTGCGGTCTTCCAAGCGCTAGCAAAAGCAGGATGGCGTGCACTCCAAGTCCTATAGAGACTCAGTTCGCTACAGTGACATCCTCAAGCACGTCTACGTCGTTTTCGTCTAGTATCGCCTCCCCATCGGGACAAGTGACCACGATCGTTACTCAATCATGCATATCGTCGGGGACTCTGAGCGGCTCAACCAATACGGGATGTTTGTTATCTACGGAGGTCACACAAGTGAGCACAATTCAAGGCAAGTTTTCAGTTCTCTACATTCATCTCTATCCCACACCCCAAACCCCAATTCGAGACTGCTCGAAGCTGCAGTATCTCACGATGGTGTATACCGCGCATGGCTATTAATATCTTCACATAGGTATACTGTGCTAACTACATCCTACAGGAGGAGGAAGTACTGCACAAGTGCCCGTTGTCTTCACAGTCCCTGTTGTACAGACAGAGGCCACCAAGACGCTGTTTACTACAGACTGCTCAAATGGTGACCCAAGTGGCAGTTCAGGCACAACAACTACATCGTCTACATCGCCCTCACCAACTTCCTCAACCGAGACCTCCCAATACGCCTCGACTTCTGTTTTTGTCCCGACGACTCCACCGCCCGCCACATTTACGTCGCAAGCTCCTACCACTCTATCAGATGGCTCTGTTGTGTTGACATATGTCACTCTGACATCCTATTTGCTTCCATCGAGTGTTTATGCTGGTCCCTCGCCTAGTACGACTCAAGGGTCCCAGAACACTGGTGCTGCTTCTGCAAATAATGTGGCTCCGATTGTAGGGGGCATCGTAGGTGGATTCTTTGGGTTGATTGCGATTGTATCAGCCGTATGGTTTATATTGTATAGCGTTTTATACATAATGCCTTATAATATCGTAACTGATTTCATCATGACAGGCGTAGACGCAAAACTTGGGATGATATTTTTGAGAAAGAGGCTATGGAGATGCCTCCGCCCCGCACAGCCCGGAAAGACTGGAATAGACCTGACTCTGTTGCCGAGCCTAAGCCTTATCAGTACGGCTTAGTTGGTCATATTACTCCGCCAGGGGCTTCCCCACCTAGCTCTCCCCACCCGTCTACGAGCTTAAGTCACCCTTCGTACTCCTCGTCTGGCATTCACACCCGTCAGCCATCCGCCTTATCTCTCGCGCCTTTGCTGGGGCCTACTAGTTCCGTTTCGCCAGGGCCAAGTCTTTCCAGGCCTTCAACTGCTGGATCTATGCAGACCATCCAGATGCAGTCCATGTCTTCGGGACAGAGGCGTAGTACCAGAGTCGATGAATTTGGTGCTAGGCCTCTTTCCAACGCAACATCATTTGGCAGTACCACTGACAGGCCCAGTCCTACACCACTTACGCTAACCAACTGGAACCCCAACACGGACGACTTGATTGACGTCACCAGTACTCACTCAGGCAGCCCTACCGGCTCTCCACAGAGACGCATTTTGCAGCTCGTGAATCCACCTCTTTCTCCTACGACAAGCATTACGTCTAGGAATCGCCCATCAGTCGATCAGACGAGCCCGAAAGCAAGTCAGCCTTCGCGTGCCTCTGCGAGCCTAACTCGAGCCAATTCCGACTCGTTCAGCGACTCGCATACGGGATACGCGCTTTAAATTGGCTGGGTATTACTCGATGGTCGATTTGGATTCAATATGCGGGCCTGCATCCAAAAAGATTCGCGGTGCTCGATGGATTTTACTAAACTGGCACTGATTAATTACTGCCCATGGACTTTGGCTCAGAGGTGATGGACTCAGCACGGTACAATTCATGTTTTCACGCCTTTGATGCTCATACAAGTTGTTCTTCCGATACACCACTGTATCCTATTGGACAGCACTCATTATAATCTGCTTCTCAAGTTTTTCGGACTCCACTCGTTGCATCTTGCTTCAATTTAGAAACTGTCATTTCATTTCTTTTGGTTTATGGTTGCCATACTCTATTAATTTCCTGTTACTCCGGTTGGTGGGTTCGTGCCTTTTCTTTTCTTTTCTTCAACTTTTGGGACCATGCGTCGGACATCCCACGACTATTATCCCTTATGCATATACATCTCACTGATATCTATATCTATTATTTACTACAAGTTCCATACGGGGGACCGACATACGCTGGATGACATCTGATAACTAGTTAACTACACTGGGGAGATAAGTAATCACAGTCACAATGCCCATTTCGGATTTATGAGGGGAACCTATTTTAGTGGTGGACGCGGATATGAAAGTGTTACCGAGTTTAAATATCTCAATGCTGTACTTCCATCAGGAAGGCCTGAAGGCAATTGAGAAAGCATGGCCGTTGCTACGTCCACTTGCTGTGGACATAAATATTGTAGTGGACAATGGGCCCTTGTACATTTTGAAAGTCAGCGGCGATCTGGTTCCGCTGGTGTGATTACATAATACTGAAATACCCTAATTGTCCATTGTTTTGCTCTTTTTGTGTACAAAGCGGTCGGCGTGTAGTGCCAGCAGAACAATAGAAATGGACGTCAATGAGTGTTTACGCGAAAGGTATGTTATATAAATTGATTCATGGCTGGAGCATCCTTTCTCATCCCCCTCTTCTATCCTTTTCTCTTACCTTTCACGGCTTTCTCAAGTCTTCTTGGTGCTGGGACACCTGATCATTCTTTTCATCAACGCACTCGCACTACTTCTACCTCCTCTCCCGCAAGCCTACACGCATCTAGACACCATCTCTAAACAACTATCAAACAACTAAATTCACAATGGTCGCTTTCCGTGTTTGTGAGTATCTGCTCTACCACCAATACTTGGTGGCATTTGCTCATTTCTGTGCAGACTTCTTCTTTGGCCTCAATGCCGTCCGCTTTCTCAGCATCGTTTCTCTCATCTTGGTCTTTGCCAGTAGCATCTTTGTCATGGTCAAAGACATCGAAGCTGTCAACAACTTTGACGCTGCAAAACAGAATGGGACTATCACTAGTAATGACCTGGTGAACTGTGATTATATCGAGTACGTGTTCTTCTACCCATTCAGTATGTCTAAATCTAACATACCACCAACAGAAACAGCACAGTACCCAACCAAATCGGCGGTGTTTTCTGGGCCGTGATCAACCGCCTCCTTATTATCTTCCAAGTCATCATACTCGTACTATCCGAAGTCGGCTGGCCTGCTGTGTTCTTTGACCGCTTCTTCCCTGTTCTTGGTCCTTCATTCGGACTTGGTGCCCTTGGTATATTCCAGTGCCTGTACGTATCTTCCTGCTTCGCGTCTCATTTCATCGTTACTTATCATCTATGTCTAGCATCGGAGCCTCAGTTCTCTCCCAGCGAGTCGACGACTTCACTCTCGTAGCTGCCTTTTTCCTCTTCTCCCTCGGATGTCTCAACATGCTCCTCGGCCTTATCTTCCGCGAGTCTGCCAAAGCTAGGCGCTCGATCACCTCCTGGCGCAGTGAAGCCAAGAGCGTCTTGCCCACCACCACCAACCTCGACCGCGCAGCTTCTTCCAGCTCTTCACCATCATATGTATCCTCCATCTACGCAGAGAAGCAGGCTGCTGGTCCCACCGAGTTTGGTGCGATGAGGAATGGTAGCGGAAAGGCAGGCTACGGGTTTGGCAGACAGGGAGAGAAAGCTGCAGGCTTGAAAGGTTCGTCTTCACGACAATGATTTGTCTAATCTTGCATACTGACTTTTTTCTTTCAAAAGGTTTCCTGATCTCGAAGCCTATGGAGTCTCTCCCCCGATATGCACCTCGCCCCACTAGTGCTCCTTCCACCTCATCACGCGCCCCGTCACCTGTCCCACAATTCCAATCAAGTGGCACAGCTCTCTAGAGGAGAATGTGTACGACTGACACGACGTCTTGACGTCCGCTTATCGACATGTAGATGTGTACACGCGGCTCATCGCTGAACATTATTCATCTTCACGCCCGCCATGATATTATCTCTGTTCTAATAGCTGGTACCGCTGTATTTTGATACTCTTTTTGTAGCTAATAGCTTTCAATTTATGACATTGGGCTTTCTTGTCGTTTCACGTACTTCACACACTTTTTCTGTGTCGTCTATGATTGTACTTTACCACACTAATTAGGAAGTACAAGCTGCGCTATACATTTCTAGCATTGACAATATCAACACAAATTTACAATTAGGCTACTTGGTTTGATTTTCAAGTACTGAGACTCTGAAGCTACTCTGGATTTGACAACTTTATGTGAATATATATTTATGATAACTTAGCTAACTCGTACAATGACAATGTATGTGGTACAATGATCGTTTCAAGGCGGTGTACATTAAGGTGGTGGGGGCGGTAAAGGAGGCGGGGTGGATGGTGGGGGCGGAGGCAATGTAGCAATATTTGCAACCAGTATCTTGGCATGACCTTCAACATTGAATGCTCCGGCCATTCTCCAAGGTGGGACCTTTTGATGACTGCCGTTAGATATGATAGACTCCCATAGCGCTCTTCGATCATCAGTAAAAGTTGTGTTGGGACGAGATGTAGCTACAGAAAGTGGTGGAAGAGCAAATCCATTGTATATTGGCAGAAGGGTGGACGAGAATAGGGTGCTGGGGTAAGAAGCCCATCTGTTGCTTAGTTCTTCACCAGAAGAATGGGTAGAATCGAGGGTGGAGGATGACGACTCTGACATATCGCTACCCGTCTCACTTGATAGTCCAGGAGATAGATCCCGTGAAAAGTGGGTTACAGGAGATGCGTGAAGTGGATCGAAATTTTCAGTTTCTTCATTATCTCCGAATATCTTTAACAGAGATTCATCTTGTCGAATAACACTGCTTTCCTCTAGATCATCAGCGAACTCGCTTTCTATGATCCGCCTCACTTCATCTTTTGGATTTTGTTCGTGGGCCCAACCCGGCGGATAGCCCCAATGAGTCATGTTGTATAGCCATTCGCACTGGTCTCCGGGATCACCATCATGGAGCTCGAGGGCCTCTCTCAGGAGTGGGTCAACCAGTTGTCCTGGTGAAAATATATCTAGCCATTGCAATCTCTGTTGTCTCCAGGCTTCGACGGAGTAGAACCGCTCCGGCATCTGTTCGCCATCATTCCCGCTTTTTAAAAAGTTGAACAGTTGGCGAGTAAGGGAAACGAGCTGACGGTCGATTGGGGAAGGGCAAGAGGAGACGGCATGATCAGGCGAGCCGCAATTAAAGCAACGGCGTACAGAGAGTTCGGAATAACGACTTTCAGCACCATCGACTTGAGTTTCACCAAGTATTATTGCAGTATATCTTTCGTATAAAGAGTGTTGCACCGGAGGTAACTCCCAAGGTGATACATTGCTACTGATGCCAGTTGTATCAACGAAGAAAGACGGTGTATCTCCGGTGGAGTCCTCAGAATGGGAACTGTCTAGTGATGGTCCTGTTCCGCAGCTCCCTGGGCCAACTCCCACTTCTTCAGGGCTTCCACTACGATTGGTGCCTCCCAGCGTCCTTTGGCGATCTCTTTCCCCTCCAAATGAAGTGCGGGTATCCAGTAAAGGTACTGCTTCTTCCACTTTTCCTGGCCCTTGTCTTGGATGTTGACTATGTCTAAAATGAATTGATGCTGCAGATTGAACATAATCAGTGGGCGTCAAGGAACGATCTGATGTTTGGTACTCACTGATTGCCTGGCTTTGGCCAATTCTGCTTTGGCAATCTGACGTGTGAAAAGAGGAGTTGGTATCAGTTGTAACTACAAAATGAGAGAAAAGCACAGACATCACACAATGAGCAATTGGGGCCTGAGTAAAGGGTGAGACGGGCTATTCGAGGGATGCGTGCTGCCATGGCTGGATGCAGTCGGAGTCTGAAAACGCAGGTAAATATACGCGCCCATAGTTGGATGTCGGCAAGCATCACCTTCGAAACGGAGGCAAATGCGTTGAAGCCGTCGCCGTCGTTCTGGTCGATGTCTACGCAATGATATCGCAAGAACCACTATGGCGAGTCCGAGGTGCGTCTACAAGTCAATTTCCTGCACAGCAATCCTCAGCTCTTTTTTCTGCAGCACGACCATGCCCGTTTTATTCACAAGGGCGGTGTCTATTTGCTGATACCTGCAATTTTCTTCACGACATTAAAGTGAAGAGTCACATAGACGACACAATTGCAAACCCCAAATTTATTCGTAGCAGAAATCCTTCCCCTTCAAGATCTCCCATCAACCTTCCCTCCGTAGTCATCGACTCCCCGCACTCTGACAACCTTTCCATTTCAAGCCCACACCGTTCTCCACGATTATCTGGCCTGCTTCTTGCTCTTCAAGACGTTATAGGGCCTGAAGATGAATCAGTATCAAGTGAGGATATGCTCGACTATGGCGACGAGGAGGATCCCTTTAACGTCGACTCCGAGCCTTTTTATTCTGACCGTGAAGTCATCATGTCCCCAGAGCCTTGTCCCCACGAGCTCCCCTTCTCGGAGCCAGATCTCGCAAGTGAGACGGATTCACTTTGCTCGGATTCTTATTTCTTGGAACCTGATTCTGGGGACGAAGACGACTCAGGCGTCATTGACCTCTCCTGTATAAGCGGTGGTGATGAGACGTACGAATCTGAGTTGGACGAGGATGATCAGCCTACCATGAGGCAAGGCAATTCATCTCTGGAAACAAATTATTTTGTTTCTGTTGCTCCCACCCTCGAGCAACGCGACGAGCCGTTAAATGCCCAAATTCCGGATCCCAATACCGTCCCCGACGATCAGACTTCAAGATCTTCTAGTCTTCTTTCCCCCGTGGAGATGTCTACGCGTCTTCGTCCTTTCTCTATTGAAGAGGTCGACCTTCCTCTCAAGCGTGAAGATTCAATTGATTCAGGTTATGCGGACAGCTGGACTGGACCTATCCCACTAATGAGATCACCACCACATCCGCATAGTAATCGTTCCTCTGTCAACTCCGAGTTCCGTAATCGTGTGGCATTTCCTCCGTCAAGGCGTACATCTTATGATGTGCGGGTATTTCGTCCATCTCATGATAGGTCTTCATCTTTAGCATCGCATACCCGGGAAATAACCCCGGTTTCTGCGCGTGTAGAAGAGGAGGTCGGACTTGAGGAGGAGCCAAGCGAAGAGGACAGTTTCTCGCGTTCCCCAAGGAGAATGACCGAGATATCATCAAGTGACCTCGAGGAAACTGGTTCCTTTGTCAAAGATGAATGGGACAATATGCTGACTCGTGAAGATATAGCCTTCGGGGAGAGTGCAAGCAGCCCTGCATGCCCTATTTCGTATTATGGTGGGGATGACGAGGATAACACCGAGATTCATCCGTTGAGTCAATCTTCAACGCTGACAAGGGGAAACCTAAATGACACCCAGGACGAGATACCTGTAACTGAAGATAATATCAGCCCTTGCCCCTTGATGGCACCTCAAGAGTGTACTGATGTGGCAGTTGAAAGTCGAATAGAAAGCCCCAAACTATCTGAGGATGTCCTTGCTACTATTTCAACAGTATCACCCCATAAGGACGATGAAACACTCTCATCTGCTTCGGCATCACCTAGTTTCAAGCACCAAGACTTGACAGCGGATGCAGGATTTTTCTGTGATGAAGGAGACTCTACTGAGTCCTTGGACTATGATAGTTCATTGTTGGACAATGCTCCAATTTTTTCGGAACCTTCCTCATCTTCTAGTTTGGAGGAGCAGGAATCTGAGCAGGAGGAGTTAGTTTCTGGGTGGTCTGACACGGAAGCTGGCATGGAAGAGGAATTTTTTGCAGAAGTTGACACATATGCATCTCCTCCGTTGTCTCCGGAGCCTGAATACCAGCTATCTCAGATACTCCAGTCTATGGAACTAGCATATAACAGCGAAGACGACGTGGTCGACTTTTCCGGTGACTGTAGCCCCGTGGCTGATCGCACTATCATGCCTCTGGCGGTCACAAGGAGGGATCGTGCTTGGTCTGACCTGACTGTCAAAGGAAAGGTCGACCCGGCTTTGACCGTAAAACTCATATCGAAGGAAATTATGATGTCTCCTACCGCTGAAGTCCTTCAAGAATCGTCGCCTTCTGACACACCTCCAATTCCCGCTGCAGACTTGCCAAGTCATGCTCCACGCAATGTAGTTTCTCAAAAAGATACTCTGCAATCTCTGTATGATAGCTACATGGAGGAGTCTGATCAGGATTCTGCTCCGGATGATGATGAACCGGCTTCCTCGACGTCACCAGCAGTCATTTCTGGCTCTTCTGGCTTAATCAAGTTAGAAACCATGTTACCCGATCGCATAGATGATCATGATGATGGGTCTCCTGGTAATGAGCCTCAAGAAAACGCTCTTGAGCCTGTGCGAGAGAATTTTTCGGGACCACTAGATTCTATCGAAGCTTTCCCAACATCTTCAAGTTCCTCGCCCCTCGACCCCGACATGTCTTGTAACCGAAGGGACTCCCTGCAAAATAATGATTCAATATTTTGCTCAAGCCCATTACCTGGAGTTCCTCGTGTATTTAGCCCCCCCGCGTGTGTTGCTACCAGAGGTAGGGTGACCTCGAATGCTACCAGTAGTGTATCTTCGACGTCACAATCTACACAAAAAATGGGGTCGCCTTTACGGGTGCAAAGCCATGCCGAAGTCTCTAATGTTTACGGAGATCCTACTCCTAGGCCAGCCGCCAGATTTCGTAATCCAACCGATGGTGATCGAGCGGGAACAGACAGTAGGAAAATACCTTTTGGTTTCCGTCGGCCCAGTACCATAGTGAGTGTCTGTGGGTCATTAAAAAGTGATGTATTCACTGAAGGTCAACAGGTTCCGAAGAGGCCCTCCCCCACCATTCCTGGCGCATCAAATCAGCAACTATCGCCCAAAGAGCAGTACTTGCCTCGGAGACCAGAGAATCGTGCAGTGCTTCCCGAATTACGGTCACATTCCCCCAGTTGGTCCGTTTCGGACTCACCATCGACAGATCATCTTTTCTCGCCAGTTCAGTTGCAGTCTAATAATCATACTGACGGCTTGAAACCACTTCGACTTGTGAGTGTATGAGGCACCTACCAGAAATTTATGGCAGACTTAATTTTTGCTTGGGGCAGTCTACTTCTTTTAATTTTAGGTCTACTTCGTCGTCTCCTTTGCTTAGCTCTTCCTCAAGTAACATATCCGGTACGCCCATCTACTTCCTCGATCATCATTGTTGCAGTTTTATTTATCTGTCGTACTAGATCACATATCACGTTCATCTACGCCGCATTCCTCAAGTGTATCATCTGATTATTCGTTTTCACATAATTCATTGGTGGGTGAACGAGCTTTATAGCCATAGTCTGGAAAAGTTCTAATTTTGCTTCAACCTTTTAGCTTTCATCTGCTCGCTCGTCACTCATACCCCAGCACGTTCGCAATACCCTCATTCCTGCAAAAAAGTTATCACCCTTGCTACTCGCTTCTGATCACACTCGTTCATCTCATTTATTCAATCGAGATTCGCTGTCATTATCTGCACCTCTCAGGCAACCAACTTCTTGGCGTTTCTCTCATTATCGAGCAGGTTCTCGCAATTATACACCAGCAGACCAATATTCTCGTCCCTCTAGCAGGTTATCGACACTTACATTAGATATATTTGAACATCCGGAAGAAGAGGATCATGGCCAGGCTGACCGTTGGCGCTCTTCCACGTCTTCAAACCAGGTTCTCGATGCACGTCCCGCCTCCGCGCTGGCCTCTCCAGTTCACGCGATAGCCACTCCGAAGCCTACTTTAATGTTTGCGATTGCTAGCGACGATGTGGAGCAAGTTCGTCAGGTGCTGGAAAGTGGAGATGCTGGGCCGAATGATCAAGTTGGCCCTCAGTCTGCTTTGGCTTTTACTCTGACAAATGATCGGATTATCAACAAAGTTGACATTATCAAAGCTCTACTGTCTTATGGTGCTGATCCAGGAGCTTTGAAAAATCCTGACTTTAATCCTCCTCAGCATGGTACAGAGGCCGCTCCACTCAACACTCCGCACGCAACTACTCTAGATGGCATGGATCCAGCTACAAGGTATAATAATAGTATCTGTGTTTTAGATCGATGGTAATCTTTTGCTGTAACCAGATATTACATTTCGAAGGCAGATGCGATCCACACTCGCCAGACATCTCAGCTTATTCATCGATCCGTTTTCCGACCATTGACTAAAGTTCGATATGATCTCGTTGGTCAGGACCGCGTACTGGAACAGCTTTTCCGCGTCTTGAACATGCAATCTCAGCAGCTTTCCGTGGCTCCTATTGTCGTATTGCTTTGTGGTAAGCTCATCCATACTAAATATTTACTGTCTTTATTGATCTTCCATTCCAGGGCCTAGTGGACATGGAAAGAGTTTGCTTGCGCGCAAGTGTGAGAATTCTGATATCTTCCTGTGCATCAATGAAACTAACGTATTATTTAGTTGGTTCTCTTCTTGACCTTCCTACTCATACTGTGAATATGACTACATTGCGTTCCACTCATGACATATGGCAATCTTACTCTATGAGTCCTTATGAGGTATTGTTTTCCCTCGCAATTTATCACCACTGTCGCTGATTCGGTATAGGAGCCTTCTTCATCTACACTTGCTCAATTCCTCCTAGACCATGAGGGTGAACGGTGTGTGGTTGTGTTAGATGTAAGTAGGTTCAGTATATTATCCTGGTCAAAATTAATTGTTGCATTAGGAGATTGAAAAGACGGAAGACGAAAAAGCGCTTTGGTCTCTTTTGATGCCATGGGAGTTAGGCAAGTTTTTTGTTCTTCAAATGCAGTAGGAACATTCTTCTTATCGATTCTCATTAGGTCGTTGCTCTGTTGAGGCAGGAAAACGCCATGTTGATGTTCGAAATGTGGTATGGCTTGGGACATCGAATATCGGTCATGACTTGGTCTTTGAATATCACGAATCCCGCGAAGACCCCGATATTTCTGTCTCTCGGGAAGAATACGTAGAACTGATGGCTCTTATGAGACCTCGTGTATCTCAGCGTCTTGGGGTATGAGCCTCTTTTGTCTTGAATCGATTGTGTCTGATAGCGTTTCAGGCGTCTTTATTGTCGCGTGTCACAACGGTGAAGCTTTTAGCTTTTTCTATCTGATCGAGTGTCTGAAACTAGCCCAATAGGTTCTCCCTTTTGTTGCTTTCTCCTTAGAAGAGAAGAGGGCTATTGCTGCAGAGGCCATATATTCGCTTGCTGGTGACATGGTGAGGACCATGTCACCGCAGCAGATCGAATCTATGGTCGTAAAGGCCTTACCCCACTATCTTGCTGCCGAAGGCGCACGATCCCTGTACAGAGCTATATCGAGTCAGCTCGTGGAAATGTGATACACATTCATGATATATACTCACTCTATAGACATGAGCTACGGTTTCAGGACTGCCTTCCCATGTTCAGGAGGCGTCGTAGCTGTGGGATATGGATTTGCCGTTAATGGTAGTCTTCTCCCTTGCACCGGCGAATTGAGATGATGTAGTTGTGGTTGCTATCACTGCCTTGGGCGCCTATGGGGATCTTCGGTGTACAGTTCATGTTCTACTATAAGCTGGTATCTTAATTAACTTTCTATGTTCATCTTTTGATCAGTCTGAAAATGATAGATGGTCCCGATTTCGGCCTGTTGCGAAGTCAGCTTATACCTGTGTCTCTGCCCGCTTTCGCATCATGAAACGAGGAATAATCACAGGGACTGTCGACCTCAACTCATCAAACTGATGTCGCGATCTAAATTTACGTCACTGGTATTCACCATGATATTTATCAACCAATGCGATACAGATGCACTCTCCAACATTATTTCTCCTTCCCTCCTACTAGAATCTCTTCAGTGAGAATTCTATTTCGTCCAAGTTACTATCTTTTACCTGCTATCCTGATGCATTCCCTTCCTTCACAATTTCATATTTATGAACGTCGTCACCGACGTTCTGCTTCTCCTGCTCCCTTTTCTGCGCCTTACACTGTGCTTGAGAGTACCCATACTACACCTTCAAACCAACTTCCAGTTTATGTAAAAGCTTTGCTTGGCACAGTTGCTGCGCTACTCAGTCTGCTGATACTAGGTGAGTTATTTAATAACTTGTGCGATTATCGCTCAGTACTCACATGTTGCAGGCATCGTCATTTACAGACTGAGAGCTTCAAAGCGTAACCGGTCGTCCAAAGCAACTACACTGGCTGAAATTGTAGACAGGAAATCCTCGGGATCATACAAAATATACCAGATGGATTTCGACGGGCTACAACAGTCTCCAAAAGTGGGTACTGCTTCTCTTCTCGTCCCACTCCGATTTTTGACCAAGCCTTGAAGAGTGACTTCCCTTTCTCATACCCTGCGGAGAAGACGGATGACCCGGAGAAGTATTTCAGTTCAGAGAAATCGTCGGAATCGCATGAAGACTTGGAGACACCTTCCATCATTGTGCACTGTCCTCCCCCTGCATATAAATGCTCCATGTCATTGGCATCTCCTCGTACTCCTTCCTCTGCAATTCGACCTTTGCCGAGACTACCTAGTCAACGTAAAGGCAAAGTACCACCTCCACTCCCTTCAATCCCAGTGTCACTTAACCCGATGCGAGAGGGTGAGCCTCTCACGCCCACCCAAAGCCCAGTTCGAACGTGTTCTTTCACACAAGTGTACGGAGACACTCCAGGTCAACTTTCCCCCGGAATACGACGGAGTAATTTCAAGTTACCACGTCTGATGGTTGTGACGTCAGTATTCGAGCCGGCCATGAAGGACGAACTGTTAATTAAACTTGGAGAAACGTTGACAATGTTAGAGGAGTATGAAGATGAATGGTGCTTGGTCCGACGTCACGACAGGGTGATGGGCATGATCCCTTGTTTCTGCCTCTCCGAGCCGCCAAAGAGTACGACAAGTCCTCAGTTCTCCCCGTAGTCTTTTCTTCGACGTGTTTACGAGTCCTGACGGCCTGACGCTTCATGACATTTAATCTCAATCCGCCATTACGGTTCTTTGGTTCTAGCTCTAATGGACTTCTCTTCTACTCGCTCTTTGCATTAGTTACAATCTTTGACTGATACTGAAAGGGCTGGGCCAAACTTTGTGAGCGTGCATTATTTTCTGGGATAGATGTTGGGTCACTTTTACTAAAACCTGCGTCTGCAGCAGTGTTAACGAACTTTAAAATCACCTTAATTTATTTGGCGGGGAGGCTTTCTAAGGACACAAGTTTCTATCTGTTGAAGTCCTCCTGAATGTAAACCAACACTTTGAATAGCCGTTCGTTTGATGTACAATATATTTCATAGTGTGATGCAAGGACGGATGTCTGGTTTCACCCATACTTTGGTGTTTTTCTCCTCATCCGCAGACCTTGCCCTGGTTCTACGTTAGAGAGCAACAATACGCGCCAGAGGTCAAAGGAGAAGATATGAGCATTATTTTACTAGATATGTAGACGATACAATGTCAAGCGATTACTCTTCAGGTAGGCGAGCCTTCCGTCTGAACTTGGCCTGATCCCTCAACCACTGAGATAACAATAACTTTCGTTAGTTATGTATCAAAAAATGTATCAAGGAACCTACCTGTTTATATTGATGCAAAGAGCCAATCTTCTCGCCTTTGAAAAAAGAAAAAAACTCAGATATCGCCAGGTGAAGCTTGTAAACATACCATAAAAGTCAGGTACGGGATTCGTAGCACTCTGAGCAGTGGGATCAACGCGGTTCTTCACTATGCGTTTGTGAAACTCTCGGTCCTTAGCTTCAATCAGATTCATAGCACGGCGATGAGTCATTCTCCAACCCGCTGCACCGATCATTGGACCGACGAGGTAACCCATTCCTAAACAGACACATCAAGTGACACGAACGATACTCGAGGCAGGTTGGACGTACCCATACAGGCTACGGTGCATCCACTGTAGAAAATGAGAGGGTCTATACCCTGAATAAAACATACGCCTTGTCGTCAGACTGTCGGTTCAAATAGCAGACAAAGAACACACCATGATAGGTTTGCTTGCATCCGCTTCGAACGAGCCAAAATATGCGACTCCGCCAACAAATCCTATTATCGAGCATGGAATAGTGATTGCCTAACTAACATTAGAAATGCTTTAGGTGTGAGCGTTCACGACAAATATTACCGTTTCCCACTTCCGTTTATTCCTTCGAATCTCCAAATACTCTGGCCATGTTAATTTTTGCTTTGCGGCTTCGGTGACGTTTGTCGTAGAGTTATGCCGTACAGAAAGGCGTAGATTTATAGCGGATAAGTCTCGCGAAGGTAGTGACAGGAAGCGACTGCATGGTCGTAGACGAAACGCACTCATTGTGGTCAACCTTTTCAAATTTGCCGAAGAACACAGTGACAAGGTGTGCCAGCTCTAAGACAATAATATATACGGTATGTCGTTCTCACGGTATGTTGTTTTCATGCTCAATAACATGAAGTACAAAATCTACTCTTGACATCGATCAGATAACAATAAAGCTGGTCAAAGGTCGCTAGAAGGGCCAGAAAATGATATATCTGCATCGTCATCAACAACAAAACTTCCAAAAACATATTCGTCTGGCTCCTCTTCTCTTAGTGGTGAACTGGACACCATTAGGCGCTGTCTGCGATTCTCCCGCTCAGGAGCCAGTAATGCACCTCTCCTTGTCGGACGATTCGCAAAGGCCGGTCCGGCCATTGCAGCAGGTGCCTGGGTGAGAAGACTTTGACGGTATACGAGAGACTGGTTGTAAGACGGAGAAGCTTGAGTTTGAGACATGTCGTGCAGGAACTGTCTATCCGATTCGCTTTCTACGTCATCTTCTGGATGTGAAGACCCCTCACTTTCCTCATCTCCGGAATGAGCAGCTTCCATGGCGACCCAGGGGTTTGCTTTACTTTGGATGATGCCGCGAGGCTTCTTGCTTTCTCGACGAGCAGATGGCCGCGATAAAGGCGAATCTATTGTCCGTCGTTGTAACCGCCGCTGAGAAGGAGGTGGCATATCAACTGGAGAGAAGTCTGGAGGCTGGACGACGGTAGCCTGCTTTTTTGACCGCTTTATTGGACGTACTGCGAAAGATGCCTCAGGAAAGTCTTGGTCAGGCCTTGCAATAGGTGATGTCCAACTTATAGATTTTCCGACTGCGCCGTCTGTGGGACCAGGTTCTTCGAAGAAATCCTGCGGTGAAGGCAAAATTGGTTCGTCAACAATTTCTATGCTGTCATTATAAATGCGGGGAGGTGCAGTCGGCAATTCCAGTTTCTGAACAAGAGGCGAAGAATTCAAAATTTGCATATCAATGTCTTCATCGTCATCTAATAGCCATGCCATGCTACGTCCTTCGTCTCCGGACATCAGGTCGTTCCCAGGACGATAAGGAGATTGCGCAATCTTAGCAGTGAAAGAATCATGGGAGCTACAATCTTTATTGCTGTGCCCTTCATCCTCGTTCATCAACGACGGCTGCTGTGGGGGTGAATCTTGATTGTGCACAGGCGACATCGAGTGCGAAGCAGAAGGAGACGACGTCAATTCTATGACTTCATCAGGCACCGGTAAGTTGGGAACTGGGGAGGACGACCAATGATAGGGCGAACCAGCAGACAGAGATGGTATAGAAACAATATCATTGTCCTCCGGCAGAGGCGAATGCTGTTCTCCATTTCTTTTCGTGCGCTGTGCTTCGGTGTCTTGCTTTCGTGATTCAGACAATTTTGGGGATGAGTAACTGGGGGGTGATGCATCCTCCTGATCCGATAATATCCGGGGACGAATCGCAGTTTTCCTCCTCGCCTTTGCAATCACCTTGGTTTGAGCTAGTGGAATCTCCGGAGAAGTGGGTCGAGATCCCGGAACTTGGATTGGAGATAGAGATTTCCGTGATGAGCTAGATTCCGAGTTAGCACATGGAGCAAGCAGAGTTCCTCTTTGAATATCCATATCATCTGAGTCATCAGCACATTTCTCAGAGAAATCACTAGGTTCAGGAATTTTCGCGACCCGCTTCTTTTTATTGCCAGTGGATGCTTTCGTCTTGTTCGATGGGCCCATAGTAGAAGATTTACGCAGTCTCGCTTTCGGTTTCTGCTTCGACGCCGTGGAAGCGGAGGCTGATGCTGCTCGCCGCAACGTCAACAAGCCACTCTCTAACTCCATATCAGTCGAGTCATCCTCTCCTGCCAGAGGATCAAATTCCTTTTTAGAAGTCTTCCTTTTCTTGGCTCCTTTCTTCACGAGGTCAGCTACGCTCACGAAACCGGTGCTGGCTCCATCAGGCATGTTCCTCCGCGGATCTTCGTTTCGTCTTCGCTTCTTGCCTTTTGCGGCGGCATCTTCTCCGGTAGCAAGTGAAGCAGCCTTTCTTGAAGATTCTTCGCGAACGTACTCTTCAATGTCCATTTTCTTCTCCAGAAGTTCGGGCTTGACATGACTGGGCAACAACCTTTCGACGTCGCTATAGAGCTCCAGTTGATCACCGCGAACGATGCTCTTCTGAAGCTCTCCATAAGCGTCTTTAGCCTTTTCCCAGTTATCTTCTTCCCGAATCTCTGAGAGTAGTACATGAACATAACCATCGCGTTTACGGCCGGTACGCCCCACGCGTTGCAGCTTGACAGAAGAGGATTAGACAGCGGAGCGATACACGAATCAAAATAAATGCCACTTACCATGCGGATGGGAGTCTTCTGGGCATCATAACAGATAATCATGTCAACTTCACCGATATCAAGCCCTTCTTCACCTATCGAGGTGGAGACGAGGACATTGAACTCGCCGGCTTTGAACTTTTTGAGGACCTAAAGCGTCACTTAGTACAAGAGCAGTCAAATAGATAGATTGGACGCACTTCTATCTGTTCTTTCTGCGCGAAACCTTTTCTTCCTTGTTTGTCTGTGCCTTGACCAATAAACCTCGTCGCCTTGAGCAAAGGCATCTCTTCATTCAAGACTTCGACGATCTCGTCAACGCAGTCCCTAAACGTCACAAAGACCATCGCACGCGTAGTTCCGCCTTCTTGCTCGCCATCCGCCATCGTCGCACCGAAATGCTGAACCAGTAAAGTCTTCAACATTTCCATTTTAGGGTGCATGGAAAATCCCCGAATACGCTGCGACTCAATCTCGCGCAGAATGGCCTGAAACTCGGGATCGCTGCGTAGCTTATTCGGTGGCTTCTGTCCCTTGCCGTTACCCTTTCCAGAATTATCTTCCTTGTCTTTAGCTAGCTCCTGTAAACAAGTGTAACACATGCTAGTGCTCGCTTCCATCTGTCACGACATCAGAATTAGCGAGAGCGGGAAAAAAAAAGAAAGAAACATGAGCCGCAATACCAGATAGCCCATAGCGCGACTCAGTGTTTCTAGCTTGCTTATGGGACCAAAAGCCCACTTATTGGGATTATTTGTCGCTGCGAGTTGTTGTCTCAACGCTGTCATGCGATAAGGATGCATCTTGACGACATTGACTGGTTCCATAACTCCTTTCGATGAAAGTGACCGAGCTATTTTCTGCAAATTTTTAGAAATCCCGCTCAGCCACAATAGAACAGCTAATAATGACCTCCATCATCTTTGCTAATAAATCCATGATCTTGTTAACGTTTTCATCCATCCTGATTATGTGCTGCTTTATATCCTATGTCATAACATAACTGCTGTAAGGATTCTGAATAGCATATATAGCGCATATAGCTGCTCACCTTCTTGTGCATGTAGCCTCTCAAATCCAAGCTTTGCTCATCTCTTATCTCAATCCTACTAATGTGGAGGGAATCGATGATAGATTGGACAGCATCCGGTGTGCTCCCAGGGGTAGCGGTAAGAGCGAGGACACGAAAATGAGCGTTCTTCGCCATAAGATACCGGATAACTTGAGCATATGCGTAATCACCGGTACCCTTGTGCGCCTCGTCTGCGAGTAGAACTAAGCTTGCAACCAACAGCTGTAAAAACCTAGCGACAGACCAATCACAACCAGAATTATGTTTTGAGGGTCACAGTTTTCCGAGGTAAGGTCGTTGATTAGAGTCTGTGGTGTCATGTAAAATACGCGCTTTTCTTCCCACTGTCCATTGAAACATAAAACACATGTCAGACGTGTTATCGCTATAAGAGACGGGCGAGGCAGTACCATATGTGAGCGATAAGCCCTTGCGTTGTTACCTGTCATTTCAATCGCGTCGTGCCCGGGGATTCCACAAGTGCTATGACAGGCATCGATTTGTTGGGCGACTAGAGGCTTAGTAGGTGCGATAAAAACGATTTTCCCTTCAGGGAACCAGCGGTAGACTAAAGGAAGTGTCCATTAATGCCACTTTACCCGGAGACACGCATATGATTTAGAATATAACGCGATGCAAAGGACATACAGTTTAGCATTACGACGCCTGCGATGAACGTTTTACCTAGACCGGTCGGCAACGCTACTAAAGTGTTCTCGAAGAGACAGTGCTTGACGATGTTGAACTGGTAGTCGCGTTTAGGTTGATTTAGTGGATATATCCAATGTTTGGTTTCAAGAAGATCCGGTTTCAACTTCATGGGAGGGGGCTGGAAAGTGGTCAGTTACATAGTACATATTTGAGGTGTTAACATACCGGACTGCGAGAAGGGAATGGAATGTCAAGGTTACTATAGAATGATATGATATGCCGTGTACTTACCCAGAAGCAGCTAGTAAAGAGTAAGCTCACGTCAATCGAAAGCAAATAAACACTCACCCGAAACAAGAGGGGCAGGAAACTGCTCGAACTCCACAGCTTCCTCCTGTTCTCCATCGCTTTCATCACCGTACGCCGCTTTCGCCTTTCCCTTGCCTTTGGAAGACTTCGGCTTCCTCCACCCTGTCTTAGCAAATGCCGTATGATCCCACTGCTTCGTCTGCCGTGCTGGGTGGCCGAATGGATTGCGCGAGTTTGACTTCGTCCTCTTCATGGGGGATCTGGTGGTATGCGCGGTCTTTCCTGACGACGCTTGCGTGGATACAACCTTTCCAAAGAGGTCGGTTTGCTGCTTGTTCTTGGAGGATGTTCTCGAAATCCGACTCGGACCGGCAATCGCAGGTGGCTCGCCTTGGAAGTATGACTCAACGGCTGCATCGATGCGCTGGAGGTCGGCTTCGTCGATGTCGAAAGTGAGGTCAAAGAACTCGGAGTCTTGTCTCTTCAATGGAGACCGGCGTTTGGGTGTGATTACAGCTGGAGATGCTGGTTTAGGGGGTTTAGGGTTGAAGTGAGCAGCCTCTATAATGTCCAGTTCATTCAATATCCCCGAGTCCAGTTCGTCATCAAAATATCCATCAGAGCTCATTGTCCCTGTTCACAAAGCGCGGAAATAACGACTGAACAAGTATGAAAACCAGTGGGGGATGGAGAGAAAAGTAGGAGAACAGGGTAAATTTCACGTTCGCGATCACGTCGCGTCCACTCTCAGAGAGCGTGTTCACTTCGCGACTGAAACGGTATGTTATTCCCACGCTGGCACGAGTACTGCGGGCCACGTGATTCGCTTCTCAAGTGCTGCTCCGTGCGCGCCAGGGTGCGCACATTGCCCAACAACTTGAAGCATGTCTAAATCCAAGGAGGAGGAGGCCCTACAATTTCTGGACCACTTGGACTCTCTAAACCCAACTTTGGGCCAAAGCAGCGGCCACAGTCCATCTGCACAACCTGGCAGCGCTAGTGGGGGCGACTCTGCCCAGGATGTTCTGGCGTTCATCGATGAGTTAACTCAGAAAAGCTCAGAACCACCTCGAACCACCGCACCTCTCGACGATCGTTCCATCTCGCGCTCATCCACTCCAAATCTCAGGAAAAGCACTGAGCGAGTAAAGGTCGGCTCGTCTGGCTCACCCCATCCATCATCTTCCACTTCGTCCCTGTTCACAAAGAACGATTCCACAGCCACGCTTGACTCATCGGTCAAGACTGAACAGGCGGAACCTGCACAAGCAAACGCTGGAAGGTGGGGATGGGCATGGACGCGTGCATCAGCCGCTATGCAGCAGGCTAGGTCCGTTGTTGATGAACAAGTGAAGAACTTGCCCAAGAACGAGCAAGTAAGTAAATGGAGTGAGGGTATGCTCGAATATGCAAAGACAGCACAGTTGGATAAGCTCGGTATGTAGTCAGTCTCGCTGTTCCAGGACCGTTGGATTGAGCAGGGCTTTAAAGGACAGGATTTCAAACGAGTCGGCCTATCGACTCTCACAGACATACTAAATGTTGTCGCACCACCGATCTCAGAGCATGAAATTATCCAGGTTTGGTTAAGTCACGATATGAAAGGATATGATGGTGTTGAATCCATCGTGTTTCATGCGCTCACCAAAGTAAAGCTTCATATTACGCGTTTCGTATATCCTCTTACCGTTTGCTGCATAGGTAATGGAGCAAGTTGGGAGTGGTGACTTGACCGTCAACAGAGTCGATGAAGTAAGAAACACAACTGAATCAGAAGATACACCGGCTCTCAATACTGTCGATGGCTACGATGCCGCTATCAAGCTTGCTCAAGTAAGTACATTGTCGATACGTTATATTGCGAATTCTTCTTACCAATTGAATAGGCGAACTTGTCCGATTTTGTAAAGAACAATGCTCAGCGTCTGTCAGATAACTCTACGACACAAAGTGCTATTGCACACACATACATCTACTTACGGATACAGCCATTCATGGCTTCACCTCTTTCCACCCAACATGCAAGTGCATCCGGTACACTGGCCGATACAGCGTCTGCGACGTCAGACCTTCAGTTCGTCTTACATCTGTCTGATCCTGGGCATCAGCTGGTGCACACGACTGTCACCCAAGCTATCCCAGGTAACTGGCTGAACCTCTGGGACACCCACGACTGGGTGGAACACCTGATTAGCGAGTCATTGAGACTAGGTGTCGAAACCGCAAGCCAGAACTACCTTGCTGCTAGGATGGGATGGTATAAGGATGCAATTTCTGCTGACCAACAGAGGCCGGTGGACACGAACCGAGCCGAATGATTCTTACATGGGGAGTTTGATTCGCGGATGTCGTTTTGTTCGTATGACCTCTTCTATCGCAATAAATGTAAATTTACCCGATTGCACTCGATCCATTACCATCTTCGACGCAGTCGTTTGTGACTACTTTATCTTTGTACCGTACACATGGTTAAAGCCCGATTCAGGTTCTTCGAATTCTATCTTGTCATGAATCTAGCCACTGCAGCTGATCCAATCCGTCCGGTGCGAGGCGCTATAAAGATGCAAAGGTAGCTGATGCCACTATCACTCTTTTCTCGATATCCCCATATACTTATGAAGAGACGTACGGAACTAGAACAAGTTATGTTTTCCATAAACGCTGTCATGCCCAGAAAGGCAACCCTCATGCAAAGCTGTAAACACGTTTTTGCGCTCGTGCCAGTGCTTCTTCTCCACTGTGCACGACTCATTTTACAGGATCCTGTTCGTCCCCTTTCCTGATTTACCCAATCGCTCGTGGTTCTCCATCTATACCTTCGATCTCTCAGACAAATATGCAGCATTCACATCCTAATCTAAATTATCCATACTACGGTCAACCCTACCACTACTATGTCCCTCCAGGCTACCCCCAGGCTTACTCTGCCAGTGGCGGCAATGGTACTCCAGAACAATATGCCCAAATGCACAAGGATCCAAACGCATTCAGAGATAAGCACACAAATATGCACTATTATCCACAACCGCCCGTGCAGGCTGGCAACTATCCTGCTACCAATGGATTACAAGATCAGCCGCCTATTCACCCTCCTCCTCGCTCAACCGGTCATACCCCATTTCCACAGACCAAGCAGCCACTCACAAATAGGCCTGGAGCTAGAATTCCTGCAACTAAAACGCAACCTTTGAAATCTGCAATGAAGAAACCAAAACGATCGAACTCTGAAGCCCACGCGCCGCTTCAGAGGACGCGAACAAACTCTGACACCAGACAGAGGCTGGTGCCCATGACGAGAGCACGTACGAATTCTAATCCTTCCTACTTACCAGGTCTGTCTTTACATCGTAGTTCTTTCACTAACTAAAACTCGATGGATCCTCGTGTGCCACTCCTTTAGATCATCTGTTCCTCTCATTTCTTGGAACTAATGAACTCAGAATTCATAATGCCGCATTTCAAGATACCCTCGATGATATAAAAGAAAAGGTTTTGCCAATGTGGCCATCTGGTGTAGCATCCCAATTGACTGCAGGCTACTCGTGGCGTGTAACATTTTCAAGGAATCCCTGGAGTGCTTCTGGGCCTGATGGAATAATGTAAGTGTGAGCCCAGTGCTCATATTCGATCCTTTGTTAAACCCATGGAACACTACAGCGTTCGAAGGATGATATGTGAATTATTCGCGCGTCTAGCTCACCAGGTAAGCGTCTTTAGACACATCGGTGGCGTGTATTTCACGCAGCAGTCTATCAGGGCTATCAATACCTATGTTCAGTGACCAGTGGATATCCGGTATGTGGTGTACAACAATTAGAACATGTGACCGTACTTCCAAACTATCACTAATCCACTTGTGTTGTCAGGCCCCTCAGCTTGTTTTTCAGGAAGTGGGACCAGATGATTCGGCTGATTTTTTCGTTGCATACTTCTCGCGCTCAGGCCATCGACTGACTTTGATTAAGCCACCTCGCCACATCGGGGAGACGATTGGTCTACGCTTGAGGAGCGCATGGCCATATAAGTTCGCGGCCCATCACGTCAGTGAAGACGAAGTATATACTGTAGAACTAAAACGTAACTCTCTCGGTGGTGCGTACTTTTAGCTCCAGTGGATCCACGTAAAACATTGAAAGCTCTGTGTTTAGCCCCCGAACTCGACAAGAATGTCTTTGCGTCACATGCCCTGCAGGAGATTAACATGATGGGTTTCAGACTTGTGGCCACGGTACCCCTTGCGCGCTCGGGACTTCTGGGATTTGGATCCAGGAAGGAAGTATGGGTGTTCCGGGGTACTCAAATAAAACCACGCTCGAGGGCTAATTCGCGAACAGGAAGATCATAGTTATAACTTACGGATGATTACGATTTCTTATTTACACTGACGAACTTACATGACATACGTTCTTTTCTTTCCCTGATCCCAGACGACGCTACCCTGTAAAACTTACTGGTCTGACTTATAACCTATCTTTCTCAGTCCATGATGGATCAGTCCATGATGGATGCGACATGAACTTGTCGATTATCGTGTAAATCTGATAGAATATAGAAAATGACTATACTGCGTTTGCCTGTGCCGCATAGTGTGATTTCTATTATATCAGTAAGAATTGTTCAACTCTGAAATAAAAAGATCCGCAAAGGGAACTTGATTTTAGGGGCCATTTTGATACCATATTGTCTGAGAACCAAGATGCATTTCTGAACGGAACTCAATGGCGCGAAATGCTTTTAGCGTTTAGTCATAACCTCTGCAATAAAATATTTTGACCGAGTTCACTTGTACTTGGATAATTTCCTCTCCTGGCCAGATACGAGACAGATTCAATGGTTCAATTGTCCGTCTTTACTGCGATTGGCGTTTGGGGCGGACAGAGGAATGACAATGCTCAAAAACATTAACGTCGAGTGACGTTCATGTTAAGTGCTTTGTTCAAGTTAAGCGTTGGTATGAAGCTTCGAATTCGATGAAGTGCTCTAATGTACTCGATTGAGCACAGTGCTGCAGATGAAGTCAACACTTCAGCCTTCCATCATTTAACAAGACGCAGAGCATTGTGATGAATACAAACGAACTACAATTATAACTGATCTATGCGATTTTGACGGTCTAGAACAGGGTACATGAGATTCAACCCAAGTAAAAGTTCATGTCCAAAATATGGTGGGCATCGTGTCACAGAGGAAATCAATGCTTATTGAAAGCTATTCGAGTAGATTTCACGCACCTTAGCGTACAGCGAATCAACAACCTTGCCAATCTGTTCTAGAGTATCGATGGCTGCGCCATAGGTGTTCTGCGAATGAGAAAAGGGTAAGTGAAAACGTACATGATTGGCGATAATATTGATATAATAGATTAAGAAATGAAACTTACATCAATCTCTTGTTCGTCGAAAACTATAAGGCAGCCACGACCCTGATCAAGCACGCCGTGGAGTACTTTGTCGAGAATCATTTGCGAAAGCCTGTCGGAAAGATATGAGCATGAAAAGAGCTATCGTCTACAGAACAAGACGACCCACTTTGCTTCAACGTCCAATCGAGTCTGCCTAACTTGTGTCGCTACATAATCTATTTCGACAACTGAATACGGCTCCACGATACGCAACAAATTCTGCTCAAGAAGCTTGTCATAAAGCTCAGAAAGATGAGACCGGATCGTTTGATCCGAGGAGAGTTCTACAGCCACGATAGTCAGTCAGGAAACGAAAAGAAGGCGTTGATTGTGCGCACCGCGGTAGTCTCGTAGTGCCTTTTCGAAATCGGCGAGATTTCGGTTCTGATGTGCGAGCGCTACAGCACGCATACTTTCTACGTCTCTTAACTGGGCATATTTAGCCGCTAGCTTGATTGAGAGCAATGATGTGACGTCCTCGGACTACAAGCACCGATATACAGCAATTTCATTTAGGAAGGGGAAAAATATGCTGTCAAAAAATTCACTTACCAAATTTAACATGACTTTGCAGAGAAGCATGTATTTGAAAGCTGTAAGAGCGCTTGGGTCATCTTGCGCAGACAGGTTCTCGAACGTTTCGAAGAAATATGAGTATGCAGTCGTGTAATCTCTGTCTTCAGCGTGGAGCACTCCAGATTGGAGATCGAGCGCAGCTTGCAGGTGGGGTGGGCAGTAAATCGAGTTTGCAGCAGTGCGTGCGGATGTTAATGCAGCCTTGACGAATGAAAAGAAATCAGCAATTGCGTGATGCGCATGGTTGACTTCATTTACCTTTGATTTGGTAAGGTTTCCGATACCACGGTAGACGCGACTCTCCAAGAGGTGGACTTCCGTGAGGATCATTTTATCGTCTAACCGCTTGAGTTCGGTGAGAAGAGTGTCGATGAGGGATAGGGCTTGCTTGTACTGTAGTGCTCCAAGCTGTCTGTTGAAAACTGTTAGTACAAGCGAGAGAAAAGGGCTAACACATATTCACAAAGCAACCAGACGGATTTCGAGACTGTGCTTCAAGAATATTCGCTTCTCGCGCTTTGCCCATGCAATATTATCGAGTAGTACATCGATTTGGATTTGCCGGCTATCAGGGATGGGAGTAAAGTAATCGAGCAGGGTACGAACTGTAAAAGCATTCAGAGCGATTGATATTCACAGTCAACAACGATAGGCGGAACAAGGGCGTACTAAGTTTAGCAGTTTTGGCCTTGGCTGTTGATGACATAAATGCCCGTGAAAGAGTAACGACCTCAGCAAGACCCTTTGCATTCCTACTTTCCGTCAGTACAGAACAGTATCACCGAAGAGAAAGACTGACTTCTGGTCCCGATATAATTCAGCAAGTTTCAACAAAGCTGATTCCTGGTCACGAAGTGACATGTCTCGTTCGCTGTTTGGTGCACCATTGGCCAATGTTGAAGCTATCTCTCAGCTTTGTGAGAAACATTGAATCGGCAAGAATATGGACGGGTACACACATGCTGTGGTATTCAAGATCTGTTTGTAGAGTTGTTCAGCGTGCTGAGGGTTACTCGACGAGCTAGCCTCTGCCTCCTTCAATATTTCTGCATTTGATGACATTTTCAGGCTGATGATATGGTTATAATGGACTGAGAGTATGCAATGCAGCTGCTAACCTGATGTTATCCGTGTTTTCCTGTCAAGCTGCCACTTGCGAGTGACGCGTCTAGGGCGTGGGAACTTTAGCTCTATACTGACGCGTCGAGTAAATGCAAGGGAGGTCGGTTTCAAGAGACTTCAAGTTATCGCAATAATGGCCGACGAAGTTGTACTTCCCATCCCAAATCTCGACTTACCACAACGCTTTTTTACTCTCAAAACACCGTCCTTAACACACCTACACGAAAATGCTAAGGAACAATTATTGAGCGGACTCAAGAATGACCGTAAGCATGCATATGAACATTACCATTGCGCTGGATTTATGGAATACGAACGTCCGCAGAAATGGCCCCGTATTATCGTCTGGTAACCTCAGCGGATGCCATACCACTAGACCAAACCCTGCTCGACTCCATGGAGAAAGCAAACGCCGAGGAACTACAAAAACTAGACGATCGTTTGGAAGAGGCCAAGAAGACAGAGGGAGAGTCCGAGATTTCAGATGCTCTCAAGGCAAGGGCAAACCATCTCACTCGGATTGGCGATAAAGTAAGTCTTCTACACCAACTCTACATATGTTCTGAAATCGATTGTTGAATAGGACCGCTCAATAGAAGCGCAGAAGCTCGCATTGGAGAAAACTCCAGGGCTTGGATCGCGAATAGACATCGTTTTGACTCTCGTACGAATAGGATTCTTCTTTGGTGATAACAACCTCATAGCGGATAACTTGGCAAAAGCTGAAAAGTACACTGACTTACTATCATTTTGATCATTGCTGATAGTAGTACTTAGGTTAATTGATGAGGGCGGTGATTGGGATCGCCGAAATCGTCTCAAGGTGTACAAAGGTGTTCACTTAGTATCTATTCGACAATTGAAACGTGGTGAAGAGCAACTTATCGACGCTCTCTCTACCTTCACCGCAACTGAGCTCATTCCTTACAACGACTTCGTTGCCCTCACAGTAATTGTCAGCGCACTATCGCTGAAGAGAGTTGACCTAAAGAAGAAGGTACGTCCTTCGTATTCGAGTCAACTCTCTTCCATGTAGACTTATGCTTCACAGATCATTGGGTCTCCAGAAGTCAACTCTGTACTTCCAGAGCTCCCCATTCTCGGTGATCTGGTGAAGAACCTATATGACTGCCACTATGCCAAATTCTTTATAGCTCTCGGTACGTGTCTGGTGTCTGCGCCACCGCTACAAAAACACTCACACGTTGCACAGCTACGCTCGAACAAACATACCTCCTTCCCTCACGGCTTCTGTCGCCACACACACGTTACTACGTGCGTGAAATGCGGATCCTGGCCTACAGCCAGCTTCTAGAATCATATCGGAGTCTTACTCTCGAGAGTCTCAGTGGCGCGTTTGGTGTGAGTATCGAATTCGTGGATAGGTGAGTCGGCACGGTCTTACCCTGAATTTTAATTGATGTAATAATCATATGTCACCCCTTTTCACTACTTACTGTCTTTTGCTCTCATTTAGTGAATTATCACGATTTATTGCCAACGGTCGTCTGCACTGTTCGATCGACAAGGTGCATGGAATCGTGGAAACCACACGGCCATCTGTCAAGAAAACGCAGTACGAAACGGTGGTGAAGCGTGGTGATATCCTCCTTAATGCTGTTCAGCGGTTAAGTAAGGTGTTGTACTAGGATGTTGTACACTATTACCTGGTCTGGTGTAATGCTTCGAAGCGCCACGATCGGTCATTGACAGCGTCCATATCTGTCTACCAAACAACATCATGCGTTCTATGTGCCCCATCGGCGCTTTAGCCATGCTTATAATCGAGGTTCATCCAATATTAATGCATTATGAATAACATGCTGCGTTAAGGCGTGGTGGCATTGTATAAATTAATAATTGGATGAGCGGAAAGCGAAAACATGCATGTGTGGTGATATTTGGATTTTATCTCTACAGGGTCTTGAGTAACTTGAACTTGAAGATGACAAGGTCTTATCTGGGCTTCAGCCGTCGTCCACTCATAAGTCTCGTCCCATTAACAGTTGGTGCGGTTGGCATTATCTGCAGAGCCTGGTATCTTAAATCTGCATCTACATCTATGGCAATCGATACGTTAAACGACAGTGGAGTGACCCCTTCACAAGGCGGACAAGTACGACAGCACTCGAAATTCTGGTTCGATGATGGAACAATGATCATTCGAGCGCATGAGGATGGCTCTGATATTGTCTTCAAAGTACACAAAGGTCTTTTTATTCGTCAATTTAGACTTCCAGAGGGCACTACGTCTGGAAGTCCAGATCTGAATTCGAAAAATGCAGCTTATGGCTTGCCGGTGTGGGATATCCCAACCGAACTCGGAGTCCAAGTACAAGATCTCAGTGCTTTGTTAGAACATTTGTATCACGATTCGTGAGTTATAGGCCGTCCTGCTCAGTGGATCAGCCTGTTAACTATCTTGTGCTCTTCTTCTAATACTCACGGTAGTCCACTATCCTCAGACTCACCATTCTCTCACCTCTCTTCTATCGTTCGCGCAAGCTCTCCACAGCAACTGAACTTCCCCACGATCCATGAGCTTGCCAAGAAATACATTGTGTCCATGTTTCCTAGTGGTCCATCCCCATTTACACATCCAGCATACTTAGAAGAGGCACTGGCGCTTGCTACTGAATATCGGATTTCTTCGGTGGGTTTCTTATCTCCCTAAAGTAGCTTTGGTTGCTCACTCGAAAGGGTGAATTTCAGATAAGGAAAGGCTTGTTCTACAGCCTTGTCACAACTTCCGACTTTGAGGTCGATGATCCCCAAACTACAGCTTCCAGTGCTATTCCCACCAATGTCGAGCCGGACGTAGTATTATCACATCTGTCATCATCGAACCCTCAAATCAAGCTCTCCCCAGAGGACCTCGAGCGGTGCAGAAACCTGATGACTGGTATTATGGAGTACTTCACTCCCGTGCTTTTTACCCCTGTACGTCCTTGTTTGTATAATCTTCCATTTTAATTTTTTTTTCGCCTAATCATTAACGTTTGTGGCCTATTCTGATATTGTTTTGTATGTGTAGCCTGCTACGCCCCATATGGCCTGTACAGATGTATTTGCAGACAAATGGATGCCTCTAGTCATCCAACATGCTCTAGGAAACGATAGCGTATACAAACCATTGGAGACACTTGAGACCATCAAAGATATCGATTGGGCAGCACAAGGTCTCTGTGGGGTATGTGTCGAGGAGAAGAGAGGAGAATGGACACAAGAGCAGAGGGACATTTGGGAGAAGGTAGACGGGTGGCTAAAAGATAAGATCTGAAGCATGACACATTCGGTATTCGGGAATTAAAATGCATAACGTTACTCCGAAATCGTAGGGTCATCATGGCCCTTGTCCTTTGGGATCTATTGTTAGCAATCTTGTCTTGTGCCGTCAACCTGAAGGATAACGCTAGGTGATGGATGTGCAGTGGATGCTGTTCGTGCTGTACGTCCTTCTTTCCGTTTGTGTGGCCTATTAACAATAGCCTCTCAATCGGACGAAAAGCCCTAGGCTGTCTCCTTTTTCACTTAGTGGGCGCTTGTTGACGTTTTCTATCGACAGTAACTGGTAACTAAAGTGCACCTTTCCCTGTTCTCGGCGGCCGTATGAAACAGTATGCATCGTTTCCTTTCAGATGAACTCGTTCAGTGCCGCATATGAGATGGACCTACTCATAATTGTCACTTGTGACATTAGTCTCGCGCTCTACCACCAACATGAGCGGCGTCGTTTGTCCAACCATACAAGATGAATATGGCAATTGTCGGAGTGGAATACTTATGTCGCACCATACAATTTATCCGAAAAACGAGTGCGGTCGTGTTGTATTTCAAAGAACAGCAAAAATGCTGTATACCTTCCATGCCCATTATATCGTGTTTCAAGTCTCTAACTTAAATGGGCGTTTTGTACGTGACAGGACTAATTTTTAGGTATCCTCATGAACAAATTATTCTCAAGAAATACCCTTTCGTCGCCACATCGATCTCATGACCCGTGTGTCGGTGGGTCCGTTGACCCAAACAGTCAAATTTTCCCGGGGGATCGTTCACATCCTTAGCATATGGTATCTGGTGTGGCTAGACCAGTGCAAATATGTTGTGTGGTGCCTTCAACGGGTACTCCTACTTCGAAAAGGCTTCGTGAATTTTGTGTTATTCTGTAGTAGAAATAATCACCCTCAGGATTTATGCACTTGAGGGGCTCTCAATATTGTCGTCCAGGGTTTCAAGTGCTGCATTTAATCTATCGTTGGCCACTACTTTTGTTCTCTTGGAAAATATATGGCTGATTCATCTATCTCTGAATCTTTATAGGACTGCGTATTTGACGTGTCCACACGTACAACCTTTAGTTGTGTACGAAGGCTGTTGACGCCAGCCTGAGTGGGCGCCATCTATCGTCCTATAAATGAGTGCTCCCCGCACGTATTGTAATCCCCATCTGCATCCTTTGGCTCACTACCCCTCATGGCGGAAGAGAAAACTGAAACCGATACGCAACATAACAATAATTTCTCTAGTATCAGCCCGACCCCTTTGCCTACCGTACGGCAGTTTCGCCGAGGAATATGGACCATAACCTTCGAAGAGCAAAGCCGCACTTGGAATCTTTTCTATGATGATATCCAGCGAGCGTACCGCGATTTTCTTGATTCAGGACCTGCTGCCTATAGGCTTCTCGCTGAAATTGTTTCCCTCGCTCCTATCTCATCCATCACGCTCCTACTGTGCACTTCGTGGCTTGGTGTATCTTCATCTATTAGCCTCGGTTTCTTGAGCTATCTTTTGAACCTTGTGCGTACATTTCAAACTTTATCAAACCTCATTTGACTAACATGCTGTCTGGAAGTTCGAGCGTAGCTTTAGCAGCGGAACGGTGACTCAGAAAGATTACGAGTTGATCGCCATCGTCTGGTGTTTGTTTACAGTGCTTGATCTAATCATGGCTCGGCTGCAGTGAGTCTGTCAGAATTAGTGGCAGCACATATTCTCATGTCCTTCAGGATTGAAGCTCATAGCGTTCTACGCGCCCGTCTCAGATCTCACTTCTTACCGAAACTCGTTAATGGTAAGTTTTAGCATCACTAAAAATGGGTTCTTTCAATCATAAGTACTTCGTTAATCTAAAATCCTTTTCCGTATCTAGCCAGTTTGCGCGTCGACCTTTTGACTTTGCAAGGTGCTGTCATTTCCTGCCTTTTCAGTCTTCTCTGTGGGATACTAATTCTTGCTAGATGATACTTCCCAGTTTCCGTCAGTAGGGAACTTCGAAAATGAAGTTCCTGGATCATTTTTCTTGGAAAGGCTACTTCACAAATTCCGTACAGCATTGACTCTTATTTCCCAGATAGTAGTAATACTACGCGCTGTCTCATGCAAGCACAGCCCAGAGAAAGAGATTATCATGCTTCTATGCATCCTCCATCCTATAATCAGATGTTTGACGCCCTCCAACGGTATTGGATGTGCTGGTCAGTACTGATCGCCGCCATTTGCACATTTTTGAAAGCTCACGAAAATCACTATCTTCAAGGGTACGTATTCTGGACGGAAAATCCCTTTTATAAGCGCCTTGGAGTGCTGTACGATCTGGCCTTCCTACCTCAATGTCGTGCTGATTTAATATTGGATAATTTTTCTACAACCGTTAACTCCGGTGAGATCTATCATTTCAAATGCTGTATACTCCTGTGGGGCTAACGTAGCTAATGAAGAATACGACCGCTCGACAAAAGCCTTGGGTCATGTCAAAGATCTCCCACCGGAACCTTGGCGTAATGGAATGCTTCAGCCTTGGTATTGGGACTTCCTCACCAGTATTACAATTGATCTCCCTTTGGTGAGGGCTATTCCACCTTCCCTACGGGTTGATTGCTAATTTTATTTTACGCCAAAGGTGGCATACGTATTGACTTTGCCATCTCACATCACTCCATCTGCCCTGACATCCATCGCCTTGCTGCATCAAGCTACGAAGGCATTATCCCTGAGCGTGGGTGAATTAGGTATAGACTGCACATCTCTTAACCAAGTCTTTGCACGCGCAAAATGGCTATACGATGGGTTAGAGCAGAATGGCGGCATGTTGAACGGAACGGCGGATTATCCTTGTGCTGTCAAGACTTCAACCAGAGGAATGAGGATATCATTCCGGTGAGTGAGCCTAGTTGATCCTATGTTTGAGGGTCACTAAGTCGCACTCTCTAGTGGTGTTACTCTGAAATACCCTGACAGTCCCAAGGATGCCGTGCATGATGTTTCTTTTGACATCATTCCTGGTTCCTTGGTAGTGGTAGTCGGCGGTGAGTACAAACGGTGTATACCAAAAAAAGCCCGCTGACATGCAAGCGTTTTCTGTAGTAAACGGTTCTGGAAAATCATCAATGCTCAAGCTTCTGGCTAGACTGTTCGATCCTTCTTCGGGCGAGATCCTCATAGACGATGAACCACTTGCCTCCTACGATATGGAACAAGTCCGAGCCACTATAACCTTCCTCTCCCAGTCTCCTTTCATTTACCCCCTCTCTGTGAAAGATAATATATGTTATGGTCTCGGCTCAGATGTGGTACTCACGAAAGCTCAGCTGGATACAGCAGCTCGCTTGGGAGGTTCTTATGACTGGATACATAAGCTCCAGGATGGATATGACAGTATTATAGACCCTTGGACGTCCATCGGAAATGGCATCGATGGAGGAACATATGGACCAGTGTCCGAAAGACTGAAACGGGAATTGAAGTCGCACACAACACAAAGGGTCACAATATCAGGTATTCAATACTACCCCCCTCTAGATGGATCACTGACCAAGTCTTATTTAGGTGGAGAAAAACAACGGCTTGCAGCGTGAGTTATATTTCGTTTTCATAGGTATACATCTGCTCAAGTACAGCAAATAGATCGCGTACCTTTATGAAAATGATCAACTCTCAGGCTGACTCTAGATTAGTCGTACTTGACGAAGCAACTTCATCCCTAGATCCTATCGCAGAGCGTGATCTATTGTCCGCTTTCCTCAACTTGAGGGAGGGAAAGACGATGATTTTTGTCACTCACCGGTTTGAACATTTGGTAAAGAATGCTGATCAAATTTTGTGAGTTGACGCTTCGTTATCAGATGTGTCAACTGAACGTTTTGATGGACTAGGTGTATGAATGATGGAGTAATCGTGGGTAGCGGGACTCATACCACTCTGATGAAGAATTGTGGAGAGTACGCTGGACTCTACAACGCTCGAGTATCACAGTAAGATTGAAAGATGTCATTCGATGTTTCCCAAATTTCTTGAAGAATATCATGTTTCAATGTATATTATAACCGAATTAGATGTTGGATAAAAGTATGTCACTACCAAGTGACAAGTTGAACCAAACAACCATGGAAGATATGGAATCGAGTAAGTCGACAAAACATAGAAGCTTACCACTTCCCATAGCGTACGCAACCTATTCCCAATGCGGACCAGCAACCTAACGCAATTACAGCTGTATGAGCAATAATATCTTTCCAGTTTAACAAACTGACATTAATGTCCCATTTAATGAGCCCTCTCTATCCCAACAGCCATCTATGAGACGTATTTGACCAAGGGAGACGAACAGCCTAAAACAGTTCGAACTATGCAGACAGATTTCTCGCAGATTAAGACATTTAGAACTATTCAGACAAACCTTTCGAACTTGCGTGCATTTTTTATAACGAATATGTGATATAATAATGGAAATGACCGACCGTAGTACAAAAGTATGATACGTTCTGCCAATTTGTAAAGGAACAGAAAAAGAAAATTCGCACCGCTGTTTTCTTATAATTATGGGACACAGAGACAGTGGTGTGCCTTGTTGCCGAATCAAAGCATCGAGAGCAATGAGTAAAATGGAGCGGATCGGTGAAAAGAACAGATGAATAGGACGGACTGGTTAGTCTCCGCTAGGACCCTCCCCTCCGCCTCCAACAATCCCGAGCCCAGACGATCTGCTTTGTGTCATCCGATCAACAACAAAGAGCCCAATAAAATGCAAAAGATGACGCAAAAGTTTAACCACGATCTCAGCGGGACTATAGGAAATCCTCTGCCCTTGCCCTCTTCTTCCCTCTTGATTCTTCCACAGGAGGACTGATATCAATGACCACCTTGGGACAGTAATATTTCGCTGTGTGAGCTCTCCGCTCTAGCTGTTTTTAGACATGAGCAACAATTTCACCCTACAATCTAAAATAAAATCCTTACAGGTGAAAAGTTAGGGTCTTCATACGCCAATAAAACTCCTTTTCTCTTAGGATAAGTTTGAAGCGCCCCTGTACTTGGTATAGTCAGTTGAGGGATGAATACCGGTAAAACCGGCGGCGGAGCTGAGGCAGGGGCTGGGGCAGGAGCCGGCGCAGGGGCAGGAGCCGGTACAGGAGCCGGTGCAGCAGCTGAGGCAGCTGGAGCCGTTACGACAGGTGGCAATGCGGCAGGTGGCGGTGGGTGCATCACGGAACTAACAGGAGTTCCAGTAGATGAAGGTGGAACCGGTGTAGCAGAACCAGGCGCAGATGAAAAGGGAGGCGTCGCTCCTGGAGGGAAGAATGGCGGAGGAGGGAAAGGCGGACGCACATTCGGTGGGAATGGCGGAGCCCCTGAAGGACTCATACCAGGAGGGAAGCCAGGAGGCATTGGAAAACCAGGAGGAGGTGGGCTGTGTCATTCAACAAAAAATCAGAATGCGGGATACACTTTTGTATATGCTAAAAGAACTTACCCAGGTGGGAATCCGGGCATTCCAGGCATAGGGGGGAAAGGCGGCTGTCCAGGAAAAGCCCCAGGAGGGGCTCCAGGGAAAAAGGGAGGGTGCATACCTGGAATCATCCCTGGAGGTGGCGACATACCCGACGGATGCTGCATACCTGGAGCCGGAGCCGCTGGTGCAGAGTACGTTTGTGGAGGAGCACCATATACAGCGCCAGAACTTGTATCAGTGGGAGGAGGAGCTGATGAAGGATCGTTAGCGCCCATGAGAGCCTTATGAGCTTCAAGCTGAGCTTTGAGTTCATCTTCCGATAAAGGACGATTCTCTATCTTGGGCCGTTTGGGCTGTGGCTGTGAAATGGACCCCGCAGCGAGACCAAGTTCTATCTCTTTGCGACGTTTATAGTCTGCTACATCTGGAGCAGGAATACCTTCCATGCCAAATATCTCGACCTCATACCCATCACGGCCAGGCAAGGCGTTCTCGATGCGAGGAAGACTTGTAAAACGGTGAGTGATTATTGTGGCCAGCGGAATGTGAAACACTTACTTTTCTGGCTCAAGTTTGTGTACTTGCTGAATATGGACAGCCAAACCACCAGCCGTGTTCAAGCGACGAGGGCACATGTTGCACTTAAAGTGCTTAGCCTTCTGGTGTTGCATGAGAACTAGCAGCCACGACAATGAGCGATCGATGAATGCGCAACGTCTACTGAATACCATACCTTTTTCATCTTCAAACTCACGCTCACAATACCAGCACCACGGGCGGATGATCTACAGGAACACTTCAGAAAGCGACAACAAACGTAGCTGAAAGGATGCATACCTGCTTGTTTTTTTTCTTTGCCATTTTGCTTCAGCTTTAGTGGTGATGGTAGAAAGCAAGAGGATGGAGCGCCGGAGAGTTCCGGGGGTGCATGTTTAACCCCCGTGAGAAAAGCCTGCCGACCTGCAAAGCGCTGTTGCACTACGGTGGGGCAATATGGGCCTATTAGTATCAGTAGGACATTCAACACCAACATTGTTGGCCTCGTTGGCTACATTTCACGTCCAATGATTGGAAAAACTCTACCAGAGTATATCTTCATCAGAGCTTCCATCTTTCTCCTTCGTGCTATTGCACCAGTTAGCCTGTTATACCTGCCCTGGAGTTTACTGTGGCAAAGAAATCTTCAGTTCTCCTGGCTGACGTCTTATGCTGTGGTTGAGTCCTTGTTCTTCACACTCGTGTATCTCCCTAGACGCCATGTGCTTCAAAAAGCGAGTAAAATTCATCTTCAATGACGCGTAACAGTGTCTAATTCACGTTCAGGCAGCTGGCCATCCTCCAGTGTTAAGTCGCGAGAAACGAGAAGAGCTCTTTCGAAGGTGTTCTGGCTACATTGCTGGCATGGGCTATCCCACCGGCTGGTTCACGTCACCTGCCTTTCGGAAGGACAATGTCATGGATTGGATCCTCTGGGCCTTGTTTTCCACCACACCCGATGGTTATTCAGACGAGTGGAAAGAAGAGATGGCGCAATACATCATTACCGTAGAACAAGTCTTGGGCAAAGAACTAGAAACAGGTTACAACAAAGAAGCTCGGTGCATGAGACTCACACTGGACCCCGTCGAGATGCTGCATAGACCTCTGGTTTGGTACCTGGTGAGCTTTCTTGCAATTAATGTTTTGGCTGCCTAATTTTGACGGAAAGTAGATTGTTTCCTTCGTAGATCATATGACTTTCTTGAAACTGTATTACCTCGGTTTTCGTCATTATAACCCTACATCTTGGTTCAGGTCTTTCCCACTTCGTGCTTTCACTTTTCTCTCTAGAAAGTCCGTGGACGACAGGCTCTCGTACTGGTACCGCCCTCACAGGTCCAAAACAAAACTACCCATCCTATTTCTCCACGGAATTGGCGTAGGCACTCCTTGTCGGCTATCTTATTAACATCGAGCTTATCCGATATACATAGATCGGTCTATATCCCTATACCCCCTTTCTCTCCGAACTTGCCTCTCAAGATCCTGATGTAGGCATTTTAGCCATCGAATTTCTGCCCATCAGTACCCGGATTACATCACCCCCATCTTCCCGATCGACCACCTGCTCCTCAATATCCCACATCCTCGATTCCCTCAAACTAGAACGCGTCGTAGTCGTGTCGCATTCCTACGGAACCGTAGTCACCGCTCACATGTTTCATTCGGAGCCGCTCTCCTCTCGCATTGCAGCAACGCTGTTCGTAGACCCTATACCCTTCCTCCTACACCTTCCCAACGTGGCATACAACTTCGTGTACCGATACCCTCGCACCGCAAACGAATGGCAACTTTGGTTTTTCGCAAGTCGCGATCCCGATATCTCTCGTGCTCTTTCAAGGCACTTCTTTTGGACCGAAAATGTCCTTTGGAAAGAAGATATGAAGGACAGAAGTGTAGGTGTAGTTCTAAGCGGCGGTGACCAGATTGTGGATGCGGAAGAGGTTAGGAAGTATTTAACAGGCGAAGACAGTCCAACTGGCCATTGGGCTGGCGACAACTTGGATGTTCTCTTTTATCCCGATTTAGACCATTCCACCGTTTTCGATACTAGGGAACGGCGGAGACCTCTACTGAGCCTACTTCACAGGTACATTACCAATGTCGAGGAAACTTGATCCGGTACATTGCTTTTCCTCTTCGATATTCCACCCTTTTTAGTACAATACCCACGTATCTCAAATCATGTTATATTGCAAACATTTATCCTCGAAATCTATGCACAGATTCGACATTGTACATCGTATCCTCCAAAACGACGTATATTGAGCGATCCAATTTCACCTCTGTATCTAACCTGCTACACAAATAAATCCGTCCTATGAGCTCGAGGGCAAATGACTGCCACCACTTTACTCTGAATATCAAAAATATCTCCGCCTTCATATGCAACAAGGTCATTGGGCATAGCGACATCCACCAACCCTAAAGCTTTTTCTAGGTTCGTCGTAGCGAGCGCCAAAGCTTCAGCTCTGTTAATTGTACCGTTGGATTCCAACGCAGCCTTCATTTTGGCATAATAAAGCGTGTATCAGTCCCACATGTCCATGCAAACAACTTCTCTCTTCACTCACCCAAGCTACTTCAAACCTCGTATTGCGCGCGTAAGCTTCATCCACCACACCAATCCCAACATTAACCCCAGCCTCCAACAAGACCGTCACAATCGACTCGGCAGTAACGGGCGGACCAAGAAGACTGGTCCAAAACAAATTGACAGGAATGAGAAAACGATCGCTCTCAGAGCGCGAGAGGCGCGAACACAAATCAAAAAAGGGGGAGGGGTGCTTACATCCGTCGTTGATCCCATGTGTCCGGGAAAGGTTTTGGGAGCGTGACGATGACGCTTACGCCGGCTTTGCTGATCTCTTTTGCGATAAGGTGCGCCTCGGACGCTCCGGCAAACGTTAATTGGAGCCGCTTTCCTGAAGCCTTCTCATATTCCGCTTTCAAGAGCAGCAGAGTCCCCATGATGTCGGCGCTGTCTACGTCAACCACGAGCGTTGATTCGCCCTATATGTCTAGTCAGAATCGATGAAGTCACGGGAGTGTCAATGACGTACGGCGCGGACACGCTGAACGATATCATTTCCCTTCAGATGCACTTGGGTAGAGTCCGTGCCAAAAAGCAGCCAACGGAGAGCTGCAATTTGAGTGCTGACGCTCGACCCAGACGATCTATTGATAGAGACATGTAAAGCCACCTCTTGTTTTACCAAAGCATCATCTAGGATAGTAGACGCGCCAACAGAAAACGCAGTAGATGCACCCTGTATAAACCCGCTCCCCACCGGCGCCGTGACAGCGGTAGTAACACCTCCTCGATAGGACAGCCTAATCGAATTAAACGACGAACTTAGCGACCTTCGACAGCATGCCACTTGCACTTACAACGTGTTACGCCCCCCGAACTGTAGTCCATCTACAGCCCGGATGATGGTGTTGCCGCCTAGGATAGAGGGTGGGTCACCATCGAGGGGGTCATGGACATTACCGTCATTAGTGGAAGCCTCAAGCCGAATTTCCACCAACCCAAGCGGCGCACCAAAGGTGGTCAATCCTGGCATGATTGAGCCCCCCTTGAGATCTACGATCTCAATATCATTTCCACTGAACGAGCTACACGTCTCTGCAGTACCAGAACAGACAATCGTTCCGTCCTGAACGACCACTTCCGAGTGCATAGATTCTGAAGTTTCATGGTCTACCAGTGCAACGATGTGATCGCCAGAGCGTGTATAGACGTGGTTGACATTATGGAAAATCACGGTGCGGGCCTTTCTGGGTTCCAGTGGCGGTAGACCTTCGTACGCAACCGCTTCAGCTGCCTCACGATCGAAATTTGGGACTTTCGGTAAGACCTGGAAAGACTCGGGTTTTTCGGATACATATGATACATCGAACTGGGGGATTCCGTCAATATAGACTTGTCGCGGTGTAGCAGCCAACGCCAGGGGATGCGAATCCCAAACAACAAGATCTGTGAGAGATCATGCGATTACGAGTGTCATTCGACTATAATTATTATTGGACATACCAGCATCGTAACCTGGATAAATCACATTGGATATTCAGTTATAACGGTCTTAACCCTTGTTTTACTGCTCTGCCTCACCTTCACGTATGTAACCTATACGGTGACTCAGGCCCATAGCTTTTGCTGGGGTAGACGTGACCGAGGCGAGTGCAACTACGTCCTCAAGGCCATAGTAATACGCCTGCGTTGCTTCGTGAAGTAAGTACCGACTATTGACAACTGGATGGTCCGACTACAATATCGTGTCAGTAATACAGTAATGTTCGATGAGAAGCCAAAATTCTACCTTCATGACCACCGGTATGTCGTTGGCGGCCAAGACCCGTGGTGCGAACTCAGAGCCACGATATGCCTCTCTCTTTTTCCTGAAATGGGCGTTATGGTGAATATATGTTGTTTTTGCCCAAGTACATAAACACATACTTAAAGTTGGAAGCAAAAAGTGCGATGGATGGGGTGCCGCCCTATCATTTTACACCATTTAAAAACTTCCACTAGTTGGCTGCACTGGTCTTTCCACTCACATATGTGCTCTTCAGTAAATCGGGTACTAAATATGTCTCTCCAGCGTGATGGAATGAAGCGACTGGAAACTTGAATTCATGCGATAGCTAAAAGGTATTGTCTTACTCGCAAAATTAGCCTTACTTTGAAAGTGATGGACTTACTCTGACAATTACATCAAGGTCAACGGCCTTCGCAAAAGTACGTCAGCTACTAGAAAATCCAAATGGGATACAACAGCTGCTCACTTCATAGCAATGGACAGACAGCTTATCAAAATAGATTCAACGAGTGATAAAAGAAATGAATGGCATTGGCGCACCTTAACCTTGCCCCTCAAAACATCAGCCAACGCTTCCCATTGTAGATCTTCAGGGAAAGCACCTAGTTCATCCCACAAACCGTCTTCTGCCTTGGCGCAGAATTGGTCTTGAGAATCCCTCAGTTTGCGTGCTTCATTGTAGGCTTGTCGGAAATTCCACGCAGAGTCCATACGTGTCTGCGAATACACACGAGAAGGGTTCTCGCCTGCATCGAGGCGGATTAGAATGAAAGTCGAGTGGTCAAGCGAATAATCCTACCACACGCGTGCCTAGCATGATTTATCAGATAAATATTGGGAGAAACTAACAGAATGAATGATTACTTCATATGCCTCCACCTTGGAGTTAAAGAATGGTCGAACTCAGAGCCATTCAAAGAGTAAGGGGGTTCTACGACCATGGAGATAGGAGACCGTTGCTCTGTGTCTCTGAGTTTTATCACGTATGCTTGACCTCCTGCAAAACAAGTGTCAGATAAGACAAAGAACAACACCGGCGATAGGATAGTCTTGTGTTCCGTACCAATATTATTTGCACTTCCTGGAAGGATTTGTGCAGTTGTGACACCTCCTGATCTGGCTAGCTCATATGATGCATCATGAGTGTTCAAACCGTCGATACTCCGCAACCATGGTAAAATAGGTGCTTTCCGTGAATTCGTATCAGCCGCACCTAAGATTATCGCTCGGTTCAGCATGAGAACGACAGCTAGTGACAGCGAGCATACCACGCAGCTGAGGAGCGCTTCCCACGCCGATGTGTGAATGCAAATCAACTATTCCAGGCGTTACCCATGAGCCCTGGGCGTCATGCACCGTGTAGTCGACGCCTTTCAGCAGTTCGGGAGATACAAATCCAATAGCCTTGATGAGACCTTTATCGAGCAAGATGTCACCGTAGACTATCTCTGTCCCATTTTGAGCGGCCGTCCATATCTTTGCATTTTGTACGAGGACAGCTTTCGTGCCAGGGACAAATCGATCAGACTGAGCGCGCGTATGGAAGTCTGTAGGAGGTCCAGCAGGAGACTTTAGATAGCTGCATTGCTCAAGGACATTCACTCTGTAAGCTTGTTCTTCGAGTGTAATTGTACGACGCCAGAAACGCAAGTCAAGGTTCGATGTGAAGACGAGCAGAGATAAGCCAAGAGCCAGAATGTAGGTTCGTATTAGCTTGAGTCCTGTCCAGTATCGCGACCTCACACGAGGAGAGTGGTTGGCTGCAGCTGCCATCCTAAGGAGAGAAAGATAAGACTTGCCTGTGTTCCACAGACGCGTGTGTTAGTATTACTTGTTCCCAGAGACTGACATGAGACTCGGAGACTCCGAGTCGGATGTCGGAGTGCAGGTCGAGGCGTTCTCCCGATCACGAGCGTACCTGACTTGCTCTTTCAAACAAGCTCCATGTACGCTTGCCTGCGACTAACAACGTTCACCGCTAAATTCACAAGAATACCTGCAATAAGACCCATCAACTTCATAATGGTCCAAACACGAAAGTCTTCCAGAGTGGCCACAGGCAGCACTGATAACGTGAAAGAAACACAAATACCTTCAAAATCACGCAAACGGAGCACGTTGGACGAAGGCTCCACCGGACAAGATAAAAGTAATGAAGAAGGTGATGCTCTATATACCTGAACCATTAACAGCTCTCAGAGGTTTACATTAGGCTCCCGCACCAAAAGACGCAAGAAAGATGAACTTGAAACACCGAGTTATAGTGATCGTGTCTCGAGCCCTTGGAAGATCGGCGCTCATGTGTCTGCTGCTGGAGGTATCGAGAAAGCTGTCCACAACGCCGCTGTTATCGGGTGAGTGAATACAACCTTCATACTATTGACATATGGAAGACCTATCCGCTTCCAGTGCCAACGCCTTTGCGCTTTTCGTCAAATCACAAAGGAAATGGACTTCTCCGCCCCTTTCCCCAGATTCCATTGAAAAGTTCAAATCACAAATGAACACACTTGGATATTCATCATCTCATGTCCTTCCTCATGGGAGCTATCTCATCAACCTTGGAAATCCAGACGAGTGCGTACCTTGTTTCCGTCTGTGTTTATCGTCGATATGAACCTCCTACTAGAGAGAAGCGAGAAAAATCATATCAGTGTTTCCTAGATGACCTGCAACGTTGCGAGCTTCTTGGGCTCGAACTTTATAACTTCCAGTAGGTCTTCAAATCCCTCTCTAAATCTCTATCTCTGAACATCGATGCAACAAAGTCCAGGATCAACCGTCGGCCAAGCAACAAAAGAAGAGTCCATATCTCTTATAGCAGCTTCTCTCAACAGGGCACATAAAGCCACTTCGTCAGTCGTGACAGTAATCGAAAATATGGTCATTTGTCTCGGTTTCGTGCTGCAGGTCTACTTGTGTTCATTATGCTGAACTAGGCTGGAGCTGGGAATATCATCGGATCGCTCTTCGAAGACTTGGCAGGCATCATTCGCCAGGTCGAAGACAAGAGTAGAGTTGGTGTTTGTCTTGATACTTGTGAGTTTTAGTTACACCTTCCGAGATTTTTTATACGTCCTTGTCTAACTCGTGTATATGTAGGCCATATGTTTGCGGCTGTAAGTGGCTTTTCCCGAGTAAGCAATGTTCAGCTGACAGACTTCTGCAGGGCTATGATATATCGACTAAAGAAGGCTGGAAGTGAGTCGTGTTCAAACTCTGTCGGTGATACCCATATTCATGATATCTTCTCAGCCAAACACGTAGGGCTAGATCCCAGCTAATCTAGCTCGTATCCTCACCGACTAACTCTGGTATCAGTATCAGATTTCGACACACATATCGGCCTATCCTACCTCAGAGGACTCCACATGAACGACTCAAAAACACCTCTAGCCTCCAAAAAAGACCGCCACGAAAATATAGGGATGTAAGCCTACCTTTTCCCTTCTCCATTCACATACTGGATCCTCGTTTATATATTCTATATCTTCATTCCAAAGGGGCCATCTCGGTCTTCGTGCATTCCACCATATCGTGACAGATCCTAGACTGCAGAATATTCCTCTGGTCTTGGAAACACCCAGTTTTGAGACGACGGAGATATGGACCAAGGAAATCGAGGTATTAAATCGGCTCTCAGACCTTCATGGGCAAGATGAATCCGCACTACTGGAAGGACTGAGTGACGAGATCAAAAAAGTGGTTCAAAGCAAATCAAACAGTAAACCTCCGAAAAAATCAGGCGGCGGCGCGCGCAAGAAGCGCCATAATGCAAAAGATTCAGAGGAAGAAGACGAGCTAGATGAAGCATGATCTTTCTCTTTTCTTTGTTTTCTTGCTTTGGTATCAATCTATTTATCACCGTTCGTTCCCAAAGTCACCGTCATTTGATATAATACGAAAAAAGCCCAATAAATGTGTCATTAATATGATAAACATGTATACTCGATCCCACTAATACAAACTAACATCAAGGTCTTGACAACGCCTTACGAGCGTCCTCGGCCGCTTTGCGTGCACTTGTAAGAGACGGTCTCGCAATACTCGTCGTCGTCGTTTTCGATGCGCTCTTTCCAATACTCCCAGGCCGACCAGCAGCGTTCGCAGCCGAGTTGGCAGCAGCCACTGCCCTCAGCATATTCCCCATGCTTGGCTTCTTCGATGTAGCTGTTCTCAGAGTAGCACCCCCTGGAAGAACCGCACGCTCTCTTTCTATACGTTTGAGAAATGGACTAGGGAGATTCTCTTCGTCCGAGATGTCATATTCTGCCGGCGAGGCAGGCTGTGCGCTCGCGACGGAGGCTCCATTAGAGGTGGAAGTCGAGGACTGCTGTGAACGCGTATTCACCGACTTTGATGATGCACGGGATGTAGCCTTTATCCCCGTTGGATCTGACGACGACGACGGTAGTGTAACAGCTTTCTGCAAAGGGGGTCGTTGTATCGATCGGCGTATAGATGGTCTTCGTAGACGAGTTGGAGGAATTGATGGTGCAGGCGCTGGGTCCGGTTCAGACGCAGGCGTATGGTTTGACTGCTCCGATTTCGTTCTCTCTCGCATAGAAGGAGATGGTGGCTCATCATGGTCGTCATCAGACCCTTCTTCTGCGTCAGTGTCAAAGTCAAATATCTTCGCAAAGTCAAGTCCAACTTTAGGCGAATTGACGAATAAAGTGGCAAGCTCGGCAGGCGTTGGCGTTTCTAATGGCTGGCCTGTCGTCGTCAACACGACACCTTTCATGGCTGATGGCATGTAGTTTGGGGGTACTTTGGCGATATTCCGGTTGTTGGGCGTTTCCAGACTTGGGAACTCCTGTTTTGAAACTCTTTCTGGTCGTATTCGACTGGTTTCTTCTGTCATATGAACCAGAGGGGCTAGAAGATTTTTGACTTCCTCTAAAGGTGTCTTTTCTTTGCGTCCTAGTATACGCATCGGCTATTGAAGTATCCGTAGAGTGGAAATACGTACCTTTGACTTCTGTGCATTTGTCCTCAGTCAGCGCTTTGACCCGACATTCCAAGTCTTGCCGTACAGTATCCAGGCGCTGTTGCTCCGCCTCGAATTCCTCTTCTTTCTTAACCACCCATTGCATCTTCTCCTCAACGACAGCAATCATTTCTGTCCGAATTTGCTCTTCCCTGGCTCTCCATGCCTCTGAGATCTCCAGCTCTCTCTTACGCACAGCCTCCAATATCTCCTCCTCTCTTCGCGACATAGCGCCTGCAACCTCCTGTTCGCGCTTCATAACCGCCAGTCGCAATTCGTCTTCACGTTTTGTGATCGCTTCACGTATTCGCGTATCGACTTCTGCCCGAGACTGCGCGAGGAGGTTTGAGAGATTGGCCAGTTCATTGCTTTTCTCAAGGAGTAGCGCCTCGAATCGTGATTCTTTCTCTACCAAAGCAGCTTCTCGACTAGCGATTTCACGTTCCTTTGTGACAATAGCCGCCTTATGGTTTTTCACGGTGGTGAGCCTGTGTATGAAGAGTTCGAGAGAATCAATCACTAGAACATAAGAGAAACCAACATTTTCTCCGTTTCGGATACCTTGAAAACCAGTTCAAGTCGCTCATGTTGGAGTAATTGAGCCGTCGAAGGTCTCATAGCAGGCTGAGGAAACAGATAAGTTGATGAATAGTGTTTGAGCAGTCATGCTTACGTTCAAGTTCAGCATGGCTTTGATGACACCTGATAATGCTACGCTGTAACCCCTCGGTAAAGGTGGAATGCGTCCGTTCCTGAAATACTTGTTATTTACTGTAAGCTTCTTACCAACTCAAGCCGAAGACCTACCTGATAAATATGCTGAGCTCTGCATGGGTCTTTGCCTCGTGAAATGGGGGTTTGAGGGCACAGAGCTCGTATATGAGGCAACCAAGAGACCAAATATCAGACTTCGAGTCATATGCTTTTTCCTGCATTAGCTCAGGTGACATATAATATGGTGTCTGTATCATATATGAATATGAATTGGATTGTGGTTAAGGACGATATACGTACGCCGACATATGTATTTGCGAAACTCGCTTGCACAAGGGCCTTTGACAAACCGAAATCACCCAACTTTACAGTATTTGCTTCGTCAAGAAATACTAGAGAAACTCTATCAGCATCAATCCCGTTATTCCGAGCTTAAACATCTTACCGTTATCCGGCTTCAAGTCACGGTGGAGAACTTGCGCTCGCTTATCTTTACTTTCACCGTCCGACCCAGAGCTACCTGACTTTCCAGGACCATTGGGATGATGACAGTGATGCAGAGCGAGAAGAATCTGCATGAAATAATTCCAAATAGTGTCCTCAGGTATCGGTCGATTGTGCCTTTGCGCTTGTTTGATTATTGTAGATAGATCGCCACCTCCACAATACTCCATAAGGATGTAGAGTATACCTGCTTCTCTATCAACATGGCGGTCGTGATATCGTACAATATGTTCGTGGTGCAACTCTTTTAGAATGTTACTGACGAGGACAGATTTGGTTGAGGTTGGCAGAAACAGAACTTGGATGCTTACACTTCCGAAACTATCTGCTTTCTGTCACGCTCGGTCATGCGCTCAAAATTCAATTCTTTTCGCGCAAAGACCTTTCCGATAGCATTAGAAAAATTTGACAATGAAGTGGCAGTAGTGAAACTTACGAGACCATCCGATTTTCTCCTCACTTTGCGTATTATCCCGAAAGAGCCGTTCCCAATGACATCCAGGGGATCATATAAGTCCAAGAAGTTTGACATTTCCAAGTGTGCGCACGGATTTGCGCGTCGAACAGACGTAGCGTCGTTGTATTGTGATTGTGGTCGAGCCTGTCTTCAAGGAAATCCAAAACTGCTTTCGCGTAAATGTGAACGTGTGTCACGCGTGTGGTTGAATAATGTCACGTGATCGTGACTTTTCGGACGCGCCATGTTAGCTTACGGAAATCTATCATGATGCATTTTTCAGTACACATGGGTCACTATCGAATATTTCTAGGTGCACCTCCATCATCAGCTATTGACGAAGACGCACAGTCATATACTTGGAATACGATACAACAGACGCCATCTCACACTACTTCGGTCGTCTACCCAGCTGCAACGTTAGAAGCTGCCAGTCGCCGCATTTCCTTACTTTACAAAAACATCATCTTCGACGACGATGACGAGGAAGAGCAACAGCGCGATTTATTGGAAGAGGATGAACTCGCATATCACGGAAGAAAAGGTGGTGTCTGATGTAGTTGGGTTAAATCGTCGACCTAACGCTGTAATAGACGAGACGACAGTAATTACTTGGCCCCCTACCCAGAACAACCGCCTAGATCGTAGTGCACCATCCTTTCTTTACCCTTCTCAGTCACATATTCAGCAATCCATGCATGGGACGTACGAGACTCAAGAGACAGATTCCTGCGATTACTCCGACGCTTCCTCTATCGCACGCTTTCCTTCTTTTCAGTTCAGTTTACATACGGTGATATCGCTATCATCACTTCATGCGTACTCAAAAGCGGGTAAAGGATCCCAGAAAGTTTGTGTTCTCCTCGCGGTTCTGGAAGTAGAAGGACCTGACACCATCAGGATAAAAAAAGGCTCCGATGCCGGGAAGGAAGTCTCTATTCTCAAGATTTTATTTGGAGACGAAGACGGCAATGTCTGCAAGCTTACTGCATGGCGAGAAATTGCAGAAACTTGGGGAGGAAATGGAACAGCTCCTGCCCTCAAACGAGGCGATGTCGCGTATATCAAAGGCAAGTTCATATTCCGTTGAAAGGACGAGTTTCAGCGAACATGATTCCCAACAGATGTGATGGCTTCCTGGGAGCCAGGGTCCTCGTTTGTTCTAGTTGCTTCTCCGCATCATAAAAGCACTGCACAAATCTGTTATCGTACCATGCCTTATACTCACGAGGACAAACGATTGCGCCCAGATTTAAGACTCGGCGCAAGTGATGCAAGCGTCCGTAAAGTCGCAGCTTTGGTAGATTGGTTCGAGGTTATGGCCGGCTTGTCACGTGCTGCATAAGTAAGTACGTCTCAAATCATTGAAAGAAGCATTAACAACTCCGTGATGCAGTGGCAGTGTCGTTGTGCTGCCTCGTGAAGACAATATATTATCACCCATCTCTTATCTTCTTTGTTGACTTTGTTCTGGATGGTCACTGCGTTCTAGTTTGTCGAAGAAGGCAGCGCTCGGCAGAGAGACCAGTCATCATGACGCTTTGACCTGCCTGCAACAATGACTTTGACCTCAAGGCCCAATGTTGCTTTGTCCGGACATTGTGGCACACAGGTGCTTTGATGTTCCTTCAAACTTATAAGGCGGGGATGCTAGTTAGGAATACCACCCTTCCGATGCCTTTCACCTTCCGTTCTCTTGCCTTGCCAGCCAGAATCTCAGCAGCTTTTAAAGCTTTGAAACCCAAGAAACGTCCTAACCCTTTCACTCGCCATTCGTTCCGAGTTTTTAGAAATGCCTCTTCGAAGTCAGGTTCGCGTCACATCATACCTACTCTCTTCGCTGCTCTTCCTATGGCCCCCAGTTTAGGCCCTGATATCTCTGCACAAGTATCCTCTACTGAGCCCGACGACGAAGCACGCACCAGCTTGCTTGAACCACGGCATTCAGGAGACCCTAACGGTGGCTCTAGAGAGCCTAGGGTTTCAAAGGCACGCATGGAACATCACTAGACCCCCTTCTTGACAAATTCTCAACTTCTTGATCAGGTTACTATAGGTGAAAAGATCCTCGAGAGATTTTGGCCCCCAGAAGATGAGGACAAGGACGACAACGCGCCTGAGCACACGAAGGAAACGGCGCAACTAAGCTTTACACCTCTCTCTCCCCCACCATCTCACAACCCCAAGCTGATCAGTACCGAGAGCCTACAAATACGAACCGATACTGCCACTGCCCAGGACCCGTGGAAGTGCAGGTTGGCTGGAACTTAGCTCTTGTATGATATTGGAACTAAACAGATATTCTTTCCCAGCGCACACCAAAACTCGCAATGCGAAGTTTGTTCGACAAAGATTAATTCGTCAACTGCGACGGACTTTCCTTTTTGAGAAACAGTCTTGCATGCTTCAATTCATTTATCATAGCCCTTTTGAAGTAATGTTGACGTTGATTATCACTGTAACCTTACCATAATACAAGTGTAGCAGTCTCTGGCAGGCTGGGTTTTTAGACAAGTCCGCACCACTCTCAGTCCAGCACTCACCACTCCCAGTTCATCACAATGAATTTATCCCTACTCTGACGAGGCAACCTATGATTTTAAGTTTCAGAGACAGTTTTTCCTTGTTGTTCTACTTCATCTAACATCTTCTTTGTACCTTGTACGATTATCTCCCACTCAATTCTATGCAGCCTATCCTCAAATGCATCGATCGGCTCTCCCTCCTTCATCTCCACCTCACGCACCATCACCGGCTCTCCGCGATCCACCTCCCTCACCACACGATGGACCATCACGCCCGACGCTGCAATCTCCCCCTTCTGAAACGCCTCGTACGCCCTCTCGATCGCATTCGCCCCGTCAAACGCGCCTGGCAACGCAGGGTGCAAGTTGATAACACGTATCGCGCCCTCCACCCCCTCCCCTCCCTCCAACACCCTCGTCCCACACAAAACATCCAAGAACCCCTCACTCAGCACATGCATCCACCCCGCCAAGACCACCAGGTCCGGTTTCTCCCTCACGACGAGCCGCGCAACCTCAACATCGTAGTCCTCCCGCGTCTTGTCCTTGTTTGCCTTCAAGAACGGCTGGAGCGCTAGGTACGCAGTCGGGATGGGCGGGTTGGCCGTGGAGGCGCGTGTGAGGCCGTAAGCAGCCTTGCGATTCGATATCACGAGGGTGATCTGGGTATTTGGCAAGGATTCCGTATTTTGAGCGTCGATCAGCGCCTGCAGATTGGTTCCTAACAGATATACACTTGTAGGTAAAAGCTCCAAAACATAAATGGCATGATCATTTACCTGAACCTGATATAAGAACAACCAAACGTCGTGCCCGTCCTTCTCCCTCCGCCATGTCGATGTTACACTGATAAGATTTGAAAAGTTGACCAGTTTCGCCGATAATGATAATCGGAATTCGGAACTGACTAGACCCTAACCCAACAGTATAAGGCCATTACCAAGCTACGATCAAAATATCCAACTTGTCTCTAACTTCCTACCATTCCCTAGACATCGTACATCCGATCAAGACAACCTTTCGACTCTCTCCGCCGGCCAAGACGAGCCATCACCGTTACAATAATCAATCTGAAGATGAGTTGCGGTCGTCATTAAACCATACTTCAAGTTATCACTTGAGAAAATAAAAATAAAAAAGCATCACATTTGAGGGGAGTCGCACGGAGAAACAGTACATCATGTCAAAGTAACCGGGAGGAGTATATATAGAAGCTACATACCAGACAGCAAATAAAACACCCAGAAAGAACGCGTCATCATCCATTCGCTCGACAACACCGTCAATCCGATCACACGATCAAACTTTGGCGAAATCTGGCAAGGTACAAGACGACTTGAGCAGTTAAAATCCACCACGTTCGAGCACAAGCAGGTAAGACGGGGATAAGTAAAAAAGAGGGTCTGTCCAGGGATATAGCGTACCTTACTGGCGAGATGACTGACTGACCCCCTGTGACAGGGTAAACTATGCATGCAGCGGAGTGGCGTTCAAAATTACATACCTCTAATACAAATCCGACTTGCAACTTTGATACACCGGACCTTGAGCCTGGAGGGGGGGGGCAGTACACTACGCTACGACGAGGTACTCAGCTCGGCTCAACCGACTCTCGACAGGCACTCCATTATTAGCGCACTGAGAAATCAGAAGTGAATAAACCTGGGGGAACATAAACGTCAGCTGAGGCCCCTCAGTCATGCACGTACCCAAAAGCTAAACACATACCTCAGGCTATCGGGATCATATCAGCGTATCCTAGTATCCCTTCTTGATACTTTTAAAGAGAAAACCAGCTGTTTGGTCTCGAAGGGGATAACCTCGGCGTTTTTCGCGAGGCGGATACACTCGAGCGTAAATACACAAGAGTGTACGTAAATACCCCTGATCAGAAATGCTGTAGGGAAAGATGTCGCTGATGAGTTTGCTGATCGCCTCTTGTAACTTCTTTTGTATAGGAGATTGACACGTCATGCTATTGTCAATGTCAATGGTTCGTTGTCCTCTTCAGATCCATCATTCTCTTTTTGTGGTTCCCTGCCAAATGGCCGCCATGATGAAGTGAGTGCCAGGATGGACGTGCCAGTGACACGGCGCGACAGAAGAAGAGGAGATGGGAAAAGAAGAGCTTCTCCTTGGAGTGAGAACTTGAGCGTCCACATAGGAGGAACTGTAGGGGGGCCCAACAGCTCGAGTCATGTTTTCGAATTAGGTATTCCCAGGAACGGTGCCATGCCACGTCGCAAATTAGCCCAGCTGAGACTAATTCCAACTGAAAGGAAATACAGACCCGAAGGACTGGGATTCGGGGTAGGTTAACTCGAAAAAGAAAGAAAAAAAGCCATCAGGTTTCCTGGACAAGGCGTCGACTGTGTGGCGAGTGCGAATGCGAATGCCACCGTGATCCTGCGGGATGAGCCTCACACCTCCGTCGGTGCAGTACCAGCAGGCCGGGTGACAGCGCAGGGTGGCTCGAGTGGTAGAGAATCCCTCTGGGGTAAACGCTTCTGAATTAAACATCCCTGTCAGCATCAAAGCAGGCGTCGACAGACTGACAGCCGTTCCAACTAAACGTGCTTACCGTCGGCTTATCTGAATCATTTCACTTCCACCCAGCGACTGACTGATCACGGCCAGCAAACTCGCTGCCGTCGCCTTGCCATTCAGAGAACAAAGAGAATGCCTTGGTATAAGCTCAGCGTTAACGGTACCGCCCCATGTTGCGAATGATCCTTCAATGAAGGGGGGGGCGTCGCCGCCGTACACCGTGACAGCCAGAACCCAGAACCTTCTCTGATATCAAAAAAGAGAGAATGCAAAGTCGCCCCAAATTTCACTCCGGAAACACGGATTGGCACTTGTCAAGTCCTTATTCGAACTTGGACAAGTCAAAATAAAGATAAAATAATAAAAAAGATATAAAATGGCATTTGAATCGTCGTCAGCTCCCGGCCAAAACGAACAGTTAGCAGCGTCCCCTCCAAAAATACAAAGGACAGCACCCGTGCCCGAATTAGCCGACGGATTCTTCAGATGCGGCACTGCGGCCGTGCTCGCTTTCGACAAGTAGACCGTTGGTTCTGGAAAGGTCTCCTGGATAAGCACGGCAGGGATAACTCACAAAGGTCGCACGGTATCACATCCTTAGCAATGTCAAAGAGGAAAACTCATATAAAGGCGATTCTCGACGGCGACATAAGATTTGAATGTGTCTAGGATGCGGAACATGGAGCGTAGCAAGTCTAGACAGATTTACAGAGTTGCGCTGACACAAATCGCGAAAGAGACGGGATACGGAACATTCCGAGTCCATTGGGGGATAGACCAGAGGATCCTGCATAGGGCCAATATTGACACCCCATCATGAATCATGATATGAGGAATACGCCAGCAAAGAAGCTTTCCTCAAGGCAGACACCTTGGCCAGTTTGGTAAACGATCTCCAGAAAAGCTTTTAGGGGGTCGGGGTGGTACAAGGTCTAGTACAAGTACCGTACAGTGAGATAAATTAATCAATAATGAGCGGCATTGGCTATACGCATCTAGCGCAAGAAATGGAGCGATAGCCAGAGTTAACGAGCGACTAGGGGCCATCGTAATACTGTTGTTTTAGTCAGGTCAACAAAGAAGAAAATCGGTACAGGGCTAAATTGGTACATCGGTGGTCTCAATAGATATTAGGAGTTGGAAGACGGATGGAGGTATCGAGAGTTATCACAAGGACAAGCCGTAGACCGCGGCAGATGCTGGTATATCGAATAGTACAAGGTCAAAGCATGGACAGAGCATGGACAGGATGGTGAATGGCGATAAAAAAGGCATGGCATAGACGCATATCTCCGACTGTGAGAGTTGATCCTCGAAGACACGTGAAAATTTGGGCGGCATATGCAAGGTCGAGTTGGATGATTGACCTCACATCATCATGCCGTAGCCACCGCCATTGCCTCCACCAACGCTGTTCGGCGTGTTCAAGCTTTGCTTCATCACCATTCCTGCCATCCCGTCAACAGCATCTCCCCTCGTGCTCCATGGCACACCAGTGTTAATGTGGAGGCCACTTGCACCCAACCTTTTGGGCACACCGTAGTCCGAAGGTGCGCCAGCGCCCGAAGATGATAATACATTGGGCATCTCGTAGCTGCCCGAAGATCCGTGCGGGGGAGATCCGTACCCACTACCGGTGCTCAAACTCCCGCTCCTCTCTCTCCTTCCTCGTCCCGATCCTACCGAAGACGCATCATCCCGATCCGGAGGGCTTCCGTACATATGGCCTCGCGAGGACATATTCCCATGTTGGTGTTGCAAAGCAGCCAGCTGTTGCTGTCGCTGAAAGTTGGCGAAAAATGCCTGACTGGTTGGGTCGGCAAAAGGGTTCGACCCATTCCCTGATGCTGGCGAGGGTCCCATGTTTTGGGCGCTGGCGGGGGGTGTCAAAAGAGATCGCTGAGCTTGAAGTTGCTGCAGTTGTTGAGGTGTGAACGCTGTGTACAGATGGGCGTTCCACGCAGCAGCCTTGTCCATATCGGGCTGATTCATCGCATGGTGCTGTTGGAGGAATGATGCACCGGAAAACTGCGGACCAGTGTGTGGCTCGTAAAGCGAAGTCATTGCAGGGTTCTCAAAAGAAACGTTGGGAGGGCTGGAAGCGATCATCGGCCCGCCGTGTTGACCTCCACGTGGCATGAGATGAGCAATGTTGATGCCAGATGGATTTGCATTTCCATTGTTGCCCGAAGGGTTTGAAGGGATGTTGTGTGTGAATGCATTGGCATTCTTGAGCATAGCCGCGCTCGCCTGCGAAAAAGAATTCCTCATATCTTCACCGTCATCTACCGTGTTCGCCATTGCACCAACAAAATCATCGTCGCCGTCATCGTACCCGTCAAAACCGTTTCCACCTTCATCATCCTCCTCGCCGATAACAGCTGCCAAGACTTCGACTTCGCCACTAAGGACCATGGCAAAGCCTTCACCACGAACAGGTTCTTCAACGCGAGGAAGACCGGCGCGGTCTCGCCATTCGTTCAATTCACGACGAAGGGCGTCTGACTCGAGTTTGATAAGACGAAGTTCGCGCGACGCCAACAGGCGATGACGACGCGATGCGTGGATGTGAGCAATCGATGAATTCACTATTGCAGATTTGGATGGGCGGCGTATCTGAGACAGATTGGGAAGAAGAGCGGCAAGGTCCTGTTGGATAACGTAAGAAAGCGTGAACAGCGGTGCAAAAAAATGACATGCCAAAAATCTGCCGTTCAAAGTCTCTCTGCGCTGCCTTTCGACGGCGTTATGGGTGGCTCGCCGTTCTGCGGTGTTGGCACGCCGGCTGGGCTTTCTCTTGACCTGAGTGACAGCAGCATTTGCGGGGTTTGCGTTAGACGTCTGAGACTGAGCATTGCTGTTGATGGCAGATTGATCGGCGGAAGAGGAAAGGGCAAGCGTGTGTGCACTGGTTGGAGAGCGAGGAGTACGCGGGGGGTTTGAACTGTCGTCCGACGCGGGGGAGTTACCGGCGGACGGTGTGGAGGGAATGGTGATGGGGAGTGTCATGGACATTGATGACAGAAGCTAAAGCAAAGTATACGAGAGGTGTGGATATACAAAGGACCAGAGACTAGACCCCAACGGTTGAAAACAAGGCAGATAAGGGATAGACCAAAAGGACACCAAAAAGGGGAAGGATAGTCAACGAATGATTGTGAGAGGAAATGGGGACTGTTTTGCGAATGGGAGGAGAAGGTGGGGACACAACAAGGGTACGCGATAAGTCAGCGGATTCCCTATGGAGCGAATGGAAGGTATTGAGGATTGGTAGAAGATCAGAGTCACGAGCTGAGCTCAAGTGGACTGCTGATGGTCTGTGAGGAGGAGATGGGATAGTAAGAAGCCGGCAAGGGTCGCGAGATCTGAGGGGAAGATAAGTCAGGAGGAAAAGAGAAACATGGGAGGTGAGACTGACACCAGGCGGGATCCTTGTGGACGGCGAGGCTAGGCGGGATTAAGAGGAAAAGAGAGAATGAAGGGAGTGAGGAGGATCAAACGAGCATGAATGAGATGGCGGAGAAAAGGGAGAGATGGGACGAGATGGTCGTGGTCAGAAGACGACAGCCAGAAAACTCATAAGCGAATCCAAACAACCCGAATATCTCTCGGCTAGCCCCGTATCATTTTGCTAATTTATTATATTATTTATTATCCCACCTCTTCCGGCTATCTCCATCCGTCTGCCGTGACTCTCTGTGACACAGCCCTCTTTAGTCACCTTTCCTCGTTCAACCTTACTGTGCATAATCCTATATCCTCGTCCTCGTCCACCGAGGCAGCGCACCGCCAGTGGCTCTCTGGCGCTAGTGCCAGCTCTCCATCTGTGTTTCAGACCATGGCTGTTGCCATCACCACCGAGACATTTCTGTCGCTGTCAGACACTTCGCATCTTCACCTCCTCTTCCTATCGCTCATTTGATCGACGGCTCGCCTCACTCACATCTGCATCATATTTCTGATTTCTGCTGTTGCACCTTTGCAGGATGTACGGGTCACGGGATCCGTGATGTATTCCATCTCGTCAATCCGTGACATGATGTATCTGCACAACACCAGCACAAGCCTGCAACGTGCTGGAACACGAAAATGACCATCGAACCACTGTATCAGAGTGCAATGTCCTGCCAGACACTCACGCTATGCCGTCACTGTACCCACCACCTTATGTACGTCCGGCCCACCAGCTTGCCGGTGCCGTACCTTGCCACAGACAAGCTAATCTGCACCTGTCTGTTGCTTTCCTGTCTTGTTTCCCACGTCTCCCTCGACCTTCTCTCCCCTTTCGCTGCCTCTTTGTCATGCCACGCCCCCCGTTCCCTATTTGTCTCGTCCTGCCATCTTATGTGGCGCTGGAACTTATTTCCAAATGCAGAGTATGTGGTTTGCCGTAAACATAGAACACTTCCAACCTTGTTGATTAGCAATCATCTCTGGCCGCCGTGTCGAATGAGTGAAATATCAGTTGAGATGGACTGTGCAAGAAGCCTTCGGGTGATCTCGTTCGATCCCGGCTGCGCACTGGCCTATATCCAGGCTTTCACTGGCCTCGTACGCTCATCGTCCCCGCCGCATCACCCGCATCCAGTAAGCATAGGCACATACTAGGCAGAATCGACATCCTTCCACTGCATAGAACTCTGCAGCATCTTACCGGTGGGCACCCATACGCGCAGCCGTGGGCCCGGGACGTTGTAACGTCACCTCCCTACATCATCCATCATACCGACACAGCAAGCCTTCGGGCTCATGTCTATCAATTCCTTTTAGCGTCCGTCGCTACAGTGCCGTCATGGGCCTGTGACTGGGGTGCGATTAACCTATATCAGCTCACTTTCGGTAACCTACCGCGAACCTGTTGCCCCGTTACACACGCGGATAGCTTTATCTTTCTGCGTCGCGGTACCGACGATAACCTTGCGTCCTTTTCCGAACGAACGAGGAACGAGGGCGGAATGACACATGTCCTTTGCGTAGCTAGAGACGTATCTGCGTTGCATCGCCTCTGCGCGACTGACACCATCAATCCAGACGGCCGCGCGTACTCGCATACCCCGTATCAAATCCCAGGAAACCCTCCAGGATCCCACAAAAAATGGTACCACAATTCCTCAACCCCGTTTTCAGTCTCCAATCTCGATATTTCTCGTTCCTGGGCCCACCCCAGATCTCGCAGTCAAACAAAGCTTTCAAGCCCAAATTCGAGACAAGTTAATCCAAAGTAGCCCCACCGAACTGTCACTGATCAGGTGTCCCCACTAATCATATTCCTATCTCGGTGACATCTTTGTACTCAGCACTTTTTTTGATTACCGTTTAACTTTTGTTTCTGATATGTTCGCAAGTCTTAGTTTCCCCCCCTCGAAAGCCCCACAAAGTTATTGAGGTACGCAGCCCAGAGTTTGACGGCAGCTGTGCTCAGCTGTGGCGTCGTTCTTGAAGATCTTCCACAGTTCTTCCGCGGGGTGATAAAACGCATTTAATACGAACTATAATTCCCTAAGCACCCAGTCTGCGTAAGCTGTCGGTGGATTAATGAGGCACAACCGTAAAAGGTTCGACGGTAGCCTTTCTTTTGAAAGGTACTATCAAGTGATCATAATCTCAAGGGTGTCGAGCTTCTGCGATAGCCCTGCAACTCATATCATGTCCAACATCATCTCAACACTCCGTCTGACCTCGATAACGATTGCTCAGTCTCGGAGCATCCGTTTCTGTTGTTCCTGGAGACTAGCCAGTTCCCGACAAGCCGATACGCGCGAGTGGACCCGGGACGTCGAGAATTTTCATTTTATGAGTGACCAGCAGTGACCAATAATGTTTTTTTAATATTTTTCGATCAAATTGCAAAAGGCCAGACTCGGTCACCATCTCGTCGTATCAAACACCAAGTATCAGAGTAATCAAAAAGTAATCAAAACTCATAGTCTCATGATAATCTGCACATCGTTATCTTTTCACTTTTGTGTTCTGGTCGAGATCCGTCTTTGTAGCATGACTACCCTAGTACTGTGTTGCGCCCCGATCACGAACAAACGGGTCAAGTGACCAGACAGGGGAGCAGAAGGTGGCTAAGCAGTTAATTGCAGATCATTGACTGGTACAGCCAACTCGATCGGTCGTCGTCGATGGCAGGAAAGTGTTTTAACCAGTGTTTTGTCTTGTATTAGGAGAATGATCCGCGTCGGCGCTCAATGATAGTATTATGGACGGCATAAACTTGCACTTTGAAATAGTCTGTGCTCGGTGCCGAACCTTGGGGGGGCACGACTTTTAGTTTTAGTCAGCCGGCGAGAGTCCAGGGATATCAGCCTCGGGTACTGATGCGGCTTCTTGTGCAACGTATCGAAGACTGAGAACCACTGATTGGAACACTCGCCAGTCTTCAGTTGATCCACTCTTGCAAGTTATACCGGCCACATAAATATTGACCAGCACGCCATAGTAGTTATGATTATGCGCGAAATGTATATCAAGCGGCCGCAGGAACTCGTAAAGGCTTGACACTTCAGGAACCTGTCACTCCCTCGGTAGTCGGGATGACTTGGGGGGACTTTAGGCGCTGTAAATCCCTATGCGGGTACAGCAAGGTGCGGGGAGTACGCGGGACGATGATAATTTAGCGGCGAGAAAAAAGAAAGGAGAGTAGCTGGCCACTGACCTCGAGGCACATCCAGAGTGTATGGGAATATGGGACACGAGTCTCCTGTCAGATACCCTCCCACAACCACAGTGAATATGGGTACCCTGGTCAGGAGGCTTGACAGGCATGACCACGCCCTCAAAGTTCCCCGACGGAACAGATCCTACGATCAAGCTGGGAATTCCGGAGGACACGGATTGATAGATAAAATTCGATTTGACCGAGGGTACGCTGATCTTAGCGATTTGCATACGTACTTGAACTGATCATTTACATCTCGAGCTGGCAGCGAAAGACTCGAGTACTGTGCCGTGCCAGCGGTAGAAGAAGTGATGGAGCGTCGCCGCCGATGAACAAGGCTGCATCAATGACGAGTATTATCGACGTTTAGAAGTCGTTTGGAGGGGGAGTATGGGAATAGCCTGCCGGAGCCGTTTACACGGAACAGAAAAGATCTGCAGAAGAAGTACAAAAAGGTGAAGGGCGAAGCGACAGCATCGTGATGGCAGATGCGGGCAGAGGTCTTCTCACCGTTGCCGATGGACTAACAAACACAAAACCGAACGAGTCAAGGTCTATCCTATGACGCAGCCTGCATATATGTGTCATAATTATTTATTCATCGGTCTGATGCGGGGGAAGATGGCTGGAAGACGGCATGCGACGCTATGCATTTACTGTACCCGAAGAAATCCTAACAATTGTGGCGGAACAGAGGGGGCCTAATCAACTTGAGTCAGTCGATTCTTTGGCGATCGCAGCTTGATCTACAGTACAGCTGAAACGACAATAATTTATCGTGTTCAGGGTTCGAGGTGATGGCCAAGTTACGGTAAGCCATTTTCTGTCCACCCGCATGCAAAACCCTACAGAGGATGTCAGAAATGATGACATACACAAGAGTACAAAGTGCAGACCTGCCTAATATTGGGCTTTAGTGTATTTTTTTACTGGGAAAACGTCTTTCCACATGGGAGGCTACGCTACTTGAAACTTGTGTCAATGGTGGCACGGTCCCCTGGGCGAGTTCCTGTGAGTTGTTGAACAAGATAAAGTTACATCTTTCCTCTCGAGTCGAAGGGCCAACGCTGCAATAACCCTTTTTGGAAAGCGCTAAGCGCTCGCCGCTTGCATCTGCATCCATCTTTTCCCGATGGGCGTTAGATGGGCGGTAAGTATCCAAGACTTGTCAAAGTTCGTTTACTGTAACTTGAAGCTTGAAGTTGTAGCGACATAATCGAAAAATCATGCAAGCACCCCGTGTAAAATCTGGCGAAAACTGACGTTCTGCCCGGTTGCAATCGTTTGAATGGATGTTCTTGACTATGCAAATTTTTTAGGTCCAGGCGATAATATTGGACTGTAGGTTCTATACACGTCTGCCTTAGCTCACACCCACTGATCACTATTCTATCTACAGCCAGGTGACGCAGTGCTCTTGCTTGCACAACTACCGATCTGGATCGAGTGTACATTGAATCAAGTTTGTGTGGCTTGGACGTCTTGAAAAGCTCACCAATAGTGCTAGCGTTGGACAGTGTTGTCGACGATATCGTCAAGCTTCTTAATGCTAGGATCATTATCTAGCGATCGTAGCTTGATTCAATTCCTGTCCATTCCCGCTGCGTCCTGATGGCACATCTGTCGTTTCGGATGAAGGATGCAGTATCTGTTATTTTGCATCACATACATCATAGTGTGTGCGATGCGATGTTTGTTTTCTTTGAATACTGACATTACTTCCTCTGGCTCGACGTCCACGACAGCGGTATTGTCCATTTATGAATGCAATATTTTGCGCCACCCATCGAAGGTACGGTAAATTGTTCCATATATCTTCTCCGTCTTTGAACGGGTTTGGGTTTTGTCCTGCCTTCCAGTCTATAATGCCCTATGTGCATCTCACCCCCTCTTGCTCAAGATCAAATGACATCAGATATCTCGCATTGCCATCCAAGCGGTATATTACTCGCAAGGCCATCAGTAAAATGTCAACTTTCTTTGAAGACCTTAACTCAGCTTATAACGATTTTAAGAGTGATTAAGATCGGTTTGGTGCCAAGGGACCTATGGATTTTCAAGACGAGAAAAGTTTGATTAAGGACACTCAATTTCTTGAATCTCACTGAGTACGACTTTGAACAAACTTGAACAACTCTTGAATTTTTATTAAGGCATTAAGAAGTAACTCCTAAGATGAAAGCAAGATATTTTCGAGAACCGGAACAAGTAGCATTAAATGAGAATAAGAAAAAGTCAGTGCTCCAAGTTGTAAAAGACGAAACACAATTCAAGACACAATTATCACCAAAACAAACTGAGCAGGGATGTGGAAAGAGTCTACAAGGAATTCATGATAGCTGGGGAAAACACTAAATGTATTTGATCATCTATGCACCCCAACGCAAAAAACCTGTAATGAGCATGAATGCGAGGGCACACATACAAGGAACACTTACACAGCCTAAACATCAGCTAGACGGGCTCGAGGGTCAGCACCTCCATCTGTACTTGTGGCCGGCTGTTTAGAGCGTCCTTTTCCAACAACGTAGGTGCTTGCTTTTGCCACTATGTCGTCCATCGTCTCTTGTTTGAGTGCTTTGATTGATGTAGCATAATAGCGAGTAGCCTCGCCCCAGTTCGTGTCAGAGAACGCCGCATGGCTACCGGTTGTTTTGCCAGTAGCCCTGTTGAGCTCTCGAACCGGCTTGACTTTCCGAGCTACGGAACCTACTTGGGATTGCGTTACTGGCGGGTCCCAGGTGATTTTTCTCTCAGCCCACATAGTAAATGCACGTTCAACCTATATTCAGGCTTTAGTAGAGACCTCGAAATGATGCTGGTTTTGTACTCACGGCTGCTGCGCTCATCGCTAGGGCCCCTACCGGTGGATACTTCTTAGTGTCTGTGGCATTACTAGGCACACTGTCAGCTCGCAATACCTCAACATCAATAGATGTGTTAACTGCTGCAAGGTGGGCCGCAAATGTTTGCAGGACAAATGGCGACCGAAAGAGACCACGAAATCCCTAAAAACAAAATGTGAGCCAAATATGATGTATTATGAGACCACATACCGAGGGATCATCCCCTATTTCTTCGTAGAGGTATGCAAAACCAGTGAGAACTTCACTAGCAAATTCTTGACGGGCGTGATAAGTTGTGTAAGCGGGATCAGATTCAAAGAAGTGCTCCACCATGGCCATGGCAGTAGAACCAAAACCACTTCGCCATTCCGAAAGACGTTGAGAGGCCTAAGAGCTAGTGAAAGAAATAACAAGACAAAAGACAAAATAAAACTCACCACAAGATAGACAGGGTCTTGTACAGTGATAGCGTGGCGAATGTTGGGATAGATAGCATCCCAGGCCAGTTGCATGGCCCAGACTGCCTTGGTGTCGCTAATGTTCCAGGGATTCTCGCAGGTCCCAACCCACTTCTCATACGTTGTGATAAAAGTGTTGCGCCAACGGCCACCCTCCATGCAACCCTCCGGGAGGTCAGAGTTTGTGATTTTTGTCGGATGTTCAACTTTGATGCGCTTTAAGGGAGGCTTAACACCATCTCGAAATTTAACGAGGTTCTAGAGAAGAATAAGGTCAGTAAAAAACAAACTTGAACGGTTAACTCACAGTGCTTACGGTACGCTTTCCCTTAACAGCCTCTATGTACTCTTCTATCTCAACTTCATCCTCAAGTCCACCCGCCCGATATCCAATACCAGTGCCTTCATTTGTAGCTGACCACGTATTTGATGTGGATTGTGAAGAGAGCACCCGTTTCTTGTTGTTCGGATGAGATGTGCAAGCAGTGGAGTCTGTAGTGATGGGAAAGAGTGATGAAACGTCCTGCGAGTTTGTGCTGAGTTCATCTGCTTCGTTTGTTGTAGCATAGTTTGGCTTGTGAACATTTTTTCTCCATGAATTGATGCCTACAGATTTGCTATAGGATGGATCCGACACATTTGAATTGAGGCGTTGGTAGAAAAATAGAGTTATTTCGTTGAGGCAAAGCAGTTGATCAGTCATTCTGTAGAGATCAGATGAAAGAAATGTGCTGACCTTCCACGTGGTCTTTGCGCACCATATTGGGGCTTAGCCAGCGTCAGGTCGGAAGCTGCACTTCCTTGTTGCCTTAAGGCTACAATGGCACCTCGAATGCCTGAGTCGTTGCCTGCTTTCTTCTTTTTCTTGGGGACGAGCTCCTCTATGTCACTCTCTTCCAAACCTCCATTGTTGTCTCCATCATCAGCTCCATCATCAATTCCTCCATCAACTCCATCATCAGCTTGGAAGTCCAGCTGAGAAGAACACATCATATCGATGTCTCTATCATCAATTCCTTCATTAACTCCATCATTGGTTTGAAAGTCCAGCTGAGAAGAACACATCATACCAATAGCTCCATCAATTCCTTCATCAACTCCGTTATCAACTCCATCATCAGCTGAGAAGAACACATCATACCTTGTTCGTCTTTTTTGCTCTCTTTGCTGCCTACTGATTCTTCTTCATCCTCGCTATCTGGGATGACCTTCAGGCTGCTTTTACGGCGTGCAAGATGGGACTGGCGCCACTGGGAAGGAATAGGTGCCACAGAATCTTCCCTGCCATCCTCGATGTCAGGGCTGTCTTTCTTACTTACCTGGCGCCGTTGGGAGGGAGGGAGCATAGGTATATTGTCTTCTATGTCTTCTCTGGCATTTTTATTTTCAACCTTTGCTGCAGCAGCAAGACCAAGCTTCATAGCTTGCACCAACTCCTTTTTGGTGAGTTTAAACTGTTCTTTCTCTTGCGCTACCTCCGCTCGAGAACGACGTTTTGGTTCCAGGTCAAGTAGAATTTTCCCGGGGTGTTGATGGGCATTTTTAGCACGAGTTACTGGGCGAGACATGGGGGGAAGATGGATGGACAAAGCTTTACGTGGAAGAGAGAAAACGGAGTTCAGGACTAATAGTAGGTAATTTTCAAATGAAATTTTCTGTGTTACTTCGGAACTAAAGCTTTCTCACACATAGTATGATTGCTCTTACGTTCTTTACTAGTAGACTCGAACAACAATGCCTCCCCAGATATATCATCACAAACCCGCCCGGCCACACCACAGCAGCTTAACTATACCCTGCGAGAATTCTCAGTGCAACCGCTGGTTTCGCAGTGTCTCCGGTTTGAAAAAACATGTGCGCTCTTGTCATGTCAGCGCCCCCAGCCATCCACTTCCTCCTGAGCACCCAGCACTTTCACCACCAGCTGAAAACGAACTAGAAAGCAACTTCGAACCATTTGACGGACAGGATGAGCAAGAAAATCCGCTATCCAATGAGCCATTAGAAGATCAGGCTCAATGTGAGATTGAATACCATCCTTTTCTAGATGGTATGTTGTCTATGTTTTCTAATGGGCGTTATTCCTGCTGAAAACTCACAGGACGGCCTTGTGATGAAAACGGGAACTTTCTACCTCCTGGAGCAAAACCTGTACTACCCGAAACCCCGTCAACCAATGATTGGTCCCCATACCGGGATCGTGTTGAGTTTGAGACGGCGGAACTCCTCTACAAAAAGGTACAGATGTCTGGGGGAGATATTAATGCCCTTGTAGATCTGTGGAGGGCCTCGTTCATCAAAAATGGTCTGGCTGATGAAGATGTCCCTTTTGCAAACAAGGACGACTTGTACCGAGTAATTGACTCGACTTCCGGCAGTGACGTGCCATGGGAGTCTTTCTCTCTCTCATATAATGGCGAGCTTCCCGAAGAAGACCCCCCAGAGTGGATGAAACAGGAATTTGATGTTTGGTTTAGGAGTCCGCATGCCATCATTCAAAACATGCTATCTAATCGAGACTTCTGTGGTGAAACCAATTTCATGCCTTACCGGAAGTTTAGCAAGAAGGGAGAGCGAGAATATAAAGACTTCATGTCAGGGGAGTGGGCCTGGAAGCAGGCCGACAAGATCTCCGTGGATCCAACAACCCATGGCTCATCATTCGTGCCTGTTATTCTAGGCAGCGATAAGACCACAGTGTCAGTTGCGACAGGCCAAAATGAATATTATCCAGTGTATATATCCATTGGAAATGTTCACAATAATGTCCGACGAGCACACAGGAATGCTGTTGCATTGCTGGGCTTTCTGGCCATTCCAAAGAGTTTGTTCTATTCAACAATATTTTTTCTTTGCGTATACTAAAGCTAACACCTTTTCAGCTGAGAAGAAGTATGCAAATGACGTCAAGTTTCGCAAGTTTCGCCGACAGTTATTCCACACCTCCCTGGCTCGCATTCTTCAAGATCTCAAACCCGGGATGCTAGTTCCGGAGGTTCTACGATGCACTGACATGCATTTTAGGCGTGTTATCTATGGTATTGGTCCATACATAGCTGATTATCCGGAGCAGGCTCTTCTTGCATGTATAGTTCAAGGGTGGTGTCTCGGTAAGTGGCTTTCTTATACGGTACTATTCAGACTAATATCTGATTCTCATAGCTGTATTGCCTGGCCTAACAATCTTGATGGCGAAGGTGGTCGGCGCTCAGAAGATCACACAGAGGTTCTTGCAAACTTCCTCAGTCCAGTGGTTTTGTGGGACCAATATGGTATTGTTAGCGACATAGTAGTGAGTCTTTTACATTCGAACGAATCCTGTTCTTTCTCATTTGCCAACCCTTTTACATTCGAACGAATCCTGTTTTTTCTTGTTCACCAACCCACACTCAAACAGCCATTCACACATGATTTCCCTCGTGCCGACATACATGAAATTCTGGCTCCTGATCTTCTTCACCAAGTCATCAAAGGTACTTTTAAGGATCACCTTGTGACTTGGGTAGAGGATTACCTCCATCTAACATATAGCAAGAAGCGGGCTGACGAGATTTCGGATGACATTGACCGACGGATTGCAGCAGTTCCCTCGTTTCCTGGCCTTCGACGATTTCCTCAAGGCCGTGGATTCAAGCAGTGGACCGGCGACGATTCAAAGGCTCTCATGAAGGTGTACCTCCCCGCTATTGAAGGGCATGTCCCCCCAGACATAATACGCACATTCCAGGCTTTTCTCGACTTCTGTTACTTGGTACGGCACGATACTCACAGTGACAGCACCATCCAGAAAGTGCAAGATGCCGTCAAGGATTTCCACCACAGCCGCACCATTTTTGAGACACTAGGTGTCCGACCAACAGGGTTCTCTCTCCCACGACAGCATTCACTACAACATTATCCATGGCTCATTCGAATGTTTGGGTCTCCAAACGGCCTCTGTTCGTCAATAACGGAATCACGACACATTACGGCTGTAAAAGAACCATGGCGCCGGTCAAGCAGATTTGAAGCACTTGGTCAGATGTTGCTGATCAACCAGAGGCTCGACAAACTTGCGGTCTCTAGGGTGGACTTTACAGCCCGTGGGATGCTTTCAGGCAGTATCCTAGACTATGTAAAGAATTATCACAATGATGCAATGGAGGCTACAAGAGCTCTGGATACAAGAGCGGAGCACCACAACACCGAAGACAACAACAACGGGGATAGTGGGCCGGTCCCAGGTCCATTGACACCTGGCTATGTCAAACCATCGGTTCGCCGTTGTACGTTTTATTTCACTGCTATTTACATGTATATTATACTGATGGCTATCTTTTTAGTGCGTCAATATTCAACAAACTGCCACAAACTCAGTGTGCAGCTCAACCAACCCCGCCTTGTTGAGTTACTCCGGCGCTTCCTTTACAGCCAAGCGCACATGAACAACCATGACGCGCCCTCAGCCTTTAATATACCCCTGCACCAATGCCCCATGTTCAATTCGAGGGTAGTTGCGACGCACTCGGCAGTCGCATATTTCTATGCGCCAAGCGACTGCAGTGGAATCGGTGGTATGCGCCGAGAAACAATTCGTGCCACGCCTTTGTGGCGAAAGCATGCGGCTCGTTACGACTGTGCTTTTGTCGAGCGCGATCCTTCAATTCCAGGAATCCGAGGACTCGATGTCGTTCGCATTTTTGCATTCCTTTCTTTCTCACATGATAATACTACTTATCCATGTGCTCTTATACAGTGGTTCTCTCATATTCTGGATGAGCCTGATGAACTCACTGGGTTGTGGAAGGTCCAGCCTGATACAAATGACGATGGATCACCCAGTCTCGAAATTATTCATTTAGACTGTATCTTTCGTAGTGCACATCTCATGCCTGTATTCGGCGATTATGGTCATCGGTTCATCCCATCTGACATTGATTTCACTAACTCACTAGATAAATTTCCTACGTTCTACATTAATAAATATATAGACCATCATGCCTTCGGACTTAGCCAAGGATGATTCATAACTTGTCAAACTTGATTTTATACTTCATGTACTTGGACCACGCTTGGATAACACTTTGCTCAAAATGTCTGAATGCTTCTACTTAGACCAGCCTACGTGTCTAAATGAAGTTGAAGGTGAATTGGCTCGCTTTCTTGTTCACTTGATAGAGCTTTAATTCCTTATATTTCTTGAACAGTCTTGAAAGTCAGCAAAGCGTGACCAAGTTCCGTCAAGAAATTTGACACTTTACTGATGAACGCACGCTTTCATATCATGTCAAGTGATACTCCAACAACAACGTCGAATGGTTGCTTTTGAACACGTCTCCTCTAAAATACGATGCCAAGTTGAGACCTTGAGGTTCAACACACATCGGTATCTGCTATACGTATACAAGGGTGATCGTGGCTTGCGTGATGCGTCTGTTTTTGTCCGCCTCATAATCTGTGAGTTTCATCTTTGTTCGGCCTCCACGGCGCTGGTATTGTCCACTCGGACAGTATTTGATATCTTGTAAAAGGCATGTTAGAAAGTTCTGCATAAAAGTACTAAATTGACGCTTAAATCACCTCGCAGGTACCACAAAATGGATGGGTTTCGTTCATACCTTCAAGCTCAACTACTAGTCATTGTATCCCAACCTCGCCCATCAAAATCAAATTATCACTCCCAACTATTACACTGCTTTTTTTTAGCTACACACGTTCTCCAATACGCTAAGGCAGACCCCAGCCACATGTTCGAAACGCTGTTCGGCGCTTTTACCTTGGAACTATGATACCTACAACAAGGTCTAGAACACGCCGATATGTGTCGCGACTCGTGAACGCCATTGCACGACGCAACTGTCTTCATCCCCCTTGAGCTCTGCTGTCTCCTCAGTTTTGGTTGGACTTGTATGGCGGTGATATCAACCACTTGCTCGCGTACTCAATACCATACCGCGATTGGAGGTATGGAAATTTTCTTTACATACGAGCACTGGATTCATGCGAACTGCCTTGTAGATAACAAAAAACTTTCTCTCTTCTTGCACTCATGGTGCTCTACAACAAATGATGTGCATCGCATCCTTACCTAGCGAAATCAACTCATGTACAGCTATCCTCTTATACGTAAAGAAAAGGACGATCACGATATCGAAGCCCTGCTTGGAATGGGTGCCTTTGCTGTGGTACCAGAACAACGTCCTGTTGCGTATACCCAGCTCCAGTATTGGTTGGAAGTCGAACCCGCTCCATAACGTACGCGTATGATCGTCTGAGTCACCCTTGACTTTCTGTTAGTGTTTGGTATCGATCAAAGGTTCGCTAAATTTCTCTACATATTGGATTCATTTTTGACGATAGGACGGGATTTGGTTTCGCACATACTCCTATGCGATGTCGGTGCTATAGTTGCCCTAATATACCTTATATCTTCCCTGCTGGCAGGACCAACTCTTATCAATCAGCCTCGGGTTCAAACAACTTGGAAGTATCCCAACTGCATGGATAAACTGTAACCCCCACAACAAGGCCCTGGCGTCTACAAGCCCAATAAGAACATGCCAATACCCCATCGAGTATCGCTGAATCATCGCATTCATGATACAGTCCCATCGTCCGCGGTTCTCTTCGCTTCATCTCCCGATCCCTTGTACGACATCCAATGCCATGATGATGTGCAGGTATGTGCAGTGCTCGGTACGGTGCGACGTCTTTCTTCCGTATCAGATGTGTTACTTGACTTGGCAGATCACTGAGGACGCGACGTTGATGATGAGCGTTTGCATTTTATTTCGCTTTCTGCAGTGTACGTACACTGCATGTGTCATGGATGAGCTGTTTGAGGTTACGCACACAGTGAATGAATACCTATCTTGCCCTTGCATTCTGGAGCGTCATGACGGAACAAAAGGGGGAAAGCGCGCAGGCCATCACGTCTGGGGGTCCAAGTCTGCACCAAGGATCAAGCTAGGCTCCCGGGGCAAAGTCCACCGCAACCCATGATCACGAGCACCCTCCCCCACACGCCCACCCTGTCCAGGTCGCCGCTGCCCACCTGACCACCTTCGCAAGTTCGAATACGGTGAAGTTCCTCGGTACTCCCCGCGGCTGCTGTGATCAGCGGTTCATTCGATCAGGCTCCAACGATATCAAGAACGAAGTGGAAGACGAGAATAAGGCGATGATCTCGACCCGAGAATACCGGGCTAGAGTTGAACATGGTCTGCCAATAATAGACGAAGGACCGTTGTTCTAGCGCTATTCCTCGGATTTGGTAGGGGTATGGGCTTGAGCGTGGCTGAGCGCTGAGTGCTGAGCGTTTCAATGTTCAGTGAACAAGGCGCTATTCAGCATGTCATGTGCACCTGCAGTCTAAGCGCTTGGTATACGTCAAGTCTATGTTGAGGATATTACTGTTACCCGTATACTGACGGCATATGCGTTTCGTGAAACATCAGCATCAGCCCATTTTGTGAAACCATGATCGCGAACTTTTGCTCTGTTTTTGGTGATCCATTGAGGCTTCTTGAAAGAAATGATGAACTTGGGATAACACCTGCCGGCTGAAGCGCTGAAGGCTCGGCACAAATGGAGTGTCGATGATACGTTGAACCATGTAACATCATATTGTGATCTCTCACTCGTTCTACCAACTCTCGGATCTATGTGCAGTGGGCCTTTCTTACCCCTGGCATTCTCATTCCCCTGAAGCCCTCTCATGGAACGGTCCAGCTTCGGGGCACTTGCTGTTCTACACATGGGGCACATCAACAATGGATTCAACCATGCACTGCGATAAACGTTATCATTCCACGTTGGCGTCTTGTACAGTATAATTGACCCGGGCATTAACGACGACGTACTCCACAACAATGTCCACAATACAAACAGATTATGATAGCAAAAAGCATCGTATCAACTTCGTAACAGTCGTAATAGTGCTATGTAATATAGTCAAGAAGATTGTTCTAAAATGTTCACAAAGTCCAGCAACAGAAAAAAGGTCCATCTCGGCTAAACAACCAGTCCGAAAAAGAAAGAAATAGTCATGCAGCAATCGTCCTAATTAGTAATGTTCATGGAGACATTGTGGAACTCCATGTAGGGGTTGTATCCAGCCTGTAATAGTGAGGTTAAGGCAGGAATTACAATGAATTGGGAATAGGAAACTTACGCCAATGAGTGCAACGTGAGTGACCGACAACAGAGCAGATCCATTTTGGAAAGAGGGTGGTATCTGAACTGTGAAGTTCTGGTTGGGCTGCTGGTGCATTGGGTTGGGGTTGGGTTCTACTGGGCTGAAGTTTCCATTGTAGAGGATAGTTCCGAGCCACTCCGACGGAGGTAGACATGCCCTCGTAGCGCAAGACTGGAGAGCGATGACGACGGCTACCTCTTCAGAACCCGACAAGGAGTTCTATAACAAGCTCAGTAAAAAAAGGAATCGATTGACTGTGACGAACAAGGAGACTCACGGGGCGCTCAACGTCAACGGTAAAGTTACTGCCAGGGGAAAGTGATACGCCATTCGAAGGTGCGGTGACGAACACGTTCTGGGCATAGGCAGCAGTAGCGAACAAGGATCCGACGATGAAAGGGATGAATCTCATGGCGATTAGTGACAGAAAGTTAAGAGAGTAGTAGTGGTGATATGTTTTCTGGGTGGAGAACGAAGATGGAAAACATACGAATTTTAAATGGGTATTTATACTATGTAGGGCGTATGGCAGTGGCGGAAATGACCCCGTTGGATTACGTAGAGGAAAAAAGGAAAATATGCACCGCCCGAGGAATAAAGCGGAGTGGGCATGCAAGCGGGCATGGTTGACCGAAAATGAACGGGGACAGGAGATCATGGGACGCCCGTGCAGAAAGAAGCCCCACTTCGCGGTGAACACGTTTAGACCAGAAGTCAGCTTTTGCGAAGGAATCAATAATCATGATGCGGCAGTGGGGCTGCACCGGGTACAGTATGAAGGCAGCCAAAGCGATACTGAGAGCTTGAATGGTATCTATGCCCAAAACCTACGTTCATAAGATGAGACAGAGAAATGCCATGTTTACACCTGACGTTGCAATGGCAGCTTTCTTTTACATTAATGCCCTCAAGAGGAAAACGTTTGGTTCTGTCCTGGTAGTTTTGGAGTATGAATGTACATGGGTTTTTAAACAGGTTACGTCATGCAAACCCTATTCTACGCCGGCCTTGAAAAGTTGGTTGCTTTTCGTCGATCCTTCCTCTCTGCCTCGAGGACTCAACGTTCCCACCACCACCCTCGAATGCGAACAAAAAACGCTTGCAGTTGCTTAGGACCTCCCCCCACCGTGGTAGAATCTTGCTAACTGGAGTAGCAGTCGTGCTAGAAATCACTCTAGTGCGATCAGTGAGGTCGTGTCGTCAAAAGCTCACTCAAAGCACTAAATGTCCCGCATCTTCAGGCTCAAATACATTACCGTGTTCGCGATTTCTGCAAGCCCGTTAGCACACTGTTGGTCACCGGCAGTGCCGTTCAACGTTCGACTTGAAGATAGATGGAACTTGGCAGTACTAGTACTATGGCTCTGCCATGTTGCTGATCCCGCTAAATAGATGTATCCGCCCATACCTCGTCTGCTCGTACGAGACACAGTCTTAGTAAGAGTTGACAAGATGTGATTCGTCAACCCACTCAGTAAACTCACTCACCTCATCGCTTGTGGTTTCTAGAGCACAACTGCACGTCAGTCGTTCCTCCCAGCTACATGATATATAATGGACCCCAATGTCGCCATTCAAATATCAAGGTTACAATTCAGGTTCCCCCTTTTCAAGGCTGGAACTATTGGCTTGGTGTCGATCACTAACGCAAGACCTCGTCCTGTTCAATTGTAGCCATAGTTGTATGCGCTATGCAATACTGTTCAAGTCTCCCCCGAAGGTAGCGCTTGATCTTGAAACAGCTTTTGTAACGGCATCACAATTTAATCCTGGAACTGATGTTTCAAACATATTTTTACTACGATCCAAGCAGTTGGACAACATACCTAGTCATTGTTTCCCTCATTCAACTATCAGTCTTTGAACACTGTACTAAGTACGAGTGTCATGCATGTCATGTCCGAATTGCACCGAGCATTAGACCGGAGTATGAATGTGATTACGTCATCGTCTATTTTGGACGCCCTTGTTCTGCTCCAGCCATCTTCGAACGTTGGCGAGCTTTAGGTTCTGCCTCATGCATCAAGCGTTCCAAACATGCCCTAGCGTCTGGCAAGTTATTGCATGAACACGTGCTCAAGCTCTATTCCAGTCCTACCACCCACAAAGGCGTCTTTTGAAATCATCTTTCGCCTTCACAGGATGTTGCCAATTGTGATTTGATTGACGGGATGTAATGCCCAGGCCATGGAACAACCCTACTCATCCTCGAAACTTCCCGGAAATCCCAACAAATCCAGTGCATCTTATCGCCGGCATCTCCTTCCAAACAGGCACCACTGGTTCTGCCTCACTCCGGCTCACCCATCACCGTGTTTACGGTTGGAAATAGGACCGACAACGTAAGGCCGTCATTGTTATTTTTTGAAACGCACAGCTTATATTTGGGTCCCCTGTATAAAAGGCTTACATTTCTATTATTTTAAACACCAGCTCTCCTCTACGACTTCGCTTTAGCTTATTCTAAATCCACTCCATAACCCAAGTCATGTTCAAGTCTATCATCTCCCTCGCTCTCTTCGCTGGTGCTGCTTTCGCCCAGAATGTCGCGATTGCCCACCCCGCTCAAGGCGCCTCGGTGGCTCCAGGTAGCACCTTGATTGTTCAGCTTGACAAGCCAGTAAGTGAAAATCATTTATATGTTCACGTCCTTTGCTAACAGTTAAACCTCTGTTTGTAGAACTCTCTGTCTCCTTCTGAAGAAGTTGCTGTTGTCATCGGCATTCAGTCTTGCTCTAAATATGCCTGCTCCGCTCCTGCCGATATTTTGGGTGAAATCTTGTACAACGGAGCTTACAACCCCGTGTACCACGAGCCCCAGTTGCCTCCTTACCAAAACATCTCCGTGACGATCCCAGCTTCATTCCCTAATGGAACTGCCCAGATCGGCATTGTTCACGTGAACCTGATCGGCGTACGTATTTCTGCCCCTGGTTATGCTGTTGTAGTGCCTTGCTTGTCGTAACATTCTGACATTGACGTTCTTTTCTTTCAGGCTGGTCCGATGCCCAACCTCCAGACTCTGAACCAGACGATCACGATCGCTTAAAATCAGGGATATGGGCCATTTGAAGCAACGACTAAAAATGAAAATATGAACAATTTAGCATGGGGTTTTCTTGATTATACTGGACATTATGATAGGACTATCTGACATTACATGATATGGGACTTTATATTCACAATGCACTTTTACTCTAATACTTTTTACCAGAGCTTGTTGTTATCCTAAACCAACGAACGATTTGGACATCAGAACTCTTGTCACTCCCACAGTTTGATAGTGTGAATTTCTGAAGACCTTACAGCAGATCAAGTGTGATCAGGAAAATATGTATCGAACATAGCCATATCATGTGCTTGCGTAATCAGCTGGAAATCATGAGCGCCTCAGGCCATTGCACATGACTAGATAGACTCTTTGGAATACCGCACCTCGTTCTCCCTACCCGCCCAGTCAAGTCTATCAGTACCACCTTCGATTCAGTGAACAAGACGTTGTTGGGTGGACGCAAGTCTCCAAATACAAGACCTTCACGGTGAAGATGGATGAGCGCCTCCTTGATCTGGGCCCTTGTATCCCGTGGCCAGGCGGCAGGAGAGATTGCGTGGGCGTGCTCTCCTTCGATGAAATCCATCACCACTATCCTGAGCGGACCGACGTATGGGCCACTGCATTTATGGGCGCCGCATGTGTCGTTGGCGCTTCTAGAGTCATCTTCACCGTCGAGGAGGCCGCAGAACAGGAGCTCGGGAGCGATGCCATGACGTGCCAAGCACGCATGTGCAAGTACGCCATACCGATCCACAAATTAAACCATCAACATTTTTTGGCCGATCCGAAATCGTTTCAGCTCGGAAAGTGACGTTCGTCGAGTCGTCCTCCAGCACGTCGAGGTATTTGAAAGATGTGGAGGAGCTGGAGCCGTGCTGGGTGGGGGTACGGGAAGTGGCGGGGATGCGGTGAGGTGGGAATCAGCGTGAGGTGGTCGTCGTAGGATGTACTGAGGGGAACTGTAAAGGTGCGCGCGAGCTGATAAAGATGCCCGTCTTCGTGTGTTCTTGCTTCGCCAAGCCACATAATATCAGCTGGACGATGAACTTATCGGTCCAGACAACACCGAGGATGGAGAGATAAGGACCTGAACCAGCGATGATAAACGTCGGACAGCAGCATTTCTCTAGAATGGAGGAGAGCTATTCTACCAATGAGATTTTGTGGTATGTATGGCAGCTGCAATACTCATGCAGTCGTCCATGGCGCTAACGGCATCCTCATCGGGCTCACATAGGGGATCGTGGATGCTGTTAAGGAACTGCGCGAAAACGGGATGAAATAATTCGATGGGGGGTGCGATGGTAACCACAGCCGGTGTATCTTGGGGGCCAACACAAGCATATAAGCCATCGTCAATCGCGGTGTTCCGGCTTTTTTGAAGTCTGAAGTGTTCTATGGATATGGATTCAAGTTTGGCGCATCTGGACGTTGCCATCGACGTAACTCGTTTTCTTAGAGTTCTGATTCCTATTGTCCTGTGAAGTTTTAAAAAGGAGGCACGTAAAGGTGTAAGATGTAACACACGATGATAGAGTCCGTGCAATGGTAGCTCCCTTGCCTCATCGTCCTTTTGCCATTCGAGCCTCCTGAATTCGTCGTCAGATAGCTTGTCGGGTGTGACGATGAGATGCAAATCATCTTGATCCAGATTTGTTCCAATAACTTTGTCAAGGGATTTAATAGGTTGCTGAAATTCTGCAACGCCTTTTAGATTAGTGGTTGCGATCCAGTCTAATGTGATTGACTCGATGTCAATCTTTTTGGTTGGCTGAAGAGCAATGAATGGGCCATGAGAAACAGAAAAGACATTTTATTTCCTCACTTTCCAGAAGTTTACAGACGGTGTACGAACACGACATTTGAAGTACGTCAGGATTTCTTGGTCCATAATTCACTGTGGCGTGATTGTAAAGAATCGTAAAGGTAAAGAGTCATAGCCATCTACATCCATATGCACACTAGACATTGGATTAGCCTCATCGAAATACCAGTATAGCCAGTTAACGCGGGGGAATGGAGTCGTGATGAGGTCACAGAATGTTGCGTGATGGACGGGATGTAATGCCCAGCTGTGCAAGAACCGGTGCTACTATCCTTAAAACACCACTGATTTTACCTCACTCCGGCACACCATCACCGTCTTTGCAGTAGGACCGACAACGTAAGGCTGCCATCATCATTTTTTGGAATGCACAGCCTATATGTGGATCCCCTGTATAAAAGGCTCAGGTATATTCAGCATTTTCAACATCATTTTTCGTCTACGACTTCCCCTCTAGCATAGTCTAAATTCACCCCATAAAGCCATGTTCAAGTCTATCATCTCCCTCGCTTTATTCACTGGTGCTGCTTTGGCCCAGGGTATATTATTTGGCAGCCCCGCTGAAGGCGCCTCGGTGGCTGCGGGCAGTGATTTGATTGTTCAGCTCGAGAAGCCAGTAAGTGAAATCATCTTCATATTCACGGCCATTTGCTAATGGCGAACGTTCTACCCATAGAACTCTCTGTCCTCGTCTGTGGAAGTTGCTGTTGTCATCGGCATCGAGTCGTGCTCGAATCAACCTTGTCCTGCTCCTACGGATATGATGGGTCAACTTTTGTATAACGGGCCTTACAACCCCGTGGCCCACGAGCCTCAGTTGCCTCATTATCAAAACATCTCCGTGACGATCCCAGCTTCGTTGGCCAAAGGAACTGCTCAGCTCAACATTCTTCACGTGAATTTGATCGGCGTATGTATTTCTGTCTTTTGTGACGTTGATATAGTACCTTCATTCTGACATATGACGTTCTTTTCTCTCAGGCTGGTCCGATCCCCAACCTCCAGATTCTGAACCGGACGATCACGATCACTTGAATCAGGGATATCGGACGGTAACGGCTGAAAATGAGAATTTGGACATTGACACGGGATTTTTCTTGTGATACTGGACAATCTGATAGAATCATCTGGCATTACATGGTATGGGACTTTACTCACAATGCACCTTGTTTTCAATGTTTTTACGATAATAATGTACCTTTTTTTGGATGATCAAATAGTAGCATGTTTGCTTGCTTTGACTATAATAATCTCTTGGGATCTAGACTTTGGACGTTGAACATGTTCAGTGAAATTAGATTTAGATTAGTGGCAGCTATAGTCACTAAAATTATCAACATCTCGAGGTCAGTCAGTTGAACATGCTGGATTCCGAGTATACAAGCACTGCACTGCCTGCAAATTTCTCCTGAAGATCATGTATCCCGAGTCTGACGCACGGTATTCAACTCGAATAGACAATGTGGCATTGGAAGGACGATGGACTGTACGACATCGTGATTGCTTGCCACCAGGCACAAGAAGACGACGGCTATGATGGGCGATAACATATCAGACTCGAATCTGACAAGCCTGTCATTTGTTTGATAAGCCTTGCCTCCAATCCAATCAGGTTGTGTCGGTCTTTGACTTCTGACATGTTCTTTACCACCTTCATTAGTGAACAGACGGCCTTCGTCTTATTCAACGCGAACCTGAAAGCGTGATCCACAAATCCGAGGATGATCCCTTGTGAGACCGTGAATGGTGAATAGAGAGCCGATGGTTGTCAAGCTCAAGTTCGAGATCGTGTCAAGGGGAACACGGAGGCCTGTGCACGGTTTACTTCAACGATGTGACTGTAGACGCCAGGAATGTACTGGCTTCAAGTAGCTCTTCATCTGAAATATCATGATAGAGGTCGAGTCCGCATTGCCATACCGCTTTTGCGAAATGTGCGTTGTTGAGTTGAAGGAAAGATTATCATAGAAAATGAATCCATGGCCATTGACTGACAACTGTCTGGATCAGACGAAACCGTGACACGCGAAAGTCGGAGTCGAAACAGAATAAGCTTCCAGGCGATCCTGCTGATGAAATCTCTCACCATCGTTTCATTCCAAGTCAGTACCGACATATCCTTCCGAGTACTCTATCACCATCCCCCTCGCCCAGCCTTGCTATCACCAAAGGCACTGCTATAGCTTATTGCGGTTCTATCCAACGCCGACAAGCGCTAGCAGGAGATGAGTCTGGCCGTCGCGGTGAAGATGGAATTTCATCACCGTCCATCTGCAGCGTGGTACATAATATCATGTAAGTTACAGCCTCACAATGATGACATCTGCCATAAAGTCAGGACATACCATACGGATGGATACAAACGGGTGTTTTGAGTGCCGTAGTGAGGCCCCATAGCGGATAGGTCAATTGCTGAACTCGTTCAGACACCGTCCAGAAACGATGATGATAATGCGCGCAAAACCCGCGTTCCTTTACGCAAGATTGCAATGGTATTTCCTCATCCAACTGAAAGAACGGCGAGCACACTGGCGTTGGTGCCGAGCGTCAAACCGTTCGGTCTGTTCCCGATGTTTTCAAATCGGACAATTCAAGCACACCGAGCACGGCTTTGTTTACACTCACGGCTTTTTTCTATGTCACTAGGAAACGATACGTATTCATGGCGGCGAAGTCGGCATACGTCAAGTTGATTTCTCTCAAGTCAGCCTAGCTTTTCATTCTCAAGGCCCGCATCTGACCACCAAAGAGCTGTGCAAATGACGTATTCAATGCGTCCTGGTATGGCCCTGGTCTGAGCGCTGACGGCCTGTAATACCCCGAATTGCCTGACCTACCCATCGAGCCATCATTCTTGTGGTTGTGTGTCATCGTCTTTCAATATCTGCTGACAGATGGCTAAGCCGTTTTGAAGTATCGGTCACCGTTAGGCACGGTCCTCTGCATTTAGAACCGCACAGCTTAGGACCGACCAACATATAAATGGCGGACGATTTTGGGCTTGATTCCTTCACCAAGCATAATTAAGAGTATACCATCCTTATAATCAACAGCTATCTTATGATGTTCAAGAGAATCCTCTCCCTCGCGCTTTTCACCAGTGCCGCTTTTGCTCAAAGTATTCGCATAGGCTATCCACCAGAAGGAACTAGTGTTATTGCGGGGAGCAATGTGACCGTGCAAATTCAACTGCCTGTATGTCATGGATCGTTCTTCATGGATAGCGGAAATCCTGACGTTCCACTTTGTGATAGCCTACACTTACCAACACACAGCCTATATCTGTTGCAATTGGACTGCAGTCGTGCCCTAGTGGGAATTGCTTGCCCGTCGCAGATATACTTGGAGATCTTCTTTATGCTGGCCCTATCCAGCCTGTATATGGTCCTGGAGCATACTACCCGTACCAGAACTTCTCCGTCACGGTACCCCCCACAATCGCAAATGGTACAGCTCAGATTGGTGTCGCCTACTTTTCCCTTATCGGTGTAAGTGTATATTTGTGGAGTATACTAGTTTGCTGATGGCATCATTTTCTTGTTAGGCTGGACTGTATCCCTTTTTCCAACTTTTGAACGAAACCGTTAATGTTGTGTAGTTTACGATGGACAATTGCCGTCTCTTTATTCCTCTAAGTATGTAGCTCTCACAAGTTTATGAGATGCCGTTGAGTCCATGTCAGGACCGCCCGCACTGGTGTCAAGAGTAAAGATCCGAGCTGGCAATGCCAGTGTGAAGTCCTTATCCAATGGGGCTATTAAGTCGTTGTGCCATAATTATTGGGGTGAAAGTGATAAAAAAAACAGCGTCGACTGCTACGCTGAGATCGAAGCTTGCAATTCGCTTTGCTAGGTCGTTTAACGTAAGCGTTCTGCCTTGCGGTTCAGTTTATCAGAACGAGAACGAAGTTCTCATTCGGTTTAAGGTCTTGCTAGTCTTGACTACAGTTACTTTAAAGTGAATTTATGATATTAATGATATGCCGATATTTCGACGAATTACACGCACAGGGGCTTGACGTCAACTGGCCTTCGACCAGTTAATAATGAGAAAATCTTTAAACAGATACAGTTAGACTCTGACCGAGTCGCATGCCGGTGTCGGCATTGCGAAATTATTAACACTTCGTTTAGTCTCCTGTACGTGTACTTTCACGTGTTGATTTATCGATGTTAATTAAATTGTAACTGACCCTAGTACTGTGCTACAGTAGAACTGGTACTCTGAGTATGAAATACGACTCTTTCTCATCTTCCCACAACCTTTACCACCTATCCACCGTGACTGGCACTGGCAAATTTCGTTCTCTTCAGGTTTCTCAGCGGGACAAAGGATTGGCATTGGTGAGTTGACCTATCACTGGCGGCCTATCAACACGGTGGTCACCACATACCATATTGCTCTAAACATGTGCTCAATCTTTCACGGGTTAGGAGAACTGACAAACTTATGTCGCAATGCTGGTAGCGGTACCGCAGTCCTTCGCCAACGACCTTATCATAAGGCGGTACGTACCCCTTACCGCATCATGTACCGTGACATTGGCTCGGGATGGCCAGTGCTGATCCTTCGTTCATTTCGGCCCATACAGAGTCTTTAGTGTCGTGGGCTACACAATTCTTGTTTGGGATTTCATCCTCACTTTGAGCAGAGAGGTGAGGATACATTTTCGAATGGCTTTACGCGCATATGACTATGGTCTTATTAGAATTTTTTTTAGATCCATTACATATGGGCCCCAAAAATGTCGACCGTCAATCTCGTTTTCCTCGCCAATAGGTATGCGAACCTCATCTGTCAAACAGTGATTATCATGCAAGAGTTGGCTATCATACGAGCACCATCTCATCAGGTTAGTCTTCATCCTGACTAATAAAAACACCCCAAAAAGCAACTAGCAGTTTGCACTATCCTAACAGCTACAATACTTCTCATATTAATTATCTCATTTCTACAGTTTTGCTCAAACTTCAAGTCGTTCATGGCCATCTATATAATAGTATCGACTGAATCAATACACAGTCAGTTTTTATGTTTTTGGAGTCACGTACAAGTTCCTTACAGACATGTTATTTCTCTCTCAAGTCTTGGTGCTCTTGCGGGCGTGGGTTTTCTGGGGATGCGAACGGCAGAAAGCAGCTATTCTGGTTACGATATATGGAGTATACATTCTTGGCATAGTCGGGGTCACGGCGTGGTGCATGAGTGTCCCACGAGGTGAGCATCCGTATTTTAAGTCATTTTACGGCTAACGCAAGGGCATAATAAAGCTCTCACAATCCATTACAGGGAGGCCGTGGGCACCTGTGTTTATACAGTTGCGCGTATGTCATTTATATTATTCCTGGTTAATATTACTCACTTACAACTTCATCAATACTCGTTGATGTTTCTGTGCAGCATACTCGGTAAGTCAAAGATGATCTGTATACTCCATATAAATTCAAATGAGCTATTCGCTACAGTGGTCTTTCTGGGTCATAAGGTTAGCCATCTACACATAGTGATATCGGTATACGGTGCTAATAGGATTGATTAGCATTATCCTCGACTCGAGTGTTTTTCTAGTCACCATGAGAAGCTTGAGGTTTTATTCCGAAAGCCACCGGGAAAGATATCCAACGCTTTTGCTTCGCTTACTCTATCGAGACGGTGCGTTTGGCCTTACAACTTACGCTTAATAGTTGACTAATGCTCTTATTAGCTGTCATATTCTTTACAGTAGGCTTTTTTGATAACCTTTGGTTTGGACAGTCCCAGCTCATGCACACAATCTTCATATTGCACGGAAATTCTACCTCGACTAGTTTAGTATTTTAAATAGTGCTCTTGTTATTTTTGCATGGTGAGTACAGGTTTTCCGGCGTGTACCTTATATAGTACTCAATGTGAACCTAGGACTGTTTTCTCTGATGTAAGTTTCTCAGATAAAGTCCCTTCAAGTTCACAGGCTCACCCTTCGCTGGCGGTGTTACAACATAGGGTCCCATAAACAACATCCCCGTAACGTACGTCCATATTATTTGCTGACCCTGCAGGTTAACATTGCTTTGTTGGATGGTCCAGGTTTACTGTCCCTCTCCTCAATATCGCTGGCCAGCGGCTCGTTTTGAACTTGCGCTCGACAATGGCACATTCACAGCGGCATGCTATGGATACCACCCGGCTGGATCAAGAAGTGAGCCGCCAAATTCGGGCCTTTGTTGGCGTCGAATCAGATCCGATGCTGAGTGGCCATGAATGCAACTGCGCCCTTGGATGCGAGTGCGTTTGCGACGACCAGGATGTTGCTCTGCCTACTTCAAGTTCATGCTGCGAGCATCAGCTAGCAGAACGGGTTGAGAGACAACGGCTTGGGGATGTGGAACTGACTGAAGTAGCTGATAGTGAAGATGTTGATAGCTATTACGCGAGAAATTCCTGAGTGTGTGTAGATATACTTATAACTGGTTAATTGATAGCATTGATTTATGCTGCGGTGCAATTCTAATAATTCTTTTAATTGCTCAGTGTACGTTCTGCTTTTTGGAGGAACGGAGGCATACACGGATTTAGTCAGATGAACTAGAGAAAAATTGCATTGTTATGAGGTTAGAGGGTCTCGGGGACGACCTCATACACTACACTCAAAAGAGGAGTCAATTATGAACGTTTCACAGAAGGCATTCCATGGGTATCAAGAGATTGTTTGTAGAGCTACTGGGATAGGTTCGCCAAGCTCACGGGCCATCGTGTCCAATGAATAGTAATTAGGATAGTACCGAAAATATTTTGTTTTCGGTTAGCCTCACTGGTGCAATAGCTTATCAAAACCTTCTACTGTCCATTGCACCGCTTTCTTCACAGGTGCCACCTGATCCAAGAAACTGGAACACCCAAGCATCCCCGCCCTCGTCCACGCATCTACCATCAAGTTCCCCCATAACATCATCCACGCCATTGTCCACAGCCACCCTACCCAGCCTCCTACGCGCCGTCGAGTCACACGCTCAAACGCGGCTTCGAGTAATATACCGACTCCCATCATCCCAAACGAGACCAACGTGGGCCATGCATCGACTTCTGCGTCTATAGCGAACGTGGCAATATGATGGTACACCCCAGACGCGAGAAAAGCACCCATAACTACCCCAGCGCGTCCCCCTACGAAGCCAAACCAACGTCCTATGAATACAAAGCTTTGACGGAAGAACTGATGCCATCTTCGCCCCCACATTTCTTTAAGGGATGTTGCACGCCATGGTTTGTCAAAGATAGGAGGCCATTGGGAAGGATCGTGACCGAGGAAAAATATGCTCACGAAAGCACCGAAATAGTACCCGCAATGCATGAAATTGAAGATTACAAAGGCAGTGAGTGTGGCAATGATGCTGGAACGGGTATACCGTAGCAGAGGCGCGAGAGAAGGGTCAAATGTAGTGCCACCTGACGAGGAGCCAATTGTTTCGGGAGAAAAAGACTTTACAGCGGTGTGCAGAGTGCCACATATGAACGTATACCAAACAAAGAGCATGAAAGTCGAAGCCAGGAAACGGACTTTCGAGCCTGTTGGACGCGTATCCGGCGGTATGTAAAGACCTCGTGACCAATTCCAGCCAACGCCCCGAAGACTGCACACTAGATCAAGAGCATTCATAAATAGGTTAGAGTACTCTGGCACGGCCTCAGCTTTCGTCCCCAAACCCTCCTTGTTGAAAGAGTATCTGACTGCTTGCCGGCGATATGGTTCGATTTGAGAAGTCCACTCAAGCGTACGTACAGTGATCAGGAATATCACTAGCTGTTATGGGCATCGATATCAAGATGGTGGCCAAGTAAATAAACAGAAAACACTTACATGCTTTAGCGCATCCAGCGCCTGATCTGTAATCAAGACCGCACGAAATACCGCAAGCACCGTTATTGGAAGCAAAATGATGCGAATAGGTTGGGTACGGGGAAGAAGTACAAGGACTGCTGTTGTATAATAACAAAGTAGGAGTGGAAGAATATGTGATGCAAATGTTTGGAAAGTCAGCGGAAGTTTAGGTTTTGAGCGGAGGATATCCGAGAAAGCATGGCCAGCGCTGGATAAAGACATTATGACCTAAGCGATGTGGTGGGGACGCCAGAGTCACTAGTATTTCAAGTTATGTATGGTTTTTGTACTTCGCAGGGGCAGGGTTGGGTCAGGGAGCCGAATTGGGGTGAGTGCTTGTAACTTGACCCATAAAGATGAACATATTCCACTTGAAGAAAGCGTTCGCAATTTGAGCATCTTATTGGCGCAAGAGGACCGAAGGTTGGACTACACGCAGTGCTTTGAGGAGAATCGAGCCGCGAACACGAAGTGGCAGAGTGATAGATTTAGCTCTATCATGGCCATGCACGGCATGCAGTTTGAACTCAGCGGCGTACTCCCCTGTCCTCGTCTCACAGCGGAACTCGAAAGCAAATGTGGTGAAAACTTCACTAAATGTGAGGGTGAGGGCCACGATTACTTCCCAGAAATTGCCTAGAGATAGGCCCATTAAGGCGTTGTTATAGCTAGTGTTGGTGGTGCTTACGTTTATCTTCATAACTTGAACCTCGTTAAAGAACGCTTATTGCCTTATTTTTGTCATGGCATGATGATATAGATCAACGAGTTTTTCGAACTTCTTTATATGCTGAAAATCATTTTGTCGACGTAGCTGGCAGTACAAACATGATGATGATTATGCACTGTGCTTGATGCCTCCACCAGTTGGAAACAAGGTGATCTTTGTCTCAGCATGTGACCTTGATTCAATCCATCTTCAAGTTATCGGCGTTTCTCGTTCTCTGCATTTGGAACAAACGTGTGAGATTCGTCTCAGCCGGGGTGGTTGATACAATTACTTGTGCTTGTATCTTCAACTGTTCCGGAACGAAACGAACTATGATGAGACCTGATTCACGCTGGGTGAATGTGAACTTCGTAAACAGAAGCCCGTCGCTAACATGTGTCGCAGTTGAGATACTGTGTGACGAACCTGTCCTGAAAACGACACCTTTGGGTCGTCATACTTGTACTTCAACATTACAGCTTGAAGGGTTCCATGGATATAGCTAACTAATCACCAGATTTCAATAATACAGTATTTATTGTAATGACGAAGATTGACCTGACCTTATTTACTGTCAATGGCAAATATGACCTGGGACTTCTGCAAAGGTTCAATGATAATCATGAGAGAAACCTTGGAGTGAGGCCAGTGACTTTCGCTGGTGATTCCCTCGGGGTTAGCGAGACCCCCGAGGTTAAGGAGGTTAGGTGTGCACAGTCAAACGTCAACCATAGTGAATCTCGGCGACTCAAAATATAGGCAGACGAACACTTTCTTTGAGCGTAGGCTTCGGTTGGGGCGTGAAGTTCACACCTACGTTCGAACTAGTGTCTTCTCTATTCAAATAGGCCAGAACGAGCTTCGAGCTTCCCAAATCCACACGTCTTCATATGGCAGCTCTTAGAGCGAGAGGACGGTTTCCCTGGTCGAAACGATATCATCCGTGAAATAGTTAATCTCCAGAGTACTTGCGAATGGTAGGAATAGCTCCATCATGCGGACAAGTGGACTTAGAATCACGACTGTGCTCTGGTCGTCCATTAAAGCAGGTTACATTTACTCATACTACAATTCCAGAAGTCTCTAATGATGCGCCTCTTTGGCAATTTGGGCGACGTAGGGGTTGCGAGGATCCTTAGCATACTCTTCCGCTATAACACCACGCATTAGTTTATTCTACGTGCGACAGTATACGGTAACTCACATCGGACACCCATGTCTTGCATCTTTGAAACGAGGTAGAACGTGATAGAGCTAGCAGCGAAGAAAGGCCACATTGGTCGGAGGACCTGAAGAAAGAAAAATATAAATATATTTAGCGAAAGAGGATTTTTGTTGCGATAGCGAAAGAACGACGTGCAGGCGTAGGCCACTTGCGGAATCCAAGGAAGCTCATTTTTTCTATAACTTGTAGATTGAATATAAGACACAGTCTGCTGGGTGCAAATGTAGGAAACTCACTGTAACAGGCGAAGGGGACGTGGATGTTGGATGCTGGCCGGGAGAGATCGTTTTGCGGTTTCTAGCCAAGCCACGTGGCCGCCCTCTTCTTCCCGCGCCTACCCGAGCTTGACCTCTGGGGCTTGGTTTGCCAGTGCTCTTGTTCCTCATCCTCAGGTTGTTAATCCCTTACTTGTGATATTTCCTGGCCATAGATTTCCATCACATCTTGGCACGAAAATGCAGCGAGTTACAGGCTCTATGAATTGCCAGTCAAGCTCGGTAGACAAAGTGCTCTTTTCTCGCTCCGAGTCTCACAGTCATGTCCTCGGACGCTGTATCATCTGACAACCGTTGAGCCTCGTGCAACAGCTCCAAATACAAGCCTATCACCAACAACCTGTAAATTTGCTCTCTGACTTCCCGAGGCTTTAACTACCAACCCCAAGTTGCATCCTCTCTCACCGCTAGTGTTTTCTCAGTCAGTCGTTGACTCGTTGGTACGACCGGTACTTGTCAAAATCATAATGACGCGGAGAGTATCCATCCCAATGCCGTTCTTATCACGGAAGTCCATGCATTCTTCGTGGTCTTATGCAGAGTCGCAGGGAAGTTCACCTCCTGCTGAATACATTCGTCCACCTATGCCTGTCAGTAAATTCACCGAAGACTGGGTATCAACAAGACATGACAGTGGTACGGATGGTGAGACCAACACTATAAGTACAATCATGCCCATTCCTGCGTCCATTGCTGTCAAGCCTCGAAAGCATGGAAAATTGGTTCGTGCGACTTCTCGCAAGCTGAGACTTAACGACTCAATGGTGTGTGTTCATTCAACATGGATTTCTTACTAAGGTGTGCCTTATGTAGACTTTGCAGCCATTGTCTTCCACTGGATCAGTATCATTTGAACTTGCGTCACCTCCTGCCTACTCGTTCACAGAAGATGATAGGCTCCATACCTTTCCCAGCGAAGACCCAGTGCAGGCGATTCTACGGCAAGCTTGTGAGGGCCAGCATAGAAGATGTGACGAGCTCCTGCAGACGTCCTTGCTTAGGAATGATCATGCCATACGCGACATCATGCCTCAAAAACATGGCTTTGTTCATACAGTTTTGGAGGCGTATAATAACCATCGATCATTAATCATCCGCCCAGACGATGTCTGGCTAGCTATACTGATTCAATTCAAACTTTTCGTGGATGGAAACCCCGAACTTCTGCGTCGATATTTTGTTAACCATGAAGGTCAGAAGTTCATGGAAATCAGCCCAGGTGATCGGTACTCGATGAACACTATGGAAATTTCGCGGCAAGTATCAGTACTTATGCTAGAGACTATCGTCGACGTCGATCTTCGAGAATGGATTCTGCCGCAATTCTCAACCACCACGCTGGCCGATACTACGACGTGTGCCATCGTCATGATGGCAGCGATGAAGGAGCGCTTTTCTCATGAGTATCACCTATCAAGTGGGATTCCTCGAGTAACGCTTGATGGAGAGAAAAAGGACTGGGAAAATATTCTTATTCGGATAGAAAGGTTGAAGAGATACGGGATAAAAGCTATTGCATGGTATCACCTCCTACGCCCCGTCATTTCACGGATTATTGCCGCATGCGACTCCCCCAACAGTGCTCAAAATCTCGAATTCTGGAATAGGATCGTACACTACGAAGCCAGAGGAAGCTCTTCGCCTCTGCTTACAGGGTGGATTACGGCATTTTGTGTATTTAACGAGCAAGGAATCTGGCAGGGAAACCCGTTGAACGAAAGTCGTGGGCAGAGCGATGAGCGGAAGAAACTCCTACGCCCTGCTAATCCAATATCGCTGACGCCCGTGCAATTTACGTCTGTATACACCTTCCCCGAGCGGAACCGCAATCCATACCTGACACTCGATGGTTTCCCGTATCCGAGGATCGATAGCGACAATTTGCCGGCTGGTTATGGTCACTTGGACATCAAACTGAGCGACAATGGCGAGTTGTTTGACACTGTACTGGTCGCAGGTTCTATTGGATCTCAGATATGCTCTCTTGAGATATCCGAGCTTTTTCGAAACGGGCTCAGGGATACGATTAGACCTGTCGCAGGCTGGTGGTTTTTTACCAAAAGGAGAGAAACAGGAGATGACTGGTTTTCTGCACCCCCCTACTCCTAAGCCTATTTCTCGCAGCCTTGCCCAAAAATCGATCTTTTGGAGCAGTGTCATTCAAATGACAAAGCGAAAACCCGAAGCACTTAGTACATTGGTACTCCACCAGTCCCATCCGAATTTCCCCCTCCACGCCAATAAATTTCTATATCTGGAGACGGCACCTATACACGTCTGTCACAAGTCAGAATTAATTTGGTGCTCCACGACAATAGCAAAATCTGGTGCAAGCTAATGCAAGTCGCACTTGCTATTACGAGTTCTGCCTCCAGGCTCACGCATATACACACAGCTTCTGTGTTCTGTAAGACATAAGCTTGAAGAATATGTGCTGCTGAAAAACACGGGGCCGCGTATATATCTTTTTCGCTTCTTACACACAGCCCTCTGATATGGCAGGAGTACTAACTCTTTTTATCGATGTCCATGTTATCTGTCATAACGTATCGTGGAGTTGCACTCTCGGACGCAGCTGCGAATTAGCATGACCTCTTTTCATTTTTTTCATTACGCAACTCGTGCTCCTCATTCATCAAAACACTACAAGACCAAATCATATTAATAAGCTCTATCTCGTCTATAAAACCAGCTTAACGTGTCTGCTATCGTCAAGCCCACAGACTGCCTGTAATGGGACGGTACATGTGTATTCCACTTGCTTTCTTATCGTCTAAATCTTCTCGGTCGAACACTTCTTCGTCAAATACCACCGCCAAACTTGCCAAGTCCGAAGGATTTATTCGTACAATGTCTCACAATATAATAGCTGATAATCAGGTAATAGCGGCATTCATTGTCCAGTCTGTTTGAGATATACTTACAAAATTCAATCAGCCTTCATCCACCAAGGTTACTCATTCAGTTTCGTTCGTGGTTGCCTCCCATCCTGCAGAATCCTTCACCGAGAAGGACAAACTACAAACCACGTCCGGCGAAGATCCATCCTTAGCTATCCTGCGCCAGGCCTGTGGAGATCAGTATGAGGCTTGTAAAGAACTCCTCCAATCATCGTTACCAAGGAACGATCCTTCGTTATATGATATTCTTCCCAAACAGCACGGATTTGTCCAGACGGTCTTGGAGGCATACAATAAGCACCGATCTCTGATCATTCGGCCTGATGATGTCTGGCTCGCCATCCTCGTTCAGTTTAACTTTTTCGTAAACGGCAATGCCGAGTTGTTGCGCAAACATTTCGTTAGCCACGATGGGAAAAGGGAATTGGGTATATCAGCCGTTGGTGGCAGGTATTCAATTGATTTTGGTGCCATATCACGACAGATGACTGAACTTATGGAGGAAAATATCGTGGACCCCAGCCTTCGCGATTGGATAATGCCACAGTTCTCCACAACTACACTCACCGACACCACTACATACGCGATGGTGATGATGGCAACGATGAAGGAGTATTTTGATTATGGGATCTATCTGATGTGTGGAATTCCCCGTGTCACGCTTGAAGGCGAGAAACAAGATTGGGAGAATATTCTTACTCGCCTGGAAAGATTGAAGGAGTTTGGAGTACAAACCATTGCGTGGTATCATATGTTGCGTCCTATCATCACGCGATTTATTGCCGCGTATGATAATCCGGACGGTCAGGAGAATCGGAAGTTCTGGAGCAAGGTTGCGCATTATGAAAGTTTTGGAAGTGGTCCACCGACTCTTTCGGGATGGATTACCGCCTTTTGTGTCTTCAATGAAGAGGGTGCATGGAGAGGCACTGTATTTAAGGATGATCCTGAACAAGGTGTCGACCAATCGAGAGACAATCTCAAGTCTACAAATCCCGAGTCGCTCAGTCCAAGTCAGTTTGCTGCTATGTACACTTTGAAGTATAATAGGGACGATCGTCTTAAGCTCGACGGTTTCCCTTATCCCTCCATTGACAGCGACAGAATCCCGCCTGGTTACGCGCATGTGGACGTCAAACTCGACGACAATGGTCAAACGTTTGATACTGCTTTTGTTGCGGGTTCCATCGGCTCGCAGATACTCTCAAATGGGAGAAAAACTCGTGATAGTGTACAGCCAGTCACAGCCTGGTGGTACTTTATCAAGAATTGAAATACTGTTTCTATCACACGTTCAGACAACTACTTGATTGTACTGTTTATACCGTTGTCCACGATGCAAGCTATATATAAAGTAAGATGCCGTCTTATCAGCTATCTCCATTCTTTGTCTAAGTCGCTTGTCCAGTGGCTACCTTAAAGTACCATCGTTTTATCCAAGTTCGAGGAACAGCCCTCATTCACACCAATGTTTACGCAGCACTGTCATGGAAGCTATCTAATAACCATTTTTGGTCAATCTCCTACCCCTTGATTCTAGCACCACCCATGAGCGCACCCATATTTCCGGAAAGAAGACATTATTTAATGCCCTTGAGCCATCCATCTAGATCATATCTGTCAAGAGTTGTGCGGCGTTTCAAAATCCATCCTTCAAGTATTCGTGCAAGGTCCATAAGAGTGATATAGGCAGTCTACTCCTTAACCCCCACAATCGTGAGTGGAGCTAATCCTCGCCACAACACTACTCATGTTCATGTTCTTTCAATCCTAGCTGTTACCTCTATCTACTAAGTCATCCCTCATCTCTGTCGATGGACAACCGACTGGTTAGCGACAACGCCACTAGTGCATATGTGCCAATTGTACCGTCTACCGCTCCAGCTGCAACTCAGGTTCGATATGTATCTGGGGTAGCAGAATCCACTGTAGTGGTATGTACAGTGGCAAGTTCGATAGGCACTCACTTACGGGGGGTATTTACAGGACATATCTCCAGTTCATTCTGTATCATTCTCACCAGCACCGCATCCCGCTGAGCCATTTCCAGACCGACAATTACAGACTTCATGTGATGAAGGTCCAGCATTAGCCCTTCTGCGACGAGCCTGCACCCGTCAACATATGAGATGTGGAGAACTTCTTCAGACATCGTTGTCCGAGAGCGATCCTTCCATCTACGACATTATACCCCAAAAAAACGGCTTTGTCCATACAGTGATGGAGGCATACAACAGGCACCGAGCACTAATCATTCGGCCGGATGACGTTTGGCTCGCCATTCTTATACAATTCAGCCTTTATGTGAACGGAAACGCTGAGCTTTTGGGAAAAAAAATTCGTGAGCCACGAAGGAAAGAAAGATTTAACTATCGTTACCGTTGGCGATCGGTACTCTATTGATTTCGGTCATTTGTCACGTGAAATGATGAGACTTATGGATGAAAACATTGTCGATCCTAGCCTTCGCGATTGGATCATGCCACAATTTTCGACGACGACGCTCACTGACACGACAACCTTCGCTATGGCCATGATGGCGACGATGAAAAAGTACTTCTCATATGGATTCACTACCGCGTGTGGGATTCCTAGAGTCACAATCGAAGGAGAGAAACAGGACTGGGAGAGTATCCTCATACGACTAGAGAAGTTAAAGGAGTATGGAGTCAAGGCTATTGCGTGGTATCATCTTTTGCGCCCTATCATCACAAGGTTCATAGCCGCGTATGATAATCCAAATAGCAACGAAAATTTCGAGTTCTGGAGCAAGGTTGCACACTATGAGGAATTCGGTAGTGGCTCGCCCCGGCTCTCTGGCTGGATCACTGCATTTTGTGCTTTCAGTGCTCATGGCCAGTGGCAGGCCGGTCCGATTAACGAAAACATCGAACAGAATGACGAATTTCTCCGAAGTGCCCATGATGATCCTCAAATGCTAAGTCCAGCACAGTTTGCCGCTGTCTACTGCAACACTCCAGAGCATTATGCTCGTCTAGCATTTCTTGCACTCGATGGTTTTCCTTATCCAATAATGAATGCTGACAACATCCCACCAGGCTATGAAGAAATTGACATTAAACTCGATGATAATGGCGAGCTGTTCGATACTGTACTAGTCGCAGGTTCTGTTGGGTGTCGGATATGCTCTGACGAAAAGTCTGGGCAGGCCGGGGGGAGCGTCAGAGATACTGTTCGGCCTGTGACAGCCTGGTGGTATTACATAAAAAAGGCAAAGGAACAAACTGCGAAAATCTCCAGATCTCAAGCCTGGGATTTTATGACTGCATCTTACGATAGTCTCGACTCTGATTGAGGGAATTTCAGATCTGGACAGTTTCCATTCGATAGATGGTCAATGATTTTACTGAGGGTTTGGGTTACCTATTCAGTGTTCCACCTGGCATTCCAGACCTATTGAAGTTCTTCGACGCCTGTGCACTTAATGCAAGTCCTACAAGTAACCAATGCAACGACCGGAGAATCGTGACAAAGTTGGGGCGTGAGTATGATAGCGAGTACCAAACTGCATTCGCTGGTAAGTGGCCTCTTTATTTGTCAAGCTGGTGATAAGTGTTACTCGTCACGGTATCTCGAGTCGAGTCCATGATGCATCACACTATCCGCTTTAAATTCAGTCTCCTGTAAGCAGACCTATCGATCCGGAAGATATCCACAGGTGCCACTGGCACCGTATCCAAAAAAACTTGAACGATGAACTACATCGAATCTCAAGCTTTAAGCTTCAACGCCCGAACGTCCTATACTCTTTCACCTATGATCGTCACCAAGCACCACCACCACAACATCATCCACGAAATCAGAGAATATGAATATAGGCAGGTTGAGTTAAGTCCTGAGACTAAATATGACTAACCAACATGCAGAGTAACATCATATGATACACCGCTTGCCAATGGAACTTCGAAATAACACAGCTTTTAGCATTGACGAGCGGTAGAACATTTCCCGACTGACATGTAGCATGTAGTCCGTGTTAGACGGATAACATAGCCACCGTGGTCGATCATCCTCCGAGGCTGAAAGTTGAAGGGACCTGCTCTGTATCAAGTCGATAATTAACTGGATATACAGGTCCCGATCAAGCAGGAAACAGAACACTGGGCGAGCGGATAACAATGGTACAGCTTCTCCCACGTGCACTGCATGCAAATGCGTACCTACCTTTCATCCAGAAGGCAGACAAGAAGCCCTTCATTTGAAAGGCCCTACATAAATCCCGCAGGTTATTCTGTCAATCAATTATGATAAGGTCAGCTGATACATGGAGCATGCAGCGTCAAGAGTTATCGTAATAAGAATATACTCGGAACTTCAATCTGTCAATTGTCACTTTAGACATCGTTCCATTCAATGGATCCAGAACGAGGTACCCGTGAGCAGGAACTCAAAAAGTACGTACTTAAGCTTGTAGTGAGACAGAGATATAAGAGCGAGAGTCTGATAGAGTTCATCAGTGGCCTCTAATCCTCTTTCATCGACATCAAGCCACCAAAACCTTGACTGCACACCCATTGACCTCGTAATTCCATTATCTGTGGCTTTTTAGATTTTCAGAACAGTTTTCGAAAATTCGTCCTCAGAATCCATGCATCAAAACACAGAATGCCCTGTCGAATCACCCCTGTCGTCTGCCGTTGTTGACAGCATCGACAGCATCCGCGAGAGGGCTGTCGGTCATCATCATCGTCGTCGTCATCGGTATCTCAAGTTCAATCCAGACCTCATCTTTAGAATTATCGATCCCACCAAAGTCAGGAAATCTAGCAATCCACTGCCCCCGCCTTTTGTTGGCATCGATGGCGTCCACAACATCCGCACAATAGGCCATTTTCTCCGGTCTCCCTCTGTCAAGATCAAACAAAACCTCATCTATCGGTCTGCCGACCTCAAGGGCATCACAGAGGAAGGAAAAACACAGTTTATGGGGCATGGTATCAAAACCGTCGTTGACTTGCGCTTAGAGCATGATTACGACAGTATCCCCGGCTTACCGGGTGTCGAATGGCTATCGGTCCCTTCAGAGGAGCAACCGCCTGAAACTACCGAGGAGATAATTGGGATGTGAGTTTGCTTGGCACATTTCTGTAAAGATGTGCAAACGACGAATTGCTTCCCTTTAGGCTCGAGAGCTTTCAAACGTTTTCATTGGAGGTTAGTTCTGCTCTGTCAATAGAAAGTAAATGTGCTAATAGATGTGTACTGTAGGCATTCATGGTAGTGTACGCTGAGGTGCTGGAGGTATCAGGAAAAGTCTTCGAACTTTTCTTCACTCATCTCAGGGACAAGCCCAATGTACCGGTTCTAGTCCATTGCTCTGGTTAGTCATCTCCTTACGATGCATGGTACTTGTCACATTCAACTTCGAATTCAGCCGGGAAAGATAGGACGGGGTTAGCGATAGCTCTGCTTCTAAAGGTACGACGACCTCTGCTACTTTTTATGGATAGGTTTACATTCCCGAACTTTAGATACTCAGAGTGGACGATTATGATATCGTTTATGATTATACCCTGTCGAGCATTGGCCTAGGTACTGCAATGCCGGGCCTCATAACCAGTTTTGGCAATAATAATGAGGCATATCGGGAAAATCCTATAGGATTGATGAACTTCCTCAGTTCACAGTGAGTAATACTGCGACTGGGGTGCTTTTGTTTGGTTTCAGTGCTCATTATTTACTCTCAAGTCCCGATACAATGGTTGTGGCGCTGGTGCAATTATGGGAAAGTTTTGGGGGGGCAGAGAACTATTTGATGACACATACGAATTTACAACTCGAAGATATAGAGAAAATTCGCGCAAACTTGATTCTGGAATAGAGAAGAATGGTGATCAGTGGCATAACATGTACTGTAAGAACAGACAACTTGTACAAAATAAGGGGAAAAGCACGGTTCGGTTGGTTACCATCCATCGTTCTACAGACCGTGCCATTATCAAGGATAGTTTAAGTACGTACAGATTTTACGAGCCATGGATTGAGTCTCGTACTAATTGCACATGATACTGTTCTTGCAATTGCAATTGCAAGGACGAAATGAATGGCAGTCCTCTAAGTACTGCCAAATTAGGAAATCACTACAACTGGCAGTAGCACTGCAAAAAAACTGAGATTATCAACCGTGGAAATGTGGCACATTTTGGCCACAATTCCACAGGATATCAATCAGATAATGACCTCTCAACATTTTGCTCTTATGTCGACATTTTTACTACATATTGACCAGATTCTCATGATGGACTTAGGTAGAAATAATGCGAAAGACTGTAACCACTTATCTGTAAATACTTGAATTTTGTAACTCATTGCTAACTAATAATCAATAATTTAATTGTTCACCAATAACCACCATGTCCATAGACTCACTATCTTATCAACACACCCTGGACCCACAAATGAGCGTCCCCACTCAATATATTGCTCCAGACTTTGCAATCAGACGCCAGCAGGAGATTGACGCCAAGTTGGAGGAAGTAGAGGCTGCTGAGTATGAAATGACATACCTGTGTCTATCTAATCTTAACCATGAGGTAACCATGAGGTGATTCATCATATTATCTCGTCATTTCACCAATAATGCTTTCAACAACCTCTTCAAAATCTCCACCATGATCTATAGCAACGCCTTGGATCAAGCATTGATGATCATTTGATCATCAAAACAATCTCTCACTCTTTCCAAGTCCCAAGAGATTATGGAGAAAAATAGGGAGTTGATTAATAGGTGAGTACCATACATCATACCATTGGAGAGGCTTCTGCCAGTGCATCACCAGGTCTTTAGGCCACATGCTAGAGTCTATGGTGGAAGGGAAGGCAGGCAGGTTCTTCGCTTCAAGATTGTCAACACTGATTTTTCTGGTGAAGGCTTTGTTTATAGCATCCTACAAAAGTGAGCGTTGTTTGATCCCATCCCTCTATTCAAAATGGCAACTTATTTTTTTTAGGTTTTCAATTTCCGCTTGCATTTGCTTGTATGCACTCTGCAACCCAATATTTTCTGTGTCATACTTTCACCTGTTTGTCTGTCATGTCTCTGTAAGTTTGGTTAGTCTCTTTCATATCCTCTACTTCTCTGACAGCTACTTCTAATAACCAGGGATTTGTATTAGGTGCTCTTTTGCTCAAGGGAGGTTCAGGATTGGGGCATGGTTTTGTGCTTTTGTGGGGTTTCGAGGGGAGAAAACAGGTATCTCATTGTTTGCCTAGTCATATATACATATATTCTCATCTGTCTACTCCATGAATGAAGTTTGTTTCCTGTCTGATTGACCTTGAGCGAGCGAGGATATTAATCTGTCCATTCATATGAGGGACCAGGTTGATTCGGGTATAATTACCAGTGAATATTATATAATACACTAACATAAGTTCCAGTGGTTATTATATTATTGTCAAAAATCCAACTACTCAGATTATACAAGTGAAAATGTGGTTGATACCTGGTTGTGATCTACTTGTAATGTGCATAGAACCCGTTCATTTTCAACTCATTTTGATGTGGAGTGATCTGATCAACATGTGGTTGGAATGTGGTGAATATGTAGGGATTTCCGGGACATTGCGACATTGCATAATCTGAGTTTTTTCGCAGTGTAGGTAGTACATTTACGTCCGCAATCGCTTTTTACTGCTACTTCACCTTACGACCTTACAAAGTCAAGGCCAAAGCCATCTTTTAGAAAATAAGATCAGAATTAATGGGAACTAGGAAAGGTTGACAAAAAGACCGGTGCACCAAATCCCCTGCGGTCCACAAAGGTTCAACCTAGTAACCAACTGTAAAAACCTAGACATTATGAAAACCTCAGTTGTGTTATAACAAGCTGTATCTGTGAGTACCTGAACATTATGAAAATTAGATAAAAAAGACTATTAATATGTGTATCATAACATGAAATAAATGGAACATACCATCAGTTGTGTTATAACAAGCTGAGGGGAAAGGAAGTTGGTTTGAATAGATATCAACCTCCCGACGTGTTGGTCATGTGACCTTTTTGGCATTCTGCTTGTAATGTAGATAGGTTCCAACACTGACCACATCCTGTACATCATCTTTTTAGTTTTTTCGATTTCTGTTTCACCTTTTATCCATCCTCAGGTATCAGCAGTTGCCCTTTCTGCAGCGTTGTCGTATCTTGCGATTGGTCTCAGTGATGGTACTGTTCTCATGTACTGCCATTTAGACCAGTCTATATTTTCAGGTTCCACCTCTCTAACAGCTTTACCCAAAACAAGGACGGTTCATGAATCTCTGGCTGAACCAATTACTGGTCTAGGTCTCAAGGAGCCTACCAAAACCAACCCCAACTTGCATCTGTTCATTGTAGCGATCAAGGTGTAACAACCAAGAGTTTGTTACTCTGGCGCACAACTCAGACAAGCTATAGAGAGGATGATGAGGGAGTGGTTACCTTTTAGGCTTCAACAAGTTAGTTGTGAGGATACAACAGGAGGACTTGCTGAGGAGTCTCCTTGATCTATTGGGGTATATATACTACTACAGGTTTGTTTGTACATATGTACTATACAGTTGATGAAGGCAGTGGCTGATGATGTCAGAGGGCGCAGCCCATGTGACCAGCTCCACTGCGTGAGATACCTGTAGCTAAAATAAGAAGGAAGGCAGTGCAGCGCGAGAAAGAGGAGTTTGAACAAAGGGGAAAGTGCTGCATGGCACAGTGTGTGAAAACTACAGAAAAAGGTTAAAGAGGAGAATGAAAATTAAAGGTCCGAAAATTGTGTATCGTAACGCTACCCCCCTCCTAAGGCTCGACTTCCAGGCTCGACCAAGTACCAGAGGTAGTAGTTAAATTTTCGGGCATAGGTTGAAAAAGGGAATTAAAAAGTTTTGAATCCATGCCTTTAAGGTTTCTAGGAGCCGAGGGATTCTTAGAATAAAATTCGCAAACAGCATTGCGGGAATTGTCCAGATGGGCTTCTGGTTCCCACATTCTGTCCTTGTCTCCATAACCCCTCCATAGGACTAGGAACTTCAATTTTCCACGCTTCAAGCGTGCATCCACCACTCGTTTGACTTCGAACTCTTCTTCACCTTCCTGGGTGACTACAACTGGTCCGGGCCAGTCTACGCGCTGTCCCGGCAGCGGCCCTTTGTAGGGTTTCACACGGCTAATATTGACCGTAGGTACTACCCTCATTCGTTTTGTGAGTTCCAGCTCCACTGCATTGGGTTTGACTTCCTTAATCCGGTAAAGACCAATCCACTTTTCAGTCAGTTTTCTAGACTGCCGATCTTTTACTTTCAAGTGGTCGGTATCTAACCAGACCAGGTCGCCGACCTTGTAGTCAGGGGCCTTAGAGCGTCTACGCTCTGCCCTGTCTTTCATCTGCTCTGCAGTTTTGAATAGCGCTTTGCGCGTTTTGTCTAAGACAGACTTCATGTCCTTGGCCATGTTACCAGCAGCCTTGTTCTTGCTTTTGCCTGGTTCTACACCCATTCTAGGAAGGTATGATCTTGTAACCTCAAATGGTGCTTTTCCTGTAGCCGATGACTGTTTGAGAACTGGGCTATCTTTAGCCACTTGGCCCAATCTGTCTGTTTGTTGTAACAACCAAGAGTTAGTTACTCCGGCGCACACAGGAACACACTATAGAGAAGATGAAGAGGGAGTGGTTACCCCTTAAGATGCAGAGAGTTAATTGGTATACAACAGGAGGACTCGCTGAGTCCTTCCCCAAGATCTACTGGGGTTTATATACTAATACAGTTTTGTTTGTATATATGTACTGTACAGTTGCTAGAAGCAGTGGCTGCTGATGTCATGGGGTCTAGCCCGTGTGACCAGCTCCACTGTGTGAGATACTTGTATCTAAAATAAGAATAAAGGCAGCGCCGCATGAGAAAGGTGGAGTTTGAACTAAAAGGGGAAGTGCCACATGGCACAGTGTGAAAACTACAGTACAAGGTTAAAGCGGAGAATGAAATTTAAAGGAAAGGTCCGAAAATGAAAAGTAAAGTAAATGGTCACATAACTGGTCATGTGACTTGGAAAATAAAAGTAGAAGTACAAAAGTGAAGCATAAGTAGGTGCTGGTATGTGTGAGGAATCGATTTTTCTTATCGCATTCCCGTCATGTCGTGGTTAGCAGACTCGATCCCCGTCACTCCTCTTGCCCTTGGACTAGAGATTACAGCAGGTGTCTTATTACTTTTATCATTTTTCTTCTTATTCTCTCTTCACACTCACGTTCTATCGTATCTACAACGAGGTAGACTTGTTGTCGACCCTCGAGAAGATATCCAGATGACATAGTCACGATCCAGTGCTATGTCTGGGAATACTTCGGAGGAATATTGATAAGCGAAGAAGGTTGTAAGTCAGCGCCTTCTCATGGGCTTACTGATACAGCCAATCGTACATCCCTTACCAATACGTTTTCTCATACGATTAGTAAAGACGATAGATCGGACCACTTTCCTCCTTTTTCCTTATTGGTTAGCTAGCTGGTCAGACCACTTTCTTAGTACTTCCCTTTCTCGGTCTGACCATCGTCGTTCACTATATAGAGAAGTACATACTCGATGTATTGTTCTCCAGTTCAATATTAGTTTGGATTTGCGCTCTTACCGATACTCTTCATTCTCATACTCTGATTCACCGCCTTCAAGGAAGGACTTGACCAGACATTGGGCTTTGTTATATAGCTTCGTATTTGTTGCCTGACAAAATATTGAACTCACCTACCTCGAATCCTTTTCCAGAGCCCCTCTTTGGAAAACCGTTTCCTTACACCCTGAAAAAGACTGTCGTTGCCACTGCACCGGTCTAAACCTTCATCATCACCTTCTCCACCTCTCTACCATCCCTATCCCTCTCCTCACTATCGTCATCGACCTCTCACTATCCACACCATTACACCTATTGTCGTTCAGTCTTCTCAAACTGGACGCCTTCTCTACCATCACCGCTCTCGTCCAATTCTTTGCGTTCTTTGCCATCATCAGATACCTACAAACCGGACTTGTCAGCGACGTCGTATACCTCCATCGTGTCTACCTCCCAACAGCTCTCAGAAGAGT